AAAAAAATATATATATATATATATATATATATATATATATATATTGTTAGTAATGTAAGTATTAGATCGAGGGGGTAAATGAAAAGAATAAGAGATGAATGGGAAAAAGCAAGAACCATACAGGAACAGTGAGATCACTACTTTAACCCTTTGGCTGTGGGAGGTTACCCTAAGCTGAATAAAATTGACTGTCAGTGGCCAGAATAAAATGGTAAGTGTGGGAAATGCAGCAAAAGGGTTAAAGAAACAAGTTTGTTGGATGGTTAATAATGGAAAAATTAAAAATTCTTGCTCTTGGGTCTAACTTCGTATAAGATTACATTATGTTCTTTTAATGCAGTACCGTGTTAATTGTCAAAATGAACTATTTCATTGAATAATTCTTGTACTATTATAACTTTTTTAAGCCACAAAAGGGGATGGCAAATGTGAGGGTGGGAGTAGAATACTACCCTGTCCTTTTGATGTAATAGTTTTATTGTCAATAAAGTATTTCACTTTCTGGGTTGATTCTCCAACACCTACTTCAGTATATCGGGTTGACGTACCTTGAGTAGGGTTTCAAACTCCGCTCTCTTATCAAGGCATGTGTCAGTACTTTAATTTTAAGCTGGAATTAGTCCTAGGTAATGTCTCTGATTTTTACTTTTATTCTCTTTGCCAGTGATCAACACTTTTGCTGCTTGGGTCTCTCTCCACACACAGTAGCTGTCTGGTTTACCTTAGCAGTATATAACTTGCATTGTTGGAATTCTTGCAAGATGGCGATTAATTTGAGTATAAACATCCCATAGTTTGCACTAAACAAAAATTTTAGTTATTAACTTAATACATTATGGTAAAGGTTGTGATAATTTATGCATTGTAGTTGCAGTTGCGAAGCTTCGTAACATAACTAGTGTATAATGCATCTTCATATGCCGTTTTATTCATTGATCAGGTGTGCAAAAGAAGCCAAATCCAGCCATCAATTAATCTTAAAATTGAAATTATAAAGTCAAATTTTATAAGACAATAAATAGTTTAGTAGTGTTGTTAATGTGTGTCCTGGCATGTCAACTCACTCATTCCACCCACACACCAACTATGTGTGGATACGGCTAAACTTGGTGCAATCTTTCATAATGCTGGGAACTTTTGTCCCCAGGCCCGGAGCAGAAAGGTTTGGTGTGATTTTCTCAGATTTTCCGGTAAATGCTTTATATTATTATTTATAATTTTATATATTTAATACATTCACTGAGAGCTGAAATAGGTTTTACCGTGTCGTGTGTCTGTAGGTAAGAGCGTATTAACGGAATTAATCTCAATTTTGCTAACTAGTTCACTAAATAGAGCGAAAAATAACAAAAAAAATGCCTTCCACTAAATCGAGTTTGTTATATCGGACGCCATTAAATCGATATATAGGTCGCCTCTCTATCTTGTCTATACAGTATTCAAAATCCTTCATCAAATACAGAAAATAGATTGATAAAAACAAAACACAAGTAGCAAAACAATAAAATGGGTCCATCATGGCTGGCATGTTAATCAAACGGTAAAAGGCATACTGGAATTTATCTTTTATTAAAAAATTTCTTAATACTAAGTGGTCCAATCACATATCACTGAAGAGGCCACCTTGAACACAACTTTAATCCAGACAGGTGATCGAGGTATGTTATGTGCTGTAAGTGAAACTTAGTTGTTTTTGTTTTTTAAATGGAAGTGCTTGCTGGGTGACACACCCAGGCTAAAACTTGAAAGACTACTGTACTTACCAAAGCAATATACCATGAGCAGAACTTGAGTTACACTTGACATTACACATGTTAAAACATCAATCTAACATGACAGCTTGAATGAAGTTTTAAATACTTTCCAACCTTGTCTGGTACATAAGAAGATATTTCCAATAATCTCTTCTCACATTCATACAAGTTTTGCACATGTAGTTGTACTCGCCAAACAAGGAAATCCAGAGCACTGCCAAAGATGATGCCATTCAACCTTAGGATATGCTGTGAAACATTAAGACTCTCTCCATCAACACTAACGGGGGAGTACAACAATTCAGGGTAGCTTGCCTTTGGACAGTACCGTATATACTCGTCTATAACCCTCCCTCGTTTGTAGGTCGACCCTGATTTTTTGACCAAGAAATCGTTAATTTATGATATTCCTCGTTTATAGGTTGACCCACGTTTTTGAGGGTAATGGAACAACAAAACCTTCAGTAAAAACACTCTACGTCCTATAAACTGAGGCTCGCCGTGCCTGAAACACCGAGTGCCGAAGGCAAATTGTTTACCATTTATTATTACGACACTTTACACTGAAACGCGGGAAGTTTCAACAAAATTATTGTATATTTCCATTCAAGTATTTATTCAAGTCAATTAGGAGGGAATATTATTGTAATACAACAGTTTTTTTAATTAAACCATTCGAAAAGCGATTACGGTAACATTTTTTGAACGAAAGAAAGCGAAAGTCATTGTTTTCGTCACGATTTTATCCCACTTTCCACTGTAATACGTACGTAATTTCAACAAAAATATTACATTTCCGTGAATGTATTATGTCAAGCACAGTATGAATAGAATATCATAGTAATATAACAGTATTTTAACCGAAAACTATAAAAAAAACGAGTAACATCTCAAGAACATCGGAAGCTTAGGTAAAGCCTTTTGTTTTCGTCATGTATTTTATCCTATTTTACATTGAAATACATCACGTTTCAGCAAAACTACTATTTATTTTCGAGAATATATTCATTCAGGCAGTTTTGGTAAAATGTACATGTGATGTAACAGTTTTTTAACTGAAAACGATTCATATAACACGTACCCTCTAGCCCTGTTCAAGGAGAGGACTGGGAGAAGCTGTTTGGTGCTGCAGACTATGACAAGGAAAATGATTTTGATGGATTTTAATGAAAATATTCAGAAATATGGTATCGTAGTATTTATTCAAGTCGATTAGGATAGAATATTATTGTAATACAACAGTTTTTTAACTGAAAACCATTCGAAAAGCGATTACGGTAACATCTTTTGAACGAAAGAAAGTGAGTCATTGTTCTCGTCACGATTTTATCCCACTTTCCACTGTAATACGTACGTCATTTCAGCAAAAATATTACATTTCCGTGAATGCATTATATCAAGCACAGGATGAATAGAATACCATTGTAATATAACAGTATTTTAACAAAAACTATTAAAAAATGAGTAACTTCTCTTGGACAACGGAAGGTTAGGTAAAATCTTTTGTTTTCGTCGTGTAAATTATCCTATTTTACATTAAAATACATCACGTTTCAGCAAAACTACTATTTATTTCCGAGAATATATTCATTCAGGCACAGTTAAGGTAAAATATACATGTGATGTAACAGTTTTTTAACTGAAAACGATTCGAAAAACACGTGTACCGTCTAGCTGATACGCAACAGCTGGTGGTGCACCATGTAGCGGAAAGTTTGGGCGCAAAATTACAGGCGCCCAAACTTTCCGCTATTATCAAAACATACGAGAAATACCAATTTCCGCCCAAACCTTTCGCTATATTTCAATGCTAGGGTTTGTACCGCTATTTAGGCGAGACAATACGCACGACTTGGCAACTCTGATTAGTCGCTTCAGTGAGCACGTTGGTGCAGTGTGTAAACTTCTCTCACACGGACTAGTCGTTTTTTTGCGTTTTTTTCTGTGTTTGTGCCTCAATATCTCTGTAATGGGAAGTGGTAAAGAGCTGGGAAGAGACACAATTGTTGCTATTATAACCCTCTATAAGGAGGGTTATAAGTGTAAAGATATAGCCACTCGTGTGGGAATAGGAGTGCGGCAAGTTCAAAAGTGGATCAAGAAATTTAGAGACGGCGGAGGTGAGGATATTCCTACCCCCAAGCCTCGCTCTGGTAGGCCAAGGAAAATACAAAATCGTACTTCCAAGGTTATAAAGAGGCAGTTGGATAAAAATCCAACACTCACAGCTCGAAAACTGAAGGAAAATAACCCTGCACTGCTCCAGGACGTGTCTGTAAAATGTATTTCTGATCATTTACTCAAAGATTTACAATATCGCAGTTGTTGTGCTAAAGTTCTTCCCCTCTGAAGTGCAAAAAATGTACGGGATCGCATTGCTTTTAGCAAGAAATATAAGGATTGGACCCTAGAAGACTGGGAACAAGTCTTGTGGAGTGATGAGTCAACGTTTGTGGTGTCGTCTGGCTGCAGGTCCAAGCGTGTCAGGCGTCCCAAAGGATTGGACCCAAATGACCCCCGCTACACAGCTAAAGTTGTAAAGCATGCTCCAAGTGTTATGGTGTGGGGATGCTTTGCATTTGGTGGAGTTGGCAATTTAGTATTTTTTGAAAAAAATGAGTGTAAATCAGCACAGCTATTTCAAGTTATTGTGTGATAACCTGCCTGAAAGCTTTGAAAAGTGTAACGCTAGCTGGTTCATGCAAGATGGAGCTCCTGCTCACACAGCTCGATCTATTATCCAGTGGTTAGAGGACTGTGGTGTAGATTACTTCAAAAAGTGGCCTGGGAATTCACCAGACCTAAATCCCATAGAGCACGTGTGGCATATCATTAAAAAAGAGCTTCAGGATAGTGACGCTTCGACAATAGCGAAGCTAAAAATAGGAATACAGGATATTTGGGATAATATCATTCCCCAACACGTAGAAAAACTGGCAAGATGCATCCCACAACGTTTGGAGAAGGTCATCAAGCTTAGAGGAAAATCGCTTGTCAAATAAGGTACGTCATGAGCCCTTTAAATGTCTATTCAAATGTCACAATTGTTTACATTCGTCTTGCGCTCAAACTTTCCGCTACCACTGATTACCGGGTATTATATTAAGTGTGAAATATCGAAAAGTTTTTTATCACCGGTATTTTTTGTAGATGAATGAGATGTGATACAGTCCCATCATGCACGGGTTCAACCTAACAAAACTATTACGCATGTACGTAGAGGTCAACCCCCAATTTTTTGCCTAAAAATTTGGTCTTAAAAACTCGAACTACACACGAGTATATATGGTAACTTTTAAGAGGAACTTATTAAGAAATCTTCTGATAAAAATAATTAAATTACTTAACTCTTAAGTGTAGCTGTGAGAAATTCCATTTGTATAAAAAATTCTCCATGCAAAATTCTTAAAAACAACAAGTCACATCAAAGATATGCTGATCATAAGAAATGCATCTTGGCAATCTATTCCTGCAGCAAAAAAAAAAGGTGAACAGTCCAAAGACACTGTGAATAAGAGAATGTAGGAAACTTTCAATAAGAGACAATCTAACAAAATCCCAAGACGGAGATTTTTTCAAAAGAAACCCAGTGAGCTACTCTGTAAACACACATACATCAACAACAAACATATGTACACACACACACACACACATTGGCACAAAATGCCAAATAATGCATCCAAGTCTCTAAATGCTTTGCTGTAAGGGCCATGATCATGATAAAAGTCTTGCCCATTAAATGACCTTAACAGTGCAATATACACTTTCATCTACAGTAGCTCTGAATAGGTTTACCTTTTTATATACCTATTATAAAATATGGCATCAGGTTTATGAAGACAGATGGATGATGCTTACAAATTCTCACTTAGATCACAACCAAGAATCCATATACTGTAGTATTAAAATACATCGGTAAAAAAACAAACAAATTCAGCGCATATTTTAAGTCAAGATTTTATGAAGTATAAATTGAAAATAAACTATTTCCTGACCATTAGAGAAATTCAATTACCCAAGGCAATTTATGAGTTGAGCATATGACTGTGACGATTAAGTTGGAAGCGAGTTTATACATTCAGGCTCACAATGACTTAGACACTTCTCGGATGATTCAACAATAGCCCCACAGCTAAAAAAGCACAAGCGATATTCTCATAGGTGTAAGAAGTCTTGTTTTGGAGAACTTCAAGCACCACAAACACAACATCCACTGCATCTCTCAGTCATTGTAATTAATGTTAACAATACTACTGATCTCCATTTCTTAATCTGAAGCATCCTTATCTTCTCTCTCCTTCTTCTTCTTCTTCTTTTTCTTCTTCTTTTCTCCAGTCTGAAATGAAATACATAAATCACAGTGCATGATTTAAAAATTATTTATTCTGTAAGTTCAACAATTAGGTAGTAGGCAGCTACCAAACAGGGAGGTACTACCGCCTGGAAAGATATTGGAAGCATAATGTATTGTCTAATGGTAGACCCTGCTGCCATATGGCATCACAAAAATTGTGACCAAGTCCCAGGTTGCTGATCTGACATTTTGCCTCATTTACACACAATTGCAGGGTCTCAATTGTTTCTCTTATTATTGACAACACAACATATATACCGTATATTGTTTCTCACTTTTGATCTTTTATCATTTGTGTATTTCTTTATTATTATTAGTGTTGTTATTATTATCATTATTATTTTATTTAAAATGTTGTATTTTGTATTATAAATTTTATTTACTATGAATTATTATTACATCCCCCAGCCCCGATGTGGGTCAGTGACCTGTGCCCAGGTGGGCTAATCCCCGTAAAAAAGAAAAAGAAAAAAGTGCATCATTTGTTAGCATATAAACAATGGAATGTAGGTACGAAGTATTAAGGTGTTTTCTCTTAAGCTAATAAAGTAAACAGGTATTATGTCGTGAACATATATTTTTCACTTCAAAACACTGCTCAAAAAAAAAGTCTCCCTTTGTATCAAACACAATTATGTAGAAACCTGTAGATTAATCACAACTACAATACAACCCCACTTTAAAATGTTACCTCTTCTGATTTTGTCTGCTCCTGAATCTCCACTTTCACTTCCTCCTTTATGTTCACTTCCTCCTTTATGTCTTGATGTTTCTTCCTCTTCTTCTTCTTCTTTTTCTCTGAGTTGTCGCCAGCTGAGACATCGAACTTTTTCTCATCTGCCTCAGCATCAAGACCTTCAGATTCACTCAACTTACGTTTCTGTGGAAAAATGTACAGTATACTATATATAAGTAAATAAATAATGTTTTTCTGTATCAATAAAGACACGCTATGTTTCTGAATTTCAAAATAATAGAATTCTCGTTTAATGTGGGTTACTATGGGCCAACGGGGATACATAAGGAGGTTAGCACTACTATCTATGTACTACCTTTCACTCTCCCAGGCAGGAGACTCGGGCTGCCGACCGCTGAGTTAGGTGATGAGTCCTATAAACACTTAACACCAGGAAACCCCACCCATATTTTGGCAATTTGGTATATCAAGGCAAACTAATTATGACATGCAGTTTCATATTACAATAGGGTGCATAGATAATAGTGGTTTGTGGCAAGCCATTTGGCCATAACAACCTGTCAACACTTCAGATTTGATCACACCACATCTTATTGTACTGAAATAACTAATAACTGTCTTCCAGGGGAAGAGTACATTATGTAAAATTAAATGTGAAATAAGTACCAGCTTTAAGATCTACATTCAATTTTGTTTTAGAAATCCATGGTGCTAAGTCCAAGTAAGGGACCAATTCTGTTATGGGTTGAGGAAGTCTTCAATTTTGCCAACAGCAGGAATAAAACATAAAGTAACTGTCATCTGTTCGCACCTGTAACTTAACACTTGTGAGAACATTCAGGACCCAACAAAAGACAAATGTTCAAAGAATGGAAGTTTTCTTAGGAATGCTAAAGGAGAGGTACGGAGGTGCGCCATCCACAGATTCTTGGATGTAGACCCATAAATGGATACATGATGGCATGGGTTACTATGATACTCAGGTGACTGTAAAGGCATTTCCGTTACATTTCTCTTGTTTATACAGCAGAACAAACTGTCCCTCATACACTGTCACTTGCTTTATATAGAAACCTCACCAGATTCACAGATGTTGTCAAGGCTGGCACCACGAATAAGACCATTCACAATTTTAGACTTCATGTATCACCTCAAGATTAGGATAGTTTCAGGCTGGTTAAAATACAGACTGGTTAAGCTGGGGGCAATCTTCAAGTGGTTCATAAAGGCTAAAACTATGAAAGGCCATTTTATCAAATGTAACATTAGCCAAATGTTTCCTCTTAAGTGCTCTACTTCCACAAGGGTAAACATATATATAAATAAGTACAGTACATATGAATATATGGAATAATTTGGAATAAAATTTCTATGCATACCTTGGGGGAGGATTCAGGTTTAGGCTCAACTGTATCAAAGGGAAGCTCTGTTTTAATTTTGACTTCTGAGGTGCTCACTTCTTCTTTCTTAATACCTCCTACAAGAGTGTAGTCAACATAGTTTTTCAACCAGGCTGCTGGAGTATTCTCATTAGGCTTGCCATACTTATCCAATGTTCCATCCTTTATCATAAATTTCTTTATGCTAGCCTGAAAATAGGAATTAATCAATAAAAGACCTTAAACAAAACTATTTATCATTAATTCTGCCAAAAAATGTAAGAATGCTCAACCAAATTTATTCATTCTCAAATTACGAAAAGAAAGTCCAAAAGAAGCCTATGAGAGAAAGAAAAAGGTAAAGATATGGGGATGAAAGGATTACCTGAAGTTTAAAGGGAGATGAGACAAAGGCAGCATATTTCTAGAAAGGGAAAGATGAGCACAATTTGGAATAGGTGTGTGATGGCATACAGGGAATGAAGAAGGAAAGACAGACATGTTTTGACTAGGACACAAGAGGTCTTGAGCTTAGATGAACAGATACACAAAACATAAAAATACCTTTGGACCTAAACCCCATTTGCGGGGGTAAGTATCTCTCTCCATAATGACCCTCTTAATCTTGGCTACAATGCCATGATCACACGATGACATGGTAGACGTAGTCATCGCTGCCGTAGCTGGGGGAAAAAGGGGGGGGAGTACAGTATTCATGTAACTTGCACTTTCGTCTGTATACCATAAGTCTTAATTTGGTCACACAAGCCCTGTAACACATCACCATATAATTTTACAAACAGTAGGGGGTACAATAGCTGGTACAATATGGTATCTTGTAAAAAAAAAAAGGGGGGGGGGGACTAATCGAGTATACGTTAATGCAAAATTCCAGTGTTTATTATTTCAAAAGATTTTTTTTTAATTTGGCTTTGACAATACTCCGGTAAGCAAAAGCAATTAAAAAATACTATTACTGTTAACTGTCTGTGTTAGTAACCGAGAAATAAATTATTCTTGACAAATACTCACCAATACAGATGGCCTCTCCTTTTGAGGTGCAGACAACAATTTCTTCATTTATCTCTATGCCATTCTCATAACGCAGTACACCCGGTAACATAACCTTGGCACCATAACAGACAGCGTTAACAGCAGAATCCTTATAGAAACAAAAGAAAGAAATCAAGTGAGTCAGGATGGACGAAACTCAAACTAAACAGTCATCTTATGTTTTTTCTTCACAACTATTAAAACATTACAGCAATAATGACAAAAAAGGTATTAACAAACATTTTGACAAGATTTATTACAGTAAAGTTTAAAATAATGTGAAAAGTATACCGTACTCTTGCAGCACACTAGGATGCATTATTATCCTTGAGTGGCAGGTACAGCCGCCTGTACTTATACAGTACGGTATACCCGTTTACAGTACTGGCACGTTTTGAGAGACGTGGCAGCTCGGAATGGCCCTAAGGAACCTCGATGTAGTAGCCAGACTAAGGAGACTAGATAAGCATTGCACAGAGTTGTCACTGTACAGTACTAGGTATTAGTGCAGATGACTGTACAGTACATACATCCTCCAAATTTACCTTGGTAATTATTTAAGTACAAAAAGTGCTATACAGAAAAAATTTTTTTACCTTCATTATGATTTTCTTGTGGCCAACTAACATGGCTTCCATGGGCTTAATAATACGTCGCAGGTACGTTTCATCTTTATGATTCTCATAAAGCCATTGAGCATCCAGAACATCGTGCATCGTTACCATTGCATCCATCTCTCCCTGTATTCCTGTAAAGCAATACACTATAAGTCACATAAGCAGATGATACATAGTGGAGGAGGAACTTCATGAGGACACAATTCTGGTTTAAAACTAAAAGACCTCAAGTAGTGTCACAAATATTGGTTGCTAACTTCCCTATGGAGGGAAAAAACAAAAAAACTTAGATCTTAATCCCAGAATATTCTTTTAAGTTTGAAAAACCAAACAAATGGTATAAAGAACAACATACCTGAACGTACTCTCCGGAGTTCCTGCATATGTCCTCCTGTACCCAGATGGAGGCCCATATGCACACACATTGTACGAATATAAGTACCAGCTTCACAACTCACCCAAAAAATACCTGGGAAAAATAAAGATAAAAGTTTCTTATGACATATCTCAATTTTAACTTAAATAAACAATTGTTGACAATTTGCCCTTGTCTACATACAGCCAGGCACTGTTCACTTAATACTCAGGTCACTTTACATTTACTTACAGTCCACCACTTAACATTTACATAATCAATAACTGAACAGTTATAACAATGCACATTTTCAACATTTATTTTTCAATACCAATAAAGGATGGCAAAATTTATCCTCTTAAGATCACATGAAGATTAGGCACCCTAACTTATTTCATCTGATTATTTAACACCCTAACATTAGTTTAACCCCCCCTCCCCCCCAGGTAGCATAAGGGGGTGGGGGGTTATTTTCAAGTGAACAATTTTCTTTAAGCTCAAAAATTTTTGACCCCAACTTTCACCTGGTTTATCCATGGTGCTTCATATACCACCCACAAATAACTAAAGTATACAGAATGTCTCATAGATTGCAGACCATAAGAGAAGGCTTTGTGCAACCTATTCTGAGTCAGAAGGAAATAAACACAAACCTGTACAATATAAAAAATATAAAATTTTTTTGGAATAAATTGTAAATTAATAAAAAAAAAAAAAAAAGAAAGTTAACATGTTCCCATTAACCCTCTCGTGGTCTTTCAATGCAAATGGAAAAACCGTTGCCGTTGTCAATGCAAACTGCGTCAAAAGACTGCGAGGGGGCGAGCTCTTCGAACATGGCCACGAGTACCAGAAGGTGCTTCAGCCCTAATCTAACCATTTGGGTTGGGACTCAGTTTTATTGTAATGTTAGGTTGGAGTCAATTAGGACTGGGGTCCATTTGTACAGTCACCCAAATTTACAGGTAGTTACTGTAGTTGAAAAGTAAAATCACATAAGAATTTAAATTTGCATGTTTGCTAAATAATTCCATTTACTTACTAATAACCTGTAAATTCTTGATCATAAAAGCAGAGAATAACGTACGGTTTACAAAAATATGCTGGCCATACCCATATTCCTTTCAGGATCATATTCGATGAGTTTGTTTTCGTACACGGTACGAATACGGAGCTGTCTCTTGACGGCAGAGATTAGTGGTGGTCTCTGGAACTGTGCCCCTTTTAGTTTATCCAAAGTCTACCAAAGAAAAAGACATCGGATCTCTATTACTTAAGGGGTAAGAATTATAAAAACATCTTGTCCAAAATGGCATAATCCATCCATTTGGTTTGGCACACAATAAAACATGCATATTCTGCTACATCATCTCTACTTCATTCATTCTGAACTTGATAATTACACTTTATCAAAAGTCAAACTGAACACAAAAAAACTGATAATTCAAATCATAAGTCACAAAAGAATAAAAAAAATAAATAAATTGAGAGCTAACATACCTGTCTCACTTTTAGGTCATTTTCTAAATTCTCATGAAGACGGAAGATGCACACATATTCTTTACCAGCCCCCTGTTGAGATTTGACTAGCCGTGTGGTTCTCTCCAAACAAACAATCAAACATCCTGGAAATTATGAGAAAAGTAGTAAAACTGACAAACCCTTCCTGATATGGTACTGTATATCTTGTTCTTTGACTCCAAGGCAAACTTCAATCTCTGAAATAGGAGTTACCTGTACATTTTTTTTGTTAGTAGCCTTTCTGTTAGTCATCATCAAATTACCCATTTCAGACCCATGAGCCTTGTGACCTTAACCATTCTTCCCATAAATCTTCATCAGAATTCCCCTGCCGATTCAGAAGTTAATTTGGGACAAGCAAAATAAAGCAGTGAATAAATGCTTCTTCCTTCAGGATGCATGAAAACTGTAATACAAATCTGTTAGTTTATTTCAGTTACTCTACAGAACTTAACATCACTAATTAACAGCAAATTTATATCAATTAAAACTAACCTGTAACTCTAGGGTCCAAGGTTCCAGAGTGTCCAGTTTTACGCAAGTGTAGAATGCGCTTTATCCAGGCTACAACTTCATGTGAGGATGGATTGGAAGGCTTATCCAAGTTAATAAAACCTGCTTTCACATATTCACCAATATCTCGCTTTAGAGGTGAGCAGCCATAGGGCAGTGGAGTGTAATGGTTGGAGCGTACATTTAGCTTGTCAAAATTCTGAAAACCAGAAACTTATGAATTCAATATTTTCACAGTCGAGCCTCCATGGCATAGGACATATGTAATCCCTCCCCACACGTTAAATGTACAGTATTAAATAAGTTCTGTGAGTAATTAACCACAACAAAGGATTAGTAAGGTCTAATTGAATGGCAAATAAAAATCTTTGAGTGTCAGTAACAAGAAGTTTTCCTTATATGAATTATTAAATACAAAATTTAACATTAATTTCCTGGAGAAAAAATACCATGACCAAATACAGTAAAACAATCCAAAAAAGCATGTTTCTTTCTTTTCTTAAGTGTACAACATAAACTTGTAAAATTTTTGGGGTAGGAAAATTTTAAGAAATTTTGAGAGAAATCCCGGACAAAACAAGCACCCACCTTCAACAACAGGGGCCACTCAGAAGTGTCAATGGCTTTTGGTGGGACATCTGATGGTTCAATCTTAAATGAAGTTTGCTGGTGGATTTCCCCAAGTAGTATTTTCGGCTTTTCTTCACTCTTTATTTTCTCCATTTTTTCAATCTTCATTTTCTCCATTTTTTCACTCTTTATTTTCTCCATTTTTTCACTCTTTATTTTCTCCATTTTTTCACTCTTTATGTTCTCCATTTTTTCAATCTTCATTTTCTCCATTTTTTCACTCTTTATGTTCTCCATTTTTTCACTCTTTAATTTCTCCATTTTTTCTAGGACACCTGTTAAGAGAACATAAGAACATAAGAAAATAAGGAGTCTGCAATAGGCCGGTTGGCCTGTGCATGGCAGCTCCTGTCGAGAGTTACTACCACTCTCTATCATCCATGAATCTATCCAGCCTCCTTTTAAAACTTTCCAGAGTTCCCGCACTTACTACATAGTTGCTAAGCTTGTTCCACTCGTCCACCACCCTATTTGTGAACCAGTTTCTTCCTATCTCCCTCCTAAACCTAAACTTATCCAACTTAAATCCGTTGCTCCGAGTCCTATCCTGCTCGGATATTATAAGATCTTTATCTATGTCCCCTTTATTGATTCCTTTCACCCACTTAAATACTTCTATCATATCTCCCCGCACTCTTCGTCTTTCTAGGGAATGCAAGTTTAGTTTCTTTAACCTATCTTGATATGGTAAGTTTCTAAGTCCCGGAATCATTTTCGTCATTCTTCGCTGCACCGACTCTAGTGAATTGATGTCCATTCTATAATAAGGGCACCAGAACTGAACCGCATAATCGAGGTGCGGACTGACTAGCGCCGCAAGATATAGTTGCAATAAGACCTCTGCACTCTTATTACTTACACTTCTAGATATAAAACCTAATACTCTGTTTGCCTTATTTCGAACATTAACGCACTGTTTTCTAGGCCGTAGGTCCGGGCTTACAAGTACCCCTAAGTCTCTTTCACAAGTCAACTTCTCTAGGTTGATGTTGTTAAGGCTGTATAAAATGTTGTTAAGGCTGTAGTATTTACATATCCAAACTACGTATATTTCCAACAGATTGAAGGTCCAAATCGTTCAAAACACATCATACACCATATAGGAAAAACAGTTTTGATATCTAACCTAACCCTAACGTAACCAGCCTAACCGGATGACCCAAAATAAAATAATACCCCTTCAAGTTATTCTCTTCATTACTCCACCCAGGTTACACTATACTGTACACTGAAAGAATCATTGAGTAAAAATACCCTATAATACATAGAATATCTTAAGAGTATTAAATGGTAGTGATCTTTGAAAACACCTTCATCAAACACTAATGTGTACAAGTACCCTTCCACCACTCCTAATGACCAACACCAATATTAAACTATATGTGATTTTAGCAGCAACACAGCTCAGTAATAATGTGTAGGCAGCCGCAGTGTAGGCGGTCCGACTAATTACCCAAATGTAGCCATAATGAAGTCAAATAATGGTCCTACATGAATAAATCGGACTGCCAGCCACTTCTCGACTAGTATTTGGCGTCACAAAGTCGCAAAAAATTGGAAAACTTAATTTAAACCGAGTTAATAGATCGCGTGCATGTACCGAGGGAGCGAGTAATTACCCGAATGAACTCAAAGTAGCCAAATGTAGTCGCAATTAACTCAAATAATGGTCCTACAGGAGTAAATCGGGCTGTGAATCACTTCTCGATTATTATTTGGTGTTATAGTCACAAAAAATTGGTAAACTTAATTTAATCTCAGTTGTGTTAGGTTAGGTTAGGTACATGCACTCGATCTATTAACTCGGTTTAAATTAAGTTTTCCAATTTTTTGCGACTTTGTGACACCAAATACTAGTCGAGAAGTGGCTGGCAGTCCGATTTATTCATGTAGGACCATTATTTGACTTCATTGTGGCTACATTTGGGTAATTACTCGGACCCGCACTGTAGGTAATAGTGAATGGCACACAGGATAATACTTGGACCCATCAGGTTGGAAATTTTTAAACTAAAGTACAATTCAATTCTGACCCCTGAAAAGGCCATGGCTATAAGCCTAGGTAATAGGAAGGTGCCCCTGAGACGAAATACTACGACTGTTAGTAAACCCGACTGTTGTTACCAGAGGAGGCAAGCCATCTTAGATATTACCAAAACTAACACTGACTGAAAATTCGAAAAAACCTATAACTCATGCTGGGGAACTCGGCCTTACCTACTCGAAGTTCCTTCTAAATTTCCTGGGATTTTGTAGCGCTTACACCGTTTCTACACCAACACTGACCACTTACAACACTAATATACTTCTACCATGCATAGAAAGTACTGTATTAGTCGCTGAGAGCAGCAGCATTAGGAAATTACTGAGAGAGAAGCCACACCGTTTTCAGCCATGTTGTTTGTTGACGAGCACGTGCGTCCTCCCGCTCACCCGGGCCGCTGGTTAATATGTACCACTCCTCCAGCCTCTTATTATATTGAATTTTACCTTCACATATATTCATATACCATTACAATCCGACTCTATCACAATAATATTCTTTATATATATATATATATATATATATATATATATATATATATATATATATATATATATATATATATATATATATATATATATATATATATGTGTGTGTGTGTGTGTGTGTGTGTGTGTGTGTGTATTCATTTTCTTTACTTATTTTTCTTTATATTATATACAACCCCTTCAGAATAATTTTTTTTTCTAATATAGTTTTATTTTCTTATGTATTTGTCTTATGTTACAAACTAACTCAATTTTACTGCTAGTATTTGTATAATTATTGTTTCATTCTTCATTTACTTTACTTTTTGTGTGTGCCTATATTTCACATTTAATATATTTATTTTGATCAAATTTCACCTATATATGTAATTATATTATGCGCTACAAACTTATGCATGATACTATACTAATAATAGTTTTACAATTAATATTTACCAGTCTCCATTAATTGTACTGTGATTACTTTTCTTATCAGTGGCTGCCACGTGCTCCACTCTTCATACAGTTACCAGTTATTATTACCACCAGTGGTAAATACCTCCACTAGTGGTAATGTCGAATTTTGTTAGTAAACAAATCCTAAAAATGTTTGTGTTGTCTTATATAGTATGTTGTCGTCCACTCATCATAAACATCCATAAACATTTTATTAAGACAATTAGATTGGTGTTAAATTGTGAAGTATTACAATATAATTAATTTATTTCACGGGTGCAATTATCATCAGAATCTAAGATTATTAGATATTAATTTGCAGGATTCAGTCAACCATCCCTCAGACGTGACCGATCGCCCAAGCGGCTAACGAGCCGATCAGTGGCGAAATGAATTAAAGTAAGACTGCATCTCAAAAGTAAATTAGATTTTATTCCTGTGTTGCTTTTTGACAAACTCGTGAATAACTCCATCGATAATTGACAAATATGTAATTAGAAGCAAAATTCCTTGGACAAATTGTTAATATCAAACAATTACTTGAGGGTTACGTCGGTAAAACGAGGCTTGGAATAATAGCATTTATGCAATCACATTTTCTTTGTATTACATAACCCCCAAGAAATTAATCTAAAGTATTCTGATATAATTTAATATAATCTAATAATCTAATGGCATTTGTCTAAACCTAAGTCAGTTCACTTGAACCGAACGTGACCTAACTTAACCTTTGTTGTCTCATGCAAAGTTGCAAACCAGAGCCAGTCGTGGCGTGACCTCATAAGGGGACAGACGTGCCCATATAGGTGCTCTTGACTTCCCGATCGTCCCACAAAGGTCCCCTCAGCTGGCAAGTTTTGCCAGCATGGGGGGTCGACATAAACGTCCCAGAAGAGGCTCTCTCATAGACGCAGACGCACACATCTGTGATACTGATACCATTACCAACTCGCCTGGTCATACTGAATCCAACGCCCTTCAAGAGTCAGACCCCAGTGATTATGACAGTGACGGTAATGTTTCTATGGGAAACACTAGCCGAAGTGGAAACACCAATGCCACGGACCCTATCACCCTGCCCTCTGCCAACCAGCCAAGTAAGCTGAATCTGCACTTCCCCAAGGACTCACTGAAAACTGTAGAGGAACGCTTTAATTGGATGATGAAGTACTGCAGACAACACGGTCTCTACATTCAATTCCGACAAGGTAAGAACCGGAACTTTATCAAGTGTCAGACTTCTGAGGCCTATGAAACACTTAGTACTGTTGGCTTTTCCCTTGAGTCTTTTATCCTCTTCGCCACTGATCGGCTTGTTAGCCGCTTGGGCGATCGGTCACGACTCTTTTCCTTTATATTCTTCACCAAAAGGTCGGCTCGCTAGCCGCCCGGGCGATCGGTCACGTCTCTGTCACCCACTGTTGGCAAATACTGGGCATGCACCGGCTCCTGAATGTACCTGAACCCGCTCCAGTGTTGGTCAAGTCTTCTCTTGAAAGAGCTCACACTCGGTGCCGTCACAACACTTTCTGGTAGATTGTTCCAAGAGTTTACAACCCTCACTCCGAAAAAGTTTGCCCTCACGGTTTTCCGGACTTGCGGCTTCTTCAATCTTGAGCTGTGACCCCTTGTGGGGCGAGCGTCCGCCAGCTCCAAGTAAGGACACTCAACTGAGTAGTGCCCCCTGAGATGCTTATAAACCTCAACTAGGTCCCCCCTTGCCCGTCTGTAGTATAAGCTAGGCAAGTTCAGGCGCTCCAATCTCGCAGGGTAGCTGAGATGCCGAAGTGCAGGCACCAGCTTGGTGGCCCTCCTTTGAACATTTTCAACCAACTGACAGTCCCTAGCATATCTCGGGGACCAGATGGGGTGACAGTACTCCAGATGGGGAAGCACTTCACTCCTGAAGATCGTCACGAGGGACGGACCGTCTAGATATCTGAACGACCTTCTTATAAGACCCAATAATTTATTTGCCTGATTTACCTTCTTCTCAATGGCCTCCCCCCCCCCCCTTGTAGACGCTGATGAATGTTGCCACATCCTAGTGAAACGTTTCCCCTTATACGCTGACATCGAAGATGCGCGTGACTTTAACTCTAGTATACTGAGTATACGTCGCCATTACCAGGGGAGAGTTTCACAACCCGCTGTCATTATCAAGTGGAAGGGAAGGGAGTGCCCAACCACTGTGAATGCCCACCCACTCTTACCCCCACTGTATGCAGAAGCCTATCATCCTGAGCCTGCATTTTGTGTTGTCTGTTCTCATTGGGGTCACAACTTCACTGCCTGCTGTCGTCGTGATCGGCCGAGATGTAGCTTCTGTTCATGTAACCACAACTCCGCCGGCTGTGCCCAGAAAATCAAAGACCACCTTAATAGTGGTGGGGTGGGCTATGTAATTGATCCCAGAGGTTGTAACTGTGGCGGCCGGCACAATGCTGACTCACGGCAATGCCCCAATCGCCCGTCTGTCCCAGGGGAAAAGCCTCCCCGAAGGCCAAGTCTACCCCAACGCCCCCCCCCCCCAGTCTTCCGGGCCACACCCCCCTGTGTACCCTGTGTCTCCAGCAACGCCTTCTACAACAACACCTGCCTCTGCCTGGCCTCTCCTGGCTACAACACAGCAGTCCCGGCCGTCTCCTAACACAACTACTACTGGGCCTCCTCCCTGTCTCTACTCTGAAGCTGTCAGGCCTTGCGCTCCCACCGGTGTCCCCCACAACCCCCCTCCAGTGACATGACACAGATCATATCCCTCTTCCAAGAATTTACCAACAGTATTGAACAACTCTTCGCTACACTCTGTACCACCATCTCCCACCTACTCCTGCCCTCTGTTGCCACCCAGTCACTCCTCTCTGCTGGTTTGACACAAGCTGTTGGTCCCCCTGTGAGCCCCCCCTGCTCACGGCCTACTCCACCGCCGGCGGCCTTCACTACTGGTGTAGCGCCTCCCGGGCCTGCCCTGGTATGTCCTGCTGCCCCTGAGCGAAGTCCTGCCTCATCTTCACGACACTTGGTGCCTCAACCTGTCCTCCACCCACCGCAAGCCGCGCCCGCTCCTGTATCTGAGCGTCGACCAGTCTTTAGCAAGACGAAGTGCAAAAACGTTTACAATTTTACAGGGCCCAACAGGGAATCATGCGGAGTTCATGCTTGCCTTCATGATTCTTGCTTAAGAACGCAATTGCCTGAAGGCGCATGAGTTTGTCAGTAAGTTACATCCACGGGAGGATGAGTGTGTTGGGGTAGGAGAGTTCCCGCTACAATTTATGCTTATGACACAGTGTGGCAGACCTGTTTCTAGGTGAAAGGTTATCCTGTTCTGTAAATGCCTGGACGAGCAAAAGGTCCCCAGTGATTGGAAAATGGTTTATGTGAGTCCTATCTTCAAGAAGGGCGATCGTCACTCCACGAATGACTATAGACCGGTGAGCCTAACCAGCATAGTATGTAAAGTACTTGAGAGCATTATAAGAGATGCCATGATGGAACATCTACTACGAAACAACTTTGTAAAGGATTGCCAACACGGTTTTATGCCGGGGCGCTCCTGCTAAACACAATTACTCAAGGTACTGGATATTTGGACCCAAATTCTGGAATAGGGTGGTAATACCGACAATATATACATAGATTTTGCCAAGGCTTTCGACAGTCAACCCCATGAAAGGCTGAAAATTAAACTGGAAGGGTACGGGATTCTGGGAAATGTCCTTGTGTGGATAGGAGACTTTCTCCATGACTGGAAGCAGTGTGCGATGATTAATGGAACGAAATCATTATGTGTATCTGTCACAAGTGGGGTACAACAGGGCAGTGTATTGGGCACGCTATTGTTTGTTTGCTTCATAAATGACATGTCTGACGCTGTACACTCCTCCATACAAATGTTTGCGGATGATACCAAGTTATTTCGGGAAATTAAGAACCAAGCAGACTGTGAAGAGCTGCAGAAGGATCTCTGTGAGCTTCAAGAATGGTCGAAGAAATGACTGCTAAGATTCAATGTCACGAAGTGTAAGTGGCTGCACCTGGGGTGTACCAACGGTAAGGAGGCGTATTATATGTCCCAACGGGACGATGAAACTGGGTGTGTATGTTGACAGTGAGCTGAAGTTCTCGGGCCATTGCGAGAAGAAGGTAAATCAAGCAACTAAATTATTAAGTCTTATAAGAAGGTCGTTCAGATATCTAGACGGTCCGTCCCTAGTAACGATCTTCAAGAGTGAAGTGCTTCCCCGACTGGTCCCCAAGTTATGCTAGGTACTGTCAGTTGGTTGAAAATGTCCAAAGGAGGGCCACCAGACTGGTGCCTTCACTGCGGCACCTCAGCTACCCTGAGAGATTGGAGCGCCTGAAATTGCCTAGCTTATACTACAGACGGGCAAGGGGGGACATAATTGAGGTGTATAAACATCTCAGGGGGCACTACTCAGTCGAGTGTCCTTGCCTGGAACTGGCGGACGCTCGCCCCACAAGGGGTCACAGCTCAAGGTTGAAGAAGCCGCAAGTCCAGAAAACTGCGAGGGGTAACTTTTTCGGAGTGAGAGTTGTGAACTCTTGGAACAATCTACCAGAGAGTGTTGTGATGGCATCAAGTGTGAGCTCTTTCAAGACCAGACTTGACCAACACTGGAGCAGGTTAAGGTACATTCAGGAGCCGGTGCATGCCCAGTACTTACCAACAGTGCGTGACAGAGACGTGACCGATCGCCCAAGCGGCTAACGAGCCGATCAGTGTTGAAGAGGATAAAAGTACTGTTAAAAGGGTGTTGGTGACGGCTGGGGGACCTGTAGATCATAGATCAAGTGAGGATGTAGCGAGAGAGGGTGTGAGTCGGAACTTGAGTTACACTTGACATTACACATGTTAAAACATCAATCTAACAAAACAGCTTGAATGAAGTTTTAAACACTTTCCAACCTTGTCTGGTACATAAGAAGACATATTGTTTCTCATGAAGATTCGGCACCCCAGCTTATTTCACCTGATGATTAAATAAGCTAACACAGAAAACACTAACCTAACCTTACATAACTTAACCTAGCCGAAGTTAAATTTTAGCATAACCTTACCTGACCTAACCTTACATAACTTAACCGAAGTTAACTTTAACTAAACCTAACCTGACCTAAACTAACATTACCTCTCACCCCCGCTGTCGCATTTGGGTGTTTAATAACCAGATGAAATAGGCTGGGATGTTTAATCTTCAGGTAATCTAATTAATATTACAAAGATAACTGTACTACAACTAGCACACAATTTTTGGGGAAAAAATGACAAACAAGGGGTAATCTAATAAAAGTTATGAGCACATCATATGGCTGACAAGTAAAGAGAAGAAACAAAACTTTTACCTGTATAATGATTATATTGAATATCCATACATCAATTTATCGATCTAATTATGTAATTACTGTAAGTACGTATGTACACAGTATGTATTGTACAGTATATGTACGATGTTTGAGAAGCAACCAAGCAGCTGAGTCTCGACCCCGGCGGTGAGTGAAGCAGGGGTCGAGGTGAGTGAAGCAGGGGTGGAGGCGGGTCGAGCCCTGCTTCACTCACGCCCATCATTATTGTAAACAAACGCCATGGCGAACTGTTGGTCAATAGGAGTGTTCTTAATTATCCTTCTAGGATCGTTTTGTATATGGAACTGCATGACACGTGATGTGCCGCCAGATACATCAAATTGGTATGGATGTCGTGACCAGAAAGGGAGTCCAGTTGACTCGTAAGTATCACAGTAAATACAACAAGACCAAAATATTGACGGGGCAGTGTGTCACGGGGCAGTGTGTCACGGGGCAGTGTGTCACCCACTGGTAAACTTCACATTTAGAGGCGTGTGTATACCAATTATTAATGACAACACTAAAGTTAACATATTACCTTCAACTATTTTATATTTACCATATTGACGTAGCTCCAAAGCGGTCCGACTAATTACCCAAATGTAGCCGCAGTGTAGCCAAATGATGGTCGTACAGGAGTAATTCAGGCTGTGAATCACTTCTCGATTATTATTTGGTGTCATAAAGTAAAAAAAAATTGTAAACTTAATTTAATCTCAGTTGTGTTAGGTTAGGTTAGGTACATGCACTCGATCTATTAACTCAGATTAAATTAAGTTTACCAATTTTTTGTGACACCAAATACTAGTCGAGAAGTGATTGGTAACCCGATTTATTCATCTTTGACCATTATTTGACTTCATTGCGGCTATATTTTGCTACATTTGGGTACATTTAGGTAATTAGTCGGACCCGCTCCAAAGTATCTGCTTTATGTTAGTGAAATTGCATAGGATGTAAACCATATTTAAGTATGAAATAAGCTTTTAATTTTATGGTGAAATAAGCTGGGGGCTAATCTTGGGGTTTTCTAAAAGCAGGAATATTTAAGCAAGGAAAGTATGGTCATGACAACTGTAATATATGATAAACTTTATATTGACTAATGTTTCTAACTTTAACCTAATCTGACCTGACCAAACATAACTTGATTTCTTAACCAAACCTAACATAACATAACCTGACCTAACCTAGCTTAACCTGACCTAACCTAGCTTAACCTAGCTAAACTTGATCTAACCTAGCCTAACATAACCTAGCACAACCAAATGTAACCGAAACTATTATTAAATTATGAATTAAATTAATGCAGTACAGTATATATTGGAATATGTCAGGGATATTATATGTTACCTGGCATAATAGATCTTGAATATTTTAATTGTCATTGTTTTTCTTCAGGTTTGTCGTCTACAAATTACCACATGATAAAGAAGCACGTTTTGGTCCCTTGAGGAATGGAACTGCGTATATGTACCTCACGCCAGAGACAGCTGATAGGTAAAAAGAATGTCACTGTTGTGGTCTAGGTTTTCTGTAGATGTTATTGTCTCTTTTTTTAGTAACAGTATTGAGTTGTGTTTTTAACTGTATTTTTATTTATTTTTTAATTTCTGTTCAATCTTTATTTAGTTCTTGTTACAGAGAAGTTTTTGATGGCTGATAATATTTGTTACTAAATGACTGTATTCTAAATTCTGGATTTATAGGTAATGTGAACTAGTTTAAGCCATAGTCTTGAAATGTATTCTAGAATTAAAATGATAATTATCTTTCAGGAGATCTGTAAGAGTTGAATTGTACTTGAGAGAAACTGGCAGTGGTTAGTATAGTGCTCACAGTCATCATGATCATCACTGGGTCTTGTTGTGTTGGTGCTGATGTCACTATTGCTGGCATAGTCTTCTTGTACATGTGGTGGAGGCTTGTGTGTAGTGGACTGTGGTAGAAACAGAGTGAAATTGATGTACCTATTCTCTTATCGGGTCATCACTTAGAAATACTATAAGGTGTAATACAGTCTTGCTTCCCCAATTGATATCTCTGAAGTTTTTCTGAATGCAGTAACACCACAAAGACAATACTTTTTACCAGCCTTTTCCAGTATGGGACATTTCCAGATGGTTGTGTCAGCACCTCAGCATCTGTTGGTGTTATTAAGATTTTTTCTCACAACTCTAGGGTTTTCATCCACAGATTGATGCAGTGGATAAAAAAAAAATAGTTATTACTAAAATCCATGAATCAGCCATCCTTAACTCAGGGTCTGTCTGTACAGGCTATATGCATTTATTGTAATGTTTGTCCATTATAGAGATTAATGAGAATAATTTGTATGGTTTTAAGACTTCAAGGTGGCGGAGTTTCCAGTGTGTTCAGTGAGTACCGGGATTCAGCCAGTGGTTGGGTGCTGAGTAATGTGAACATTGGTAGTGAGTTCTCTATGCCTGCAAGAACACTCAGTAGACTATATACAGATCAACAGTTATTGAAGGTAAATGTTCTTATTTGTTCTGGGTTTATAAATTAAATTTGTACATTAGAGTGATAAAAAAATTTATGTTGATGACTATAGACTGTAAGATCTGTTTACATTATAATTTGCCACTTATTTGAAGTTTGTGTACAGCTTCTGTGTTCATGAGACCTGTACAGCATCTCACAAATAGAAGACCAAATTAAATGTTGTGTCAGATGTTGAAAAAAAAATTGAGGAGTTTATTGTCTCACTTGTTTTAATGAAATTCATTTACACTGCCGTTTCCAGTGTAATGACAAGTCTTTCTGCTCATGATGACATCACATGATTGACGTGTAACAATTCTCAACCTGAAACAATCATATAGTACTATATTGTTCACTGACAGTTTGGTTTTATATACCTTACTGTATATAACATTACATCAGGCTTGAGTAACTTATGCATTCTCCAGCCAGCATTAGTGGCTGGAACAAATTCATTAACTAGTGTGACATTAGTGCTTTAAGTTAATATTTGTATTTATTATTTTCCACAAAACCTGATACATTCATATTTCCACAGAATGCAGCCTTCTTAATGTACAATGATGAATTTCCAAATGGCACCAAGTCGTTCACGAAAGGTCACACGAAGGGCGTTGTGGTGATGACTGTAAAGGGAGGATTCTGGCTGGTGCATTCTGTGCCTAAGTATCCCCCGCCCCCTGAGAATGGATATTCTTACCCGATTTCAGCTTCTCGTTATGGGCAGACCATGTTGTGTATTAGTCTTCCTCCCGACCAGTCTCAAAACTTAGGTAAGTGCAGCACTGCTAGTCATCATTTGATGGTGCATTAGTAATACTGTTTTTATAAGGACAATTACAGGTAGTCATCATTTAGTAGGTTATTAGTAATATATTTTTCTAAGCATTATTAGTCATAATTTGATAAGACATCAGTAACATTGTACTGTAATTTTATTAGTTATTATGTAATTCTGAAATAAGTTTATAATTCTCTTTCATCAAGGATTACAGTTGCTCCAGAACAACCCATATGTTTATGCCTCCAACATGCCGGACTCGCTCACCTCCCAGTTCTCTATGTTGCTGAAGGTGATGCAGGGGGAACGCCCACTGAGTGCTCCCTGGTACAGCATCACAACACTGAATTCAATAGGTGGCAAATCATTCACTTCTTTTGCCAAATATAAGAATTATGACGAAGGTAATTGTTAATTTTATAGTTCTTTTATTTATATGTAATTTGTTATAGTTCTGCATAGTCATTCAAAAATGGTGTGTTGTATTTTAGTTTATATTTATGCTCTTTTTTATTTGATTTAAGTACATTAAGCCGTGTTGTTTATATTGATTGACAGAATTTTATCCCTAATTTACTTTCAGCCAAAACAGAAATACGTATAATAATGTGAAGCTCAATAATTACTGTAAGTATAATAATAGCTGTACAGGGAGGTTGTATTGTGCTGTACAGTGAACCCTCACTTTACGCGGTCAATTGAACCCACGGCAGTCCGCGTAAAGTGAGAAACGCGTAAAGTGAACAACATAACATATGGGATTAATTGAAATAGAGACCGGGCCGACCCCCAAACTCCACTTTTTCAGACACAATACCTACGTTGTAGTAAAAATAACTTCTTAATTTTATGATGGTATGCACACACAAGTAATAATTAAGAGAAATATCAATAATATTAGGTTTTTTAACACTTACATTAGTAGAAAAGATGGCTGGGCACACGGGGATGGGGGGTTGGTTCCGAGGCAGAGGGCAGATTATTGGCCCTCACCTGTATCACTTGTATCAATTGTATCACTATCCACCACATAGGCTTGCAGGGCCTCTTTGTCAAACCCCTCAAAGTCCATATAAGTCCATATCCTCACTATCATTATCACTATCACTGACTTGGGCCGGCTGTGGTGGGTGAAGAGCTCGGTAATGTTTTGATGACTAGGCGACCTTGTGCGCACCCTGCTCGCGCCGCTCTCCGCGTAAAAGGGTACACACACCGCGGAAAGTGAGCATTCCGTGTTTGGCAGGGTACCGTGTAAAGTGGGACCGTGTAAAGCGAGGGTTGACTGTACTGTATTTTGATGAACACATTTGTAAACAGGATTTTAATATGCCTAAATCTTAGCCCATTTATTGCAGTCTTAGTACCAAGTATCTGTTACAATTCTTAGAACTTGTTGGGTTCCTAATTCATTCCCATTATTATTTTTAATGGTGTTCAGTATAATTTTCTGGATGAAATTTATGTTTACAACTAGTCAACTGCTATGACTTGTAATGGTCACTAACAGCCTGAACGAGTGGAGGCGAGTCGATAAGTTACTTACAGACGCCGTTGATTGAAAAGTACAGTATTTAATTGGATTTTTTATGTCACAAGAGTAACTTTTGAACATTGTAGACATATTATAGAGAATTAATATTATTTTGTATAAGTATTCTATATAATTCCATGTACTACCTACAGACTTATACAGTGGTTTAGTGGCCCCTGTGTTGGAGACTGAAATTGTGGTAGAGAGCTGGAGGAATGGACCCCAACCTCTCAACTCTACTTGTAATGTGACATATAAGTAAGTGTCTTATAGTTTATGGTCAGGAGAATACAGTGACTTAAGTGTCTTTTGAAATAGGTAAAGGTAACTAGGTTTGAATAGTTTGGTTAAGTAATACTGTACGTACCTAGAGCTGGTCAGAATATTATTGATGGTACTTATCTGAGAGCTGGTAATATTTTGTTCACCTGCGCAAAGTTGAAAGAAGTTGCAACTATTTCCCAAGCTTCATAACAATTGTTGACATTGGTGGTGTTGGTGAATTGGATAACTGTTACTCTACACCTGAAGTGATATTTCTTAGCAATTATGGACATCTGATGACACTTGAGTCAGTTTTGTGAATTATAGGTATCTGTGTCCTTTATTGGGAGTCTGTGCCTGACCAGGGCCCCAGAAGGTGTCCTCACCATCTCAGAGGAGAGTACTGTGTTGTGTGTTAACCCACTCTCCCACCCCTTGGCCCTCCCATACCTTAAACTACTACTTCCCCCTTTCTAACATCAGAAGCAGCTCCTAGATACCTAGCTAAATTTATTAAGGCTTTTATTATGTTTTAAATGTATTTGTATTTTTCTCAAAGGTAAAAAGGGATAATAACTTAGCTTGGATTTTTAATGCAGGAAAGGGCCTCATGCTGTATCTTTATACAGGGTGGAGAATGTGGAGAGTGTGGTGGCTCGGGCAGCTTCCACCAGCTTCACCACACATCGTGACCACAGCAAGTGGGTGGTGGCTGTTGAACCGGACAAACCCTATGTGTGCATCGGTGACATCAACAGAATGGTATGGAGTAAAATGAAAAATTTTAGGATTACTTTTATTTAATTGAGGTAATTTTATGGATATACAGTATGTACTGTACTGCACAGTTTATAGATTTGAGTGATTTTGCACCTGCCTTATTATTACTGTATATTGGGGTGTAGTTCACATTTTTTAAAATATATATATATATATAAAAGAGATAGTTTATTGGTTATGGGAGTAGTAGGGGTTACACCATTTCCACATTACATTATCCACCTCTAATTTGCAGATGTTTTCACCAATTAAAAAATTTCCTCTGAGTAAGGTGTTCTGTTAGCTCATTCATATTACCTAAAATTATATTGAAAGTACCATTACTTTACTGTATTTATCTTGTGATAAAAAAACATAAATTGATGAAATTTTCACTGCTGGGTAGTTGTGGTATTTGAAAACTCGATAATACTTCCAGAAAAACAATTGAGGATTGATTCTTCTTCTTTGTCTTGCAGGAATCACAGCTCCATCGTGCAGGAGGGACTGTGTGCATGCAGAGTTTGAGCATCTGGCACAGATTCCACAACTTGGTGCAGAGTGTGGAGACTTGTCCAAAGACAGTGTAATGTTGGCATGCATTTTATTTTAAATTTTCATCTAATTTAAAGTTCATTTGAATTTAATAGGAGTGACTGTCCTCCTGGGCTCCTTGTGTTTACTGTGTCAAGGTTTGGTTGATACTACAGAAGCTCAATTGAAAACTTCAGAGAATTTCTCATGTTCAGTGATGATGTCTTATTATGCTTAAGTATAATTGTAAGAATTTGTTATTTTATTAGATTTTGTATTAATGCCATGGTATGGGAGCCATGTTCAGACTTTATGGTACAGTACAGTACATAACTTAGTACAGATTAATAAGTTTGTAATATTATTTCTGTGTCTGAGGGGTAATCTTGCTCCCTCTGTGTTCCTTTATATTTTTTCTATACTATTTTATATAAATTTATTGCATTTATTGTGAGACAAGCAGTGTTGAGAATTAGTTATTAATGTGATGCATAGATGATAAAACACAAGATTACTGTACCAAAGGCTGTAATTTATTATATTTTTTTTAAAGAAAGAGTATTTGTGAGGTTGCTGTACATGTTGGTTGAGAAAGTACAATGTGCAGCAGCAACCACAATGTTCATAGTGCTGGTACAAAAGTGTGTAGAGTTGTACAAATACTGTGTTTACTGACCTGATACAATGTTTATAGAATTAGTTTTTTATCCAATATGTTGTTTATATATCTGATACAAATACAGTATTTATAAAACTGATTCAGACAAATGCACATCAATAAGATACTGTGGTAGTATTAAAAAGGCAATGAAAGAACACTAAGAAAGAAAGAAAGAATAATATGATTTATAGAATAGGATATAGTAATCTTGTACTAGTGTTTAATTTTATAATGTGTCACTCATGGTTGATAATACAGGGTTAATTGTTTATTTGATAACCCTGAATGATTACTATATTTAAGGATGTGCGATAAACAGGGACCTAAAAATCAATAGGAATAAAGTCTGATCATTGTGAAGACTACATACAAAGTGGGTGCTAATTTCTTTATTTTTCATTCTCACTAATTTTCACCATTTTTTCTTTATTTTTTCCGTCAAGTCAAATCAGTTCAGACATACAAGATATAGTAGACATTTAAAACTGATTAGTTACCAAAGTCAATATATTTTCACCATATTCTACTTCCAAAGCACCAAAGACATGTTTGTTCATTCAGTAATGAGAGGGCAAATTCCAAATGAGTTATAACTTGTAGGATAGACTTAACAGCAAGAGACCTGATCTTGTTAAGGTATTAAGGATGTTTTATGGTTTATATAGCTTAATTTCAGGAGACTAAATGAAGATGCAGTAAAGGAAGCCTGTGTGACTGCATCATAAGACCCATCTAATATTATCTTAGGTAATTTAAGTTGTACAATTTCTGTATAAGGTGCTTGAAAACCCCATAATACAGTAATGTGTTTGTCTCACAAGTAAATGGTCTCACCAACTTCAGCCTGAAGTGGAATGCATGACAGGACAGTGTTAACAGATGGTGATCTATATACGAGGCAACAGCCAGGTTTAGAGGTTGGCTGCACTATCCCGGAATACTGTATACATTCTATCCAATGAAAATGCTTTATTAATTTGATGGAATTTCCACCTGCTTTCCATTACCAACTGCTGTTGACATTTCTCAAAAACCATGGCAGAAGGAGTTGATTCAGGAACAGAATATCTGACTAGTATTGTATTAGCCTAAATACTATTTGCCAAATTACAGACCAGCATTCAATAACAGTTGGCATCTGTACAATACATCCAAGCTAATGTATCATTTTTAGGCTTTGTCAGCTTTGACCTTTTATAGAAGAGTCTGAGACTCGTATCTTTTTTAGCAGCAGTTGTAAAGTCCTTCCACAGAAGAAGTGTGACAGGTGGCTTCATCACTGACCTCATGAAGTCCTTCAGGGTCCCACAGATGACCATGAATAGCAACTAGTGACATATTGGGCAGACCCTTCCCTCTCAAGTCATTCCTGCAATTCCTTGACATATTTTTCAGTTCAAGGTATGTGGTAAATTCTGACCTCATTCACCCCATGGTACTCTGACCTCATTACTACAGTGAGTAACTAATATAGGAAGCTTTAAGTCTGCTATGAGGCTTAGTTGTACGTCAGTAGATTGCTGTAGGAATAGTTGTTTACAGTATTATGTTCATATAAGGTGTAGTTATGGGCATGGCATATGTCATAACTTTACCCTGTTGTGGAATATTAAGATTTGGGAGTCAAGCAGAAGAGATAATGTGACTATGTGTGTTAGTCCTTGGATAAAACAGTTAACTGGATTTTCTGGTAATAGTTGTAGGGATAATGTACCAACAATTATCACTTGGTCTATGCTACACAACTTGACATACCGGTATTTACATCCAACGATATGTTGTACGGGGTTGCTTTAGCAAGTATCCACTTTGAATGTCCATATTACACAACATGAATACTGTACAAACTTGTAAACAGAAGAATAAGAAGTGGAAAGATTAGCAAGAGATGGACATAGATTGTGAGTACAAAGTGTAGTTATTTCTTGGTACTGTAGAAGATAATCGTTATCATTATCTATGGATGCAGATTTTGCTTTAGTCCTTCATTTGTTCATCATGTCACCTTTTGCCATAGTGTTTGCCATCCAGCCATGTACAGCATCAGTCATAAATACTGTACACCAGCTTTGAGAAAAGAGGCAGTTTTAAAGATACACTATCTGATGATGGATATAGTCTCTCCCTTCCCTCCACTTAACTGAACACTGGTAATCTTGTTCATGGAAGCACTAAAGTCATTTCAAGTGTTCATATGATACACTTCCACTGAAAACCTCTCATTTCCCAAACTAAACAAGCATGTACTGGCTAGCTTTTTACTCTTTATTTAAGAATTTGTTCAGCCCAGACTTTTAACGGAAGCGGTATACATTAGTTTTAATATAACCAACTTGTCGGAAGAAGAAAAGAATATCTCATCAGACTGTTTCATTATATACAGTGTAAATCATTGTATCCTGGGTCACCTCTTTTTATTTGGTCTGTGTTTGATGACAACTGATATCTGTTGTCATTACCTTGGGGTCACCAGCCATTGTCCTGTTAAGTAATCTGAATTTAACTCCATAACCTAAAAACAAGTACAGTAAGTATTTGTATCCATGCACTGTACTCTTGTTTGTCTCATTCTTTACACTGGTACTGTGAAGTTTTGCCAGTTGTAAACCAAATAATACTGTACTCGTTTTAACGTTTTTCTGAATATTCGTTATAAGCTTAGTTTATGTTTATTTATCCACGCATTGTGGCTGATCTGAATTTTAAGTGTATGCTAAGTGTGATGTTTTTGGGGTATGGTGAGTTTCTGTTTCGCATCCTCAATCAATCCAGATGTGGCATATCCGCAGTGGGTGGGTTATGGAGTTTTTCATTTCCTTATTTTAGTAAACTTTGGTATTATTAATATTAATTTTCCCTTATTAAAGCTTTTGCAGTTCTAGTAAAAGTTAATGATAATGGTAATATTTACATTTTTCCTCTACCTCTCTCTTGTTCTATAATAATAGACAATTAAAAAGACATTTAGAATTGAGATATATGTTTTGGAAAGGCTTGGGTTCTTGTACGTAATGGAGAGACCGTGTGCAGGGATCAGCAGCAGTAGTGATCGATATTAACATGTGCATTGATCAACAGCACTAATGATCGATATTAACATGTGCATTGATCAACAGCACTAATGATCGATATTAACATGTGCATTGATCAACAGTACTAATGATTGATATTAACATGTGCAATGATCAGCAACAATAGAATTAATACTTCAGTGAATATGTCATCATTTCCAAGCATATTATCGAACTCTATACACGGCTACTGTATATTTTTTATGACACATCTCTATAGGTTAATATACTGTATAAGCAAGTGGTACTATCATGTTAGTTCCACCAGGTGCTCCATGCTAAGAGGGTCAGTGTTAGCACCTTTCCTGTAATTCTGCAGCAAAGTAAGAAATGGCATACTGTATTAGGTTAAAAAGAATTTGCAGTGTTGGTTTCTTGTTTGTACATTAAATACAGAATGCTAAGAGGGTCAGTGTTAGCACCTTTCCTGTAATTCTGCAGCAAAGTAAGAAATGGCATACTGTATTAGGTTAAAAAGAATTTGCAGTGTTGGTTTCTTGTTTGTACATTAAATACAGAAGAAATATAATGTTGGCTTTTATGAAGGAGAGGAAATAAGTTTTAAGTCTTCCATTATTATTATTATTATTAGTGTATTATTTAGGTAATGTATTAAGTTTAACCCAGATATTCAGCTTAATTTCAAAATGGAAGCCACAAAGACTTTTAAAATCCTGAGTGGCAGGTTTCATTGTACTGTGTGCCACCCCATGGGATAGTAGGAAGTTTTGTCTTTCTGTTGATTCACGCAGTTCATCAACCTCACGCACCTGCTGAAGAGTACACACGCCGGTAACATCTTTGGGAATAACCTCAGTACAGTAGAGTATGCCGGTTGACCTGTTTATTTGACGGTGACGTTTTCCATTGGGATTTTTTTATTATTTTTATTCTTTATTGCTTTGTTAATTGTTTGTGTTTTGAGTTGTGTTTTTCTGTTTGGGTCTTGTTGAATATTTTCAAATTGTTCTATTTGTTTTTCACATAAATATCAGTAAATGTGAGTAACTCTGACTGTTGAGTGGTAACATATGGAAGCTTTACTCAATAAGATATTAAACTATAGACAAATACACAAGTGGTAAGGGAATAATATGGTTGTTCCATAAAAATAAATTAAATTGTCTTGAAAGTTGGATTCTAGTCAATATACTAAGTGATTCAAGAGTTTTATTCCTTATATTTATTATGTTAATAAATAAATCACTATAAGACAGTGAGGATTTGTACTGTGTTAATGAAAAGAGGTGAAATATGTCTTAGACTAGGGACACAGATCAGTATAAAGGAGCTATGACAAACTAGTGTGGTCAACGTTTAGATTTTATTGCATTTGACATTTGTCATGGCCAAGATGTAACTTAGAAAGATATTTTTATAATAAAGAAAAATAGGAGACTTAGAAAGGACAGGAGGTCCCCTAAGCCCTAAGATTTAGAAATACCTCTGGGACATTTTTACTATGTAAGATGATGCTCTTAATAATGAGCATTCAGATAACCATTACAGTATTAGGTCAGTGTTAGTAGCATTTAGACTAGCTGTCAATTTACTGTTGAAGCACTTGATGGATTCCTCCTTATTTTGTGCTTTAAGTAGACCAATAATTTATGAATTAATGTTAAACGTTAAAATCAAATACACTGTTATAAAGTATTCATAGGGATTTATAGAGTAAACAAGTGATCGCGGGCACCTTCGTGCCCAGTGAAAGTTTGAACGCTTGTGATTGGCTAGCGTACAGCGAATGAGGGTGTGCCAAGTCCGTAGACTTGCATCGTTTTCCATCGTAAATAAAATGGTTAATTAATGCCTTCCTAAAGAAACCATCGACATGGGACCAGGTTTGTTCCACTCTACGAAATTTTTGTGATTTTTCCACCAAGTTTGATGAAAAACGATTGTGCTGTTTCGGCTGCCCAGAACAAGCAGACACACGGCTAGTCCTATACTGTAGTATATTAGATGGTTAGTGATAAAGCTAGCACCTGTGTAACATTATCTTTCTCAGTGTACTGTAGTGGATATATTTGACTTACTCCCTCTCTTGGTTGTTCACTGTTGTAGCACTAAAACTGTATGTGGAGTTTTTATACATTTTACCATAGGTGTAATACTGTATATATATTTACTGGAAGGATGGCAATAGTTAACTGGGATACACACTTTTACCTTATTTTGGCAAGATAAAACAATACTGTACACATTAAAGTACAGGGTATTGAGATAATTTTGTGTGGAATTAACTGGTTCTAATGATAATTTGGAATACTGTATTTTATTTATAGCGAAAATTAAAAGGTTGTTATTAAGTAGTTGATATTAATAGTAATTAAATAAGTATAGTTGCCACTACTTTTATCTGGTACAGTGGCTGGCAGGTTTTGTAAGTTGTGGAACATTTATCTAGCACCCGTAGTCTGGTTACTATTGCGAGAATCATTAGGAAGTTTTAATACGATGTCAACAAACACAGTTGCCACATCTCACAAATTGCTCCATCCACTGTAACAGGTATACGTGCAGGTTACTTACATGTTTTCAAAATGCAGTACATGTAGTTAATTAGTTTTGGCATTGTCTCGAGGGAAAATAATTCACGTACAGTTACCGTATGTGTAAAGGCTGCCCCAGAGGTCAAACACCAAAGACATATTTAATAGTCTTCTCTTCACTCTTTTTTCAAATCAGTTAAGATGTCATAGAAATTAACACTTGAGGAAAGAGGCAGTATAATATTCATGTACAGAGAGCTAAATACTAGACAGTTTGTAGCTAATTTTAATCGACAACACCCAGGCATATGGATGTTGTCGATTTAAATTATTTTGCAACTGATTGGTGTGTAGGAATTGGCTTTCTGTATGTGAATGGCATATGACCTAAGCTGTTGTATCGCCAGGGATGTAATGACCACAATCTGTATGTGTATTAGAATGACTCTCTCCTCTAGCATTAATTTCCCTGCCATTTTTGTTGATTTGTTTTGATTTCTTCATTTGAATTAAAGATAGAACATTAATTTTCCTATGACATGTGACCAATGAGACACCCTTTACATATCTCATAAAAGGAAACTCAGTTTCACACACAAAAAGAAGACATACTGTACTGTGTTAGGCTATGAAAATATTGTGTTATTATATTAATGTTTTCATCATAAAAGATGGGCTGTGATAATACTCTTATTTATATAATTTATCATGGAAGTCTTGTTCTTGTTGCTGTGAATTAAAAACAAAAATTAAGATTCACAGTGTGGATATTAATTCTATATATGTTATACTGCAGATGTAATTTACTTGATCAACAAAAATATTTAATAATTTTACTGTATTTTGATGAACTTTAAAACATTGCATAGTAACTCCGTGTATGCAATTAAAGAAAACTGGGGAATTTATATCGGGCAAAGTATTACTATTATATCATATTTAAAATCTTGGGAGTTGGGGGGTAGAAACACATAGTGAGGTGTGTGAAGTCCAAGGGCGAGATTCCTACATTACAAAAACTGAGAAGGGAGGCTGGGAGGCTCGCATGTGTAAGTGATTCAAGCAGTACTGTGAAATTACATTGTCGTGTGATGTGAACCGAAGCCTGGGGGTTATGGGCTAAAAATCCCTCTGATGACTGTTTTTTATACCAAGTCTTACGTGTACCTCACACTGCTGTAATCTTTTAATCGTTGTTGTGCAGATAATAATATTGAGCATCCCTTACCCCCCCCCCACCACTCCCTATGTACCATTAACATTTACATTATTTACCTTATATGATTAAGGTAATGTAAAAAAAGAGATTTGGATACATTTACTCAAACAAAATCTTTGTTTTCCATAGATTCTCCTTGCCATTAACATTGTGCATTAACCTAGCATTAATATTGTTTTCTTGACCATGTATAGTATTGTAGTATCTTGAATTATCTATTTTGAAGGTACAGTAGTAATTTAGAGGTAGTAATTATGAGTCACTGTTCATATGAAAACATTTGCTGTTCCACTGATGCCATATAGTGTGTAAACTTGATCTTCTTACACGAGCTTTACTTTATGTATAGTGTTAATTCTTCTCTGCAATTGATAAAAAATAAATCTATGCCAAAGTAGTAGAACAAGTAGCATAAAGCTGCATATTTTGTAGAGTAATAACTGTACTGTAGTTGTGTGTGAAGGTGTTAAATCCTGTAGTTGCATTGGTTAGTGAAGATCCTGTTAATTAAATGGTTTTTATTGAGACCACATTAATTAAGTAGACAATAAATGGAATTGGTTGTGGTAAGTACAGGTAGTTAAGTATTTATACATTCCACCACTGTTTATTTTATCTTTCCTGACTGTCCTGAATTTTTAAGAAGACCTTATGTGGTAAAACTTTATATCTTTGAGAGGATGGAGACATGATGTGAGGTTTGGCACACTTGAGCAGTGCACCAAACAGCATTATCAGTAATATAATCATGATAAGAACTACCACCTCTGATTTACATTCTTCATCAGTAGTGTTGTAGACAGTATAAAACAATTCAAAGTACAGTACCACTTGGAGTTATCCAGAAGAATAGTAGCTAGCTTATTTTACATCTATAATTTAATTCCCAAAATGTTCATCCGTAACCGTAGCTTTTTATGGTGTTGCTGATGTCATTATTTGGAGTTTGGTAGTTTGTTGATTTGTTTGTAAGATGTAACTCAGAGTGTGTAATAGTCATGTTGTATTCTTGATGATGTTTCTTAAACCCTACTTGAGTATCTCACAACCAGAGACTGTAGGTCATAGCAGGTACCTGCATTTATTACTATTATAGTTGTATTCTTATATTGATGAATAATAAACTCATTGAAACAGACATCAAGTTATTCCTCGCCCTAATTATTATGAATAATCCGTACATCATTATGCAGGGTGTTACAAATATACGTATACACGCTGCCTTACAGGTTTTCGTGGCTGTCTTGTGAATGCTTGTATTACAACAGCAACATTGTCCTTGAGACACCCTGTTGTGACAACAGTAATTTGAAAAAAAAGGGTTACAGAAAAAATACTGTAATGGCATACAGCATTAGTAAATTAAAATAAGAAATCAATTACAATGAGTGAGGTAGAAAATACTGAAACAACAAGTAGGAGCACTTGAAAGGTGTTAAGTAGTTGTGTGTGGAGTATTTCTGCTTCTTTTGGGTACTGTTGTTTTAGTACTAGACACATGTCTCAGTTTGCACGGTTTCAATTTGTCATGTAATTTTCTGCAGTGAAAACCTCCCTGCAAAGTGAGAGACCTATGTATGAGGAATTGTGATAAGTACTGTAACATTTAACACTGTAACCTAGTCTTATGCAGGTGCTGTACTGCAACACTACCCTTGTCACTAAAGGCTGTAACACACTATCCTTGGCACTAATGGCTGTAATGCACTCATATAGGCACTGTAACACACTATCCTTGTCACTCATGGCTGTAATGCACTCATATAGGCACTGTAACACACTATCCTTGTCACTCATGGCTGTAATGCACTCATATAGGCACTGTAACACACTATCCTTGTCACTCATGGCTGTAATGCACTCATACAGGCACTGTAACACACTATCCTTGTCACTCATGGCTGTAATGCACTCATATAGGCACTGTAACACACTATCCTTGTCACTCATGGCTGTAATGCACTCATATAGGCACTGTAACACACTATCCTTGTCACTCATGGCTGTAATGCACTCATATAGGCACTGTAACACACTATCCTTGTCACTCATTGCTGTAATTCAGTCTCATTTTTTTAACTTCTTTTCCTTCTCTTTATCTACCCTCATATTCTCCTCCTCTCTTTTTATTTATCTTTGCCTCTTTTGTTTCTTACTTTTTCCTTCTCTTATCTCACTTTCCTCATTCCATTGCTTTACCCCTTTTCTCTCTCCTTTTGAATTCCGACTTTTCCATTCTCTTTTTATTTCCAAGTTTTCTTTCTATTTTTTTCTTTTCACAAACCCCCTTTTAATTCTCCCCTTTATCATCTCTCTCAATCTTTTTTTGCCTTTCTTACTCTATCATTTCCCTTTCTTTCTATTTTCCCTTTTCCATCTATTGAGAGAGTACAGTACTATACCCATATTAGTATTAAACACCCTCACGTTCTTTGCCCAATGAGAGACATAATTACAGTAGTAAACACGACCACATGTCCCCGCGCTGACATATCAACATAAACATGCCTCATTGACAGTGACACCTGACACTTGTAACTCACCTTGACCTTACATATACGGTGACAAGTAAAACGCCCAAGCTCACGCACACAAATTTTGCTAAGGTCAATGTTATTGTCTAAAAGGTAGAGGTATTGCCAAATTTGTTTTTGTACAAAGACTGACGGATAAGGTGTGGTGTGGCTCTCATCAAATTTTAAAGGAAAGAAGTAGTAGTAGTAGATTATTTTACCTCAATGGACACCGTACTCTTGAATAAGAAATGTTGTTATCAGAAATAACAAATAATACATAATATAAAAGACATATAAGGATAGGAGTGAGAGACACCACCTGTATGGGTGTTGGCACGTGGACATTGTATAGGAGGCTATTTGTTTACACTAGATCAGCTGTGAGTCACCAGACGTGGCAGCGTCGCCTCCGCCAGGGTCACGTGATCACGGTGGGTTCCTCTCCCCTGCAGGAGATCACCCCGGTCTCTCAAGTATCCCAGTGTTTCTTATATTTTCTGTCATGTCTGCTGTTTGTGACAACACCTAAGGTAAGAATAAATGTCTGTGATAAAGTCAGTGAGAATAATAACAGCAGGTGAGGGTAGATAATGTGATAAGACGTGAGTGAGGAGCCGGACAGACAGCTTGGGAGAATAGGGACGCTGGAGTGGGGTGTGAGGCGCCGCTGCCACGCACCAGCATTCTACCCACTACATCGATCCTCGGGTAGTTTTTGGATTACTCCAAAGATGTTATCCACTGAAGTAGAATTCCATAACAGTAGATAAACAGGTAAAATGTATATAATTATAATATTTAGTGTGGGTGGAGGTAGTAAGGTGGGCGGGAGAGTAAGCATTGCGCGGGCCACAATGCTGGTGGGTGTTAGTGTACTGCCCCGCATCACCCAACACCTTCCAGTCTTAGACAACACCTTCACCTCCATTTACTGTACACACCTTATTAATTGTTTTTATCTCTGGAACTTACAGATTTTTCCACTTATTGATGATGCTCCGTCTAAAATTGATGTCGGTAATTGGTCTTAATGTCAAATATAATAGTAACTTCCAACTTGTAAATTATTCATCCTATCGTCAGCTACCTACCAGGTGATAAAGCCACTGGCACTTATTTTTTCAAACATTATTGCTCTTTCTTTTAAGTTTGCATAGAAAATCATGGTGGTAATTGACAGACTTCAAACTTATTTGGATTACTTGTGACATTAATAAATTACATACATACGCATATATCACCTCACAGAAAATGAAATATATACTGTATTTGGTTATTTATATTAGACTTTAAAATCCACTCCTATTATGTACCGGTATCCATTCCACCAGTACCCACCACTCACACCTTACACCCATCCACTCGCCCAGCTGTGAAAATCCATGTGGCTCACTCCCTTGAAAATCTAAACTTATACCCAATTACCCACCCACACACACTTCCACTACCCCACCTGTTCTCTCATCTGCACTTCTAACCACATCACTTTGTCTACTCACACCTACTTGTTAAGTCAAATGGATGAACCCCTTCCACCCATATTTATCCACCCACTTTTGATCTTTTGTCCTCCTGCACCCACTTGTACCCCCACCCACCTGCCGATCCATCACCAAATACCTTACCTAACTCACCCTCTTTTTCATGGAGTTTTTACTCAAACCGTTTTACACACTGATCATTGTGTGACATTCCTACTGTTTTTATTAGTTCATGTTAGTAAGTGCCATAAACTGTTGACAAATATTTAGTTGAATATCAGTAACTATAATACATTCCTTTGTGTTTAACTGTAGTTGATTCAAAGGGTTGATTCCATCCATTACATCTTAAGTCTGTCTCTAAACTTCCTTGGTAGAGGTTTAAGCAGCTAGGGTGGGATCTCGTGAACATTAGCCACCCCAGTTCATGTGATTTGGTGATTAAATACCCAAATTCTAACCTAACATACCTAACTTAACCTAATTTAACCAAACATATCTAATTTGACCTAACCTCAACTAAACCAACTCAAACCAAACCTACCTAACTTGACCTAACCAAACATTCCTAACCTAACTCAATCTAACCTAATCTTGCCACCCCAGGTCACATTAGCATGTTTAATAACCAGGTTCAATAAGCAGTGATATTAATGTAGATTGTCAGTGTTTGTGCACAGGTTATAGTTAATGTCTATGTGTGTTAGGCCAAATTTTCTCACTATAAAATATGTTTTAGCATCCTCTACTCTTCATATCATAGGGTGGGTGAGGATCATAATGGGAAATCCTGTTAGAAATGGCTAGTGTAGGTGGAATAATTTGAGCAGTGAATATTATATGTATATTTAAGATACATTAGTAAAAACTGTGTATTGATGAAGGGAAGGGAAGGCTACAGTAAAGAACAAGCGTGGAGCTGAAAGGTGAGGTGTGGGCACAGGTGTTTGTTTATACAGAGAGTGAATGGGAACTGCTAAATTAGGGTTAAAATCATTGACAAGAGTAAGTGATCAAAGTAAATTGCAGATAAATATACTGTATTATTGGGAAGAGTAAGGCAATTGTTTTAAAGAGAAAGCAGTAGGAGTGGATTTTAGTGAATCATACAATAGAGAAACCCAGTGAATTGATACATAGAATTGTGATGAATTATGGAATCCTTGGAGAAAATTGAGTCATTGTAAATAAATTTAGATGGAGCCTAGAATTTTTTATAATACAGTGCTGTACAATATATGTAACCATTTGACATATATAATGTTATAGTACATATTTCACCTGCTTTTTCATACCCCAGTCTTGTCATATATCTCAATGTTATGATTCATTTATCTACTATCCTTATTCTGACAGAAAATTGTTTGGAAATTTCAGGGTGAGAAGATGATGTCTCACGAGGAGCATCAGCCGGGGGAAGAGGAGGACGGGGAGGATGAGGAGGGTGACATTGAGGCAAGGACAGCTGTTGAGGCTCTACTGGCCCTCACCTCCCCTACTGACTATACCCACCACACAGGTAACAACTGGTATTTAATGATGAACTACCATAGCCGGAGTCATTTGAAAGGTCGCTCGTCCATTTGTCAGATGTTTTGCTGATACAGTACAGTAATTTAACATATGAGTTGCACAAATGACTGATGAAGTATTAATGTAGGTGTGAAGGTGTTGTGGTTACCTGTGTCTTTCTATATTACCTGTATAGTATTTAATAAAGTCCTGCATTTGGGTGACCCTTGATACACAGTGCTGGATTAGTTGGTGGAGTCTGGCCCATCCTCTGTGGAAAGAAAAGTTACATTAAAATACTAAAGAAAATCAGGGTTTTGTTACATGTGGGGTTGTGGACATTTTGTTGCAGCATTTTTTTCTAATTTAGTGCTTTTTTAACCTCATTTGTGTGTTGCATCAAGAACTTAGAAATTGATGGATAATTGTACAATAATTTTATACAGAAAAGTATTGTTCTTCTTGTATTGAAAGCTCACTAGGTATTTACAGTGCTGTATCCATGCTGTAAAAAATTAGTTGGTGGACAAAGAAGTGTGGTACAAATAGTGAAAATACATTTAACTGTAGATTTGCATTTTGTGTATGCAAAGTAATAATATTTAATCATTATTTATCTTTTACCATTTACAAGTACTGTACAGTATCAGTTTGTCACAACATTACTGTACAGATACCTAAAAATCATGAGCTTATTAGTAAGACATTTTACAACTGCATTGTATATTTATTTTAGAGTTGTCTCTGTTAGCATATTGATTAATTATTAACTTTTACTTTGGCAGCTTATGAAGATGACTACATCATGGAACCAGAACCAGACGACTACTCAGAAAAGCTTGTATCTGGGAAAGAGATGTTGGGTGTGTATAATGTGGCATCAGAACCTACTGAGATGCAGCTGGAGGATAACCGTGTAGGGGTGGTAAGGCAGCCTCTGGCCGTGCACATTGAAAACACTAATGTTGAGGCAGTAACAGACATGCAGGTGACAGTTTGCACCTCAGAACCATGTGTAACTGATAATGAGTTACACTTGTCAGAGGAATCGAACCCGTCGACTGTATTTGTCCCAGCAACTACTCGTCAAGATGCAGACGATGGACTAAATCAGTTAAAAGCATTTGTACAAGCAACTGAAGGCAGGAAAGAAGAAACCATCACAAAGGTTCCAGAAACTGAGAGTCAAGGTATTTATGATGAAGAATCTAATAGTGGTTATGAAAATTACCAAACTCACTCACATCTCTCTCATGAGGAAGAAAAACTCCCAGAACCTCACAGGGAAAAAAGTACGGCCTCTGTAACATTACCGGTGAAGACAGCTTGTGACAGCAGTACAACCAGACAGTGTGATACCACTTCACTGACTTGTTTGACTGAAAAAGAAGGTCCCCTTGAAAAATATTCCGGCCCAGCAACAGTGTGTACGGGCGGTAGATACGTGTACAAAAAAGGTGTTAAAAAAGTACAAGTAAGTGGTGAGATTTCCCGGGGTTTTGTGAATCCTTACGAGAGACACAAGAGCCTTAGTCAGACGTACGAACAAACCAAAGGTGCTATTAATGTTGGCAAGGTAATGAAACCGTGCGAGGATAACTCAAAAGTAGAATCACAAAATACCAGTGAAGGAATTAAGACTGAAGCTTCAGGTGATGTGGGTGATAAAAACGTACCTAATGAAGCTAACAGTGACTGTTCTGATTCTGAAAATGATTCTGATGATTCCGATGGAGATTCTGATAGTAGTAGTTCGAGCAGTGGCAGTGATTCCTCCTCTTCTGACTCCGATTCAGATGGTTCTGATTCTGATAGTGACTCAGATAGTGATTCTAAGAGTACTGAAGAGTCGGAGAAACTACCGGAAATTCCCGAACAACAGCGTAAAGATGTTGAGAACAATGAGCAAAGAGTGAAGGAGCCTTTGGACCACATTGATGGCATTTCAAATAAAACTTCAATATCTACCGAGAAAGAAAAAATAAGTGATATAAAAAATTGTCAAAGGGAAGAAAAGTTTGAAGGTAAAGACATAGACAAATCCATTGACCTTAAACCTAGAGAAGTGCCACCATTATCAAACATAAATACAGACAATTTAGAGAAGGTGGAAGATGGTGATAAGTGTACAAAAGTCATAGAACAAACATCTAAAGACTTTGAAGTTAGTGCCTGTACTAAGGTTGAGAAAAAGGTGCCCAGTGACAAGAGGAATTGCATAAGTGTGCGGAAAGTTGCAAGTGGGGTTGGAAAGAATGCGGCAATAAGAAAGATAAATGATAAGGGGAAAATTAATAAAGAAAATAACACCAACATTAAGGAAAACAATTTGAGTACAAAGAACGAGAATGGGAAAAAGAACAGCATACAGGTTAGTGAACAGAATGTAAAAAAGAACACTGTGCAGGTTATTGAACAGAATGTGAGAAAGAACAGTGTATTGGTTAATGCACAGAATGTGAAAAAGGGCAATGTACAGGGTAATGAACAGAAAGCAAAAAAGAACAGTGTACAGGTTAATGAACAGAATGTAAAAAAGAACAGTGTACAGGTTAATGAACAGAATGTGAAAAAGAACAGTGTACAGGTTAATGAACAGAATGTGAAAAAGAACAGTGTACAGGTTAATGAACAGAATGTAAAAAAGAACAGTGTACAGGTTAATGAACAGAATGTAAAAAAGAACAGTGTACAGGTTAATGAACAGAATGTGAAAAAGAACAGTGTACAGGTTAATGAACAGAATGTGAAAAAGAACAGTTTACAGGTTAATGAACAGAATGTGAAAAAGAACAGTGTACAGGTTAATGAACAGAATGCGAAAAAGAACAGTGTACAGGTTAGTGAACAGAATGTGACTGTCACAAAGAGTATGCCAAAGGCTCGGAGAAAAGCCAGTTTTTCAAAATCGAGCAGAGAAAAGATGAGTGAGGTAGACTTAGTGCAGCAGGTTGCTGTTGCATTTGCTCAACAACTGTCTACTATACAAGCAAACCAGCTGAGAGGTCTGTCGGAAAAATCCCTCCAGCAGGGAGAGTACACAAAAGACTATAGGGATGAGGACATTGATTGTCTGAATCAGAACAGCTTAGATGATACAATACCAGAAGAGGAAAAAATGGAATCAGAAATTGATGATATGTTTCCCATGCCCATTCAAGCTGAAGTTGTGATGTCGGAAGGCAGTGAGAGTGGCATCGAGTACGAGGGCTATGACAGAGCTGCCCCTGAGAGTGACGATATTGGCTGGTGTAAGAAGGGCAGCGAGATACTCGATCAGTCGGAAAAAGAAAACATTGAACTGATGGCGTACCTCAAGAGTTTTGTGAGTCACAATTTTTAAACAGTTCTCATATTATTTTTGTGACCATTGTAGCTAATTATGTAGGAAGTGGCTACAAGCATGGGTGTGGCTCTCAGTATATTTTTGTCAGAAAACTGTATAAGGGGCAGCCTTAATACAAGATAAATGATCTGTGGATGTATGATGTTAATTTGAAAGTGACTGAAGTGTGTGATATTATAAATCACCCTTAAAAAACCTAAAGATTTCTAAGTTAGCAAACTTGGGTCTGGTTGTTTTGGGACTGCTGTCATAAATTATTCTTTTATATAAAGACTACAACCCCAACATATGAACAAATTTGTACAGTATCCAGTACTGTATTAGGAACCACAGACTTATAGATAATTAGGATGTACTGTTGCTACATACAGTATGTAGTATACTAGCTTACAGACAAGACTGTGCAGTCAATCTGATGAAATTGTTGTGCACTGCCTGTCCATAGGCATTAGAATATAGGGTTTGGAGGTTCATCAGGGGTCTTACTCAGGAAAATTGTCCAAGTTCTGGTGATTTATCTTTTGAATGAAATATAGGTGGCTGTAGGGTACTGGTAAATACAGGGTATCTCATTCCTTATCTGAAACCAAACTAAGTTTTTTTTTCTTTTCTTTTCAAGATGTGGTCATCAATCTAGTTATTTTCTGTTGCCCAACAATGAATATTGTCAGATTGGTTTATATAGATTCAGCTCCATGTGTGGTGTTTGTTGCTTGGCTCATGTGGATGTTATCAGAGGAGAAGGATATTTATAAGTTGTAAAGTATATGTTTCTTGTCTGTATTTCCAATTTATGGCAGGAATAACAAAGGTCCCAGTGCAGCTCTGATTCAACAAAGTGGGTGCTATTGACATTGATTTTGTACTTGTAATTGTTGTAAAGTTTCTTTATTTTTTCATCATTTTCACTTATTAATGTTGTAATGTTTTCATAATTTTTACTTGTAGGTTAATGGTGGGGGTGAGGGTGAAGTAATTGAATACCCTCCTGCTAATAACATCGTGCCATCAGAAGGAAGTGATCTTACTCAGTGGCAGCTTGATGGTGTGCACTTACCTCCCTTTACACCTAATGTGGCTCCTCCCTCCTGGCTCCGTCTCACAATACCCGCTGAAGGCTATCGCTGCCTCTCCTGTGGAGACACGTGAGTAATGTACTTGAGGGCAGTAACTATTATATTTAGTCACTGTTATGGTGTTTGAGATATTTGTTGGCCATCTAATAATGTACATGGCAGCTGATAGATAGTCATTGTATTAAGCTGCTGTGTGTCTAAGTTAATTTTGTGTACATTACAAGGTATTTTATTAGTGATTGAGATTGGTGCTTTTATTGATGGCTAAAGCAACCAGTTCTTTACAAGAATAAGATTTAATAATAAAAAAAACATTTTGGAGAAAGTACAGTAGTACTGTAACATGCTCAGAGAAAATACTTCACTCATACTTACAGCATGTTTCCCCTGCAATACTGCATTGTTTCCAAAAGTGAAAAGATACTTAATTACAATACATGTACAGTTTCTCATGATTATATGATTTTAATACTTAACATGTCGTGGTAATGGTTTATGCCTGTAGAAAGAGCGTTACAGTACATTACATTGGTTTGTATCTAATTAAATTGGTAAGCAGGTTTTTATTTTTCCGTCAGGTTCTTCATAGAAAGCTCACTGGTGCAGCACCGAGAACGTCGTAGTGTGTGGATTAGCCTGGAATGTGGACCATGTGATGCCAAGCTGACCTTCTATAACCGGTGTGCCCTAAAAGGTACAGAACTCTTCTGTTTCTAAATGCTGTACTATATGTTGTGAAGAAGGATGTGGGGTTATCTGTGAAGATACTGTGGCTGGAAGTAGCAGATGTGAAGGATGTATATGATAAAGACTGTAGAATGGTGTAAATAAATGAATCATGTTGGAGCCTGGCAGTTGTTAGGTAAGGTGTGTGTATGTCATGTGACACTGTGTGTTCTTGATATATCTGGTGACCTTGGTATTCAACATCTCCCTGCTTGAGGTAGATGGCTCTCAAGGGGAGATAAACTATAATTGTTTGACCTTATGAAGTCCTAAATCATTTCATTGGCTAGAGACTCCAGTGTAAAGTTAGATGCCTAGCCACTGATCCTAGAACTACCTGTTGGATTTCAGGCTCAGGCATAAAATGGGATTTTATATTAGTCCACCTTTTGAAATTGATTCCATATCATTTATCTTTCTAATAGATCATATATGATAAGTAATATAATTCACTACTTTCGTCGATCATCTGGTTAATGTTTACCTCTTTGATAGATCATCTACGTAACCACCTGATGCAAGGAGAAGAAGTTGATGAGGAGACTGTGGAAGTGCGTTCTCTCCCGCTGCAGCTGACCCGACTCCTACAACCTATCCTGGTGCCTGTACCAAAATCCCTCAGGGTAGGTTTGAGATGTTGGCTCGGGGGTTAGTTGAAGGTAAATGATCAATCTAGCTACAAGTAATTTCATTAATGTAGTACAGTAGATGCAGTCCCCCCAAAATGTATATATTTAGTGTTATACATTTTGATATGTTCCAGGCCAATAAATGGGCCTTAAATTTCAATCATAAATAAATGTATAGCATTGAATATACATAAAGACAATAGTAAGACATATTAGAGATAAATAACAAGACAGTATATCGAGGCTCGGTGGTGACACCACCAAAAGAACATCTTTAATGACCTCCTGGGGTGCTGGAGCATCATGGATTATTTTACAAGAAAGTTTCCTCAATTTATCAACTTGATTATATCGAAACTACATTAACTGAAGGTACGTATATTAAATGAGGGATACCTGTATAGAGTTGACTAAGAAATACTATTATAACATTACAGAGTGCATCTAAACTCTTTTATATCTGGACTAGCTCTGCAGAGCTCCCTACCTTGTGTGGGCTGTCATTGGAGAGTTGTTATGGTTGTCAGATTAACCCAACAGCTTCAGTTTAGGGTGTCTCAGGCATCCAGGATTTAGTGGCTATATGAGTTACTATTATAAAATGACTTGAGGATCAATAATGTCCATTTTTTAAGTATACAATAATTGAAGAGCGATCAAAATTTCAGTTGGCAAATAAGAAACTCAAGAGGAACTTAAAAGGTCGTGGAACAGTCAATAAGTTACCTGCATTGAAACCCATTGGAAGAACAGCATCCAAACTCAGTGAAGAATACCTCAGTGGCTCTCTGGATGACCATTATGGGGAGGATGAAAGTGAGGAGTGCACAGAATTTGGGGATGAGGATATAAGAAGTAGATTGAATTCACATAAGATACCGTCTGGCATGAAGAGGTAAGGCTTTTTGATGTTGATTTTATAGTTTGCAGTTTTTGATCATTAGAATCATATCTTGAAGGCAATTTATGTCCTGTCATATAATTGTGATTTATTGCAAATTTAAGTTTCTTTTAGTGTCATATTTATGGGAATTTATTTTCTCCTTTGTTCCAGGCTCTCTGCAAGAAAACGAACAGTAAGGTGTTACTTGTGTGAGAGAATGTTCCACAGTGTACGTGAACTGATGGCACACATGCGGACAGATCAGCCGTACTCAGACCAACGTGTGGAGTGCAAGAAATGTCAGCTGGTGTTGCCTAGTGTGTGTGCAGCTAAAGCCCACATCCTCACTCACCCACCGGCCAATACTTCCAATATGTCCGTGTGCCCAGAGTGTGGCAGTAGATGTGATGGACCGAGAGAATTTGTGCATCATCTTAACACTTGCGGGCACCAGTTTCGTCGCTCGGGCATTGTGTGTACAGAATGTCAGGTGTGCTTCTTTAAGTCGCAAGATGATTTCCTAACGCATTGGATTGCCGAACATTGTGCCAAGTCCTACGAGTGTGTTGTTTGTCGTAACACATTTGAGAGTTTGGTGTTTCATAAATGCACATCACCTGGGCAGCAAGTTTTAGCAACATTCCGATGTCTTTTAACTTGTCCTCTGTGTTCTCTTGCTGTTCAGTTACATGCACAGGGAGAACGTGATACAAATTCCAAGATCAGAGCTCACCTGGCAGATGCTCACCCTACCATAATAACAAGAGTTCATTATGTATATAAATCAAAATTTTGTACTAATGCTTTCCGCTCTAAAGATGAGTTAAGAGCACACCACGACCGTGAGCACCGGCGAGACAACCACTACCGTACAAAAACCTGTACCTTACATCATGAGGTCTTGGGCTATCAGCATCAGTATTTTAATGGCCAGGAGCCGAGGAATGCCTTTGTGACACTTCCTGTAGCTTTGAGTGCTGAGGAGTTGCACGAGGCACGAATACGAGATGTTCCAACAGTCAGTAGTGTCATTGATAAAACTCTTTTTCCTGATGTAACTCCCCAAGAAAGTAATAAAACTGGAAAGGTTGAAAAAAAAATTAAGAACAAAGTTGTAAATAAGACTTCTCCAAAAGAAGTGGAACCAAATGAATCTTTAGGAAAGGAGAGTCCAGCCAAGAAAGATATGGATCAGTTGGATAAACTACGACCAAAGGTCTGTTATCGTTGTGGTTATAAGTATGTAGACAACAAAGATTTTAGACGGCACAAGCGAACGTGTGAGGGTGAGGCAGCAGAGCGACAGTGTGAGATTTGTGGTATGGTTGCGGTTAGCGAGGACTTTGCACGTCATTCTCTTGGCCACATACAAGATGGTGCGGTGCTGTGTATATATTGCAATGGTACCCAGTTCAGCAATGCAATTGATTTAGAGCAGCACTTTGAGCTACATGTACATGAGCAGTTTTCCTATCCAGCAACCTGTGCTTTCTGTTGCACTTCATTACCAGATGTACCGACAGCTTTAGCACATCTTAATGAAGAACATGATCCATTACACGTACCTTTTGACACGTCAGAGTTTGAGTGTGATCGTTGTGGCCGTCGCTTCCACGGTGAAAGAGGTTTAAGTGTACATTTAGGCCGCTGTACACTAGGAACAGCCACGCCCACACCATCAGCTGGGTGCAGACAGTGTCAAGTGTGTACAAAAGCTCTCACACCAGAGATGTTTGGTCGCCATTTAGTTTGTCATTTGGAAGAAGGCTTATTGGTGTGTAGCCTATGTGATGGGCGAACTCTACCATCCAGTATGGCCCTCCTGCACCATCTGGAAGAACATGCTGCTGCTTTATCATATCCAAACCCCTGTCCTATGTGTAGTTTTGTAATGGAGGATGCAAGTTCAGCACTTACACATCTCAAGGAAGAACATGGGTTTGGAAATTTACACTGTGCCGAGTGTGACATGCACTTTAATTTCACCTACCAACTTCAGCGTCACACAGACATAGTTCACAAGATATGCCAATATGCAAAGCGACGGTACATCTGTTGGATATGTAGAGCGTATGATCACGTAAAGAAAGAGACGCTCATGAATCATTTTCGCACGGTTCATGGACTTGATCGAGAACAGGTTGATGAGAAGGTTATGATCAGGACTCGTGGCCAGGGAACTATGCCGACATCGCAATTCATACCTACAAAACCTCTCGGGAGCAAAGAGAATCCAGGAGGCTCTTCAACGAGTAAAACAGATGCAGATACTCCTCTTTTGAAAATTCAGAAGGACAAAGCAAAGGGCTCACCAGGCAAGGCATCCTCTGTTACCGAATCCTCAGTTAAACCGTCGAGCAACAAGTCATCACAAGGATCACCGGTCAAGAGTTCACCCAGCAAGACCATCACTTCATCAGGTTCGAAGAAGGTTTGGACCAGAAGAACAGACTCAAAGTTAAACGATAAAACTAAAGTGTTGATTAAGAGGCTGCCAGATTCTATTTTAGATGAACAATCCAGATCAAAGAGGAGAAAGAGAGTATCGAGGACAGATGAAGTGAAAATTGAACCCGGGGCAGAAGTGAAAAAGGAAAAGAAGAGGAAGAAGAAGAAGAAAGCCTTTAGATGTAATATCTGTACATTTGGCACCAATTCAAAAGAAAAACTTGATAATCACATCGTCAAGCATAAACAACTTAGCGAAGAGGCTGAACCAGATGGATTTGTGTGTCGTGAATGTGGTGCTTCATTTGTGGTCGAACCTTCCCTTGCACGACATATGTTTTTTGCCCACAAGGTCAAACTTCAGGTGTCTAGTGCTGATGAAAATGAAGATAATGACAAAAATGTTGTTGATGTAAAAGGAAAAAAGGTGGTAGTGAAAGAAGAAATTGATATAAAAGAAGAAAGTGAACTGAGCATTAAAGAGGTAAAAGTACAAAAAGATTTAAAAGAGGAAAAAGTACAAAAAATTAAGGAGGAGAAAGAGCCTGTAAGTAGTGTGAAAAAAGAGAATGATGTTGTTGTTGCCAAGAGGAAGACAGCAAGAGTGTCTGTTAAGAAAAAACTGGAAAGGGAAACCTTGAAAAAGAGAGTAGAAGGAAGAAATAAAAAGAAAGCAGTAGAGGGGATGATTAAGAAGAAAGTAGCAAGGGCCATAACAAAGAAAAAAGTGGAAAAAGTAATAAATAGGAAGAAAATAGAAAAGGTTATACCACGAAAGAGGACGGTGAAGGATGCAAGTAAAAGAAGAGCAGACAAAGAAATAACGGCTAATAAAATGGAGGAAGGCGATGAGGATAAGTTTGACAATCATTGTGTTGTCTGCAAAGAAGAATTCACAAACCCCGTGGAGCTGTACAGTCACTTACGAACCCACGGTATGGCATTTCTCAAACTTGGACGTAAAGCTAGACCTTTAGGTTTGGGAAAACCGCTTGATCGATAGGATAAATGTTAAAGTTTTGCTATTTTTTGTTGAAATAAGTTGTATATTTTCATTAGGATTTGAAGGATCTGTCAATGCTCAAGGCTACAATTAAAGTGCGATTGTTTTTAGTGAGAGACACATGACCGGGAATCCAAGTTGAATCATTCACTTTTCAAGTTACATGTTGTAGTTGTTGGGATGGTCTAAAATAAGCCAATTTTTCACTTTCAGCCGTATGACTAAGGTACCACCTTGTTGTCAAAATAATTTTTGTTCTTTTGATAAAAAACAGTATAGTAGATGTAAATGGAGAACTTACCATGGAAATCCTGTTTTGTAGTTGAGCTGGCAGCCAAATGGCTCTGTAATGTCACATACACTTCCGTGTTTTTGGGTCTATGCCCTGAGACTCCAAACATTGATGCTTGAATTGACTTATCAAACAGCTTTGTTGCCCTAATACTTATTCATTATAATTATCATCCTTGAAAGGAAGATAGGAGGCAAGAATTGCTATTTGAAAGCAAGAATCCACTGATGTGTACATAACTTGTGTGGCAAATTTTGGTTATCTGCCATATCAAGACCAGATACAGTCTCCAAATTCAATTCCAACTGACTACTCCTTGAGAGGGAGGAAAGGCATCTGAGTCATCTGGCTGTGAGTTTAAATATAAAATTGGATATTCCATGGTCAGTCGTCTGCTTATAACGTGATGCCCTCTACCTGAAGGTCCACATAACTATAGCTAACCAGAAGGGAAGTACTATAGGTACCACAAGACCACTCCACCAACTGATGTGACATGCACCCCACAAGGGGAGTTCACATGACTACTGAAGAAGGACAGGCTTACTAGTATACAGTACTGACCTTACAAACTCCCCATTGTTAAACAGCTCAGAGGTGGCACATCTTTATTATAAGAAGAATGTTGACAAGACCTTAAGAACTTACAACTAGAGGTCACTGGCAAGAGCCTCTTACAAAGAATACCAAGAATAACTTTATAAGCTGCTAACATAGTGTTCTCTTGAAAATACTGCAAGACTCCGAGAGACGTATCCTCAAAAATCAAAAGAGGCATCATATTTATTGCAAAATTCACATAAGATAATCAAAATGTGACACAAGATATGGATGCCATGTCCTTATATCCATCTTGCATGTTGTGCTGTATCATCATTAACATAATAAACTCTGAGGAGTCTGGCTTAGACAGTGGAACCCCCTAAGGGAGTGACAATGACTCGCCAGTCAAGAAAGCATGTGACAAAATGCCAAGCTTCCCCTCAGCCCTCCATAGTTAATCCTGTGTTCCAGTTTTTGTACAGTGAATCCAACAGGAAGGATCTGGGTAAATGTTATGACCTCAGCACTGTCAGTTTCTACCTTCCATACACATTTATTTTCCAGCCTTGGCTGAGAAATGACAAAACTGGGTCATACAGTAATCTGAGGCAGATTCTCTCCCCTTTCTGGGGTTGATTCCATCTGTAAGACCTTGCCACCTTAAAATCTAGGTTGTGAGGTGGAAAAGGGGATCTTTACACCCTCCAAAAGTAGACCAATCACCTGCTTAGATTTGGGATCTGGAGCCAACTTACAGTACATCCAGAAAAGCCACTGATGCTGTAGAAGCTTCTTTGTGAAGAAGATTGTTATCCAACATCTTGGTATAAATCTTACAATCCCTGAGGTCAGAGCCAGCCAATGAACAACATCCACTGTGTATAGGATAATTATACACTATAATTATCCACCTGAAGGAGTGGCTATGCAAGGCTTAATATGTCTAACTGGAAAATGAAGTACAGTACTGTGTCATTAAGTACTCCTCTTTGCTTGAGAAAACAAGAATTAATCCCACTTGGTGTGTGACATATTGTTATGTCAGACCATCCATCTTAGTGATACATTAAGAGTAATTCACCATTCTTTAAACAAATGTTATATGACAAGAAGTGACCCCACAGCATTTCCTTCATTTGTAGTTAACGGTACTGTACAGTACTTTGAAGGATATGAGTAAGTTTCATGAACCAAGAACTGGATTACATATCAACTCTAATTACTTGAATTGATTGATAGATCCTGAACAAGATGGTTGACCAGCTGCCTTGAGGAGTTGCCATACCATCTGTAATGTGAGAATATTGGGGTAAAATACCCAAATCGAAGACACTGTTCAGTTTACACAGGCCTGTCCATTCATATTAAGTCGTCCTGTGAGCTCCCCAAACATATAACGGAGAGATATCAGTTTGATCAATTGGTCCACTCACCATTGTTTGAGGTCTCTTTGGAGCTACTAGACCAAGTTGTATAACACGTGATATAGCATGAGCTGTCTGGTGGAGGACATACTTCATTCTCTTGACAAGTCAGATTAATTACCAGTGGTACTTGGAAGTTCTGTCCGAGTAAATATAAAGCTTTACGATCCATGTTTCATAGTGTCTTATGTGATGAAGTGGGAATATTAAGTTTGTCTAGGCTTTGACCTAAGTAGGTGAATATGTTATTTAGCTGAGAAAGTTGAATATTATTTTTTGTATGCAATGGAAATTATCGGTGAAAATGTTTGTTTTAGTAGTTGTAATTAATTTATTTTTTCTACTCTGCTATATAACAGTGTTTATCTAAATTTTGTATAATTTGTTGGCATTGTTGAAATTTTAATTTATAAGACAAAAACTGCAGGTGCAATATTCATTTGAAAACTTAAGATTTTATGTAGTGCATAATATTGATGCTTCTTGTAGTACAGTACATCTTTCTCTCAGTTGTATTTCTCTTCTGTCAGAATGAAGGTACTGGTAATAGATAAAAACTTACCTGTCAGCTAGATTTGGTCTCTTATCTGCAAGTCTTACTCTCTTGGTAATGGCTACTGTATCTAGTCATGTCTGGCTTCCCCATAACCACCTTTAGTTAGAACAGTTTGTTATCATAGGAAATCACAGAAGTCCTCCCAGCAGAGTATAAGCCTAATATAACTACTGTACTGTCAGGATCTGTTGATATACCTGCAAAATGTCTAGAATGAACTTGTCTCTGATTGGTGGACTTTTGTGTGGACTGTTATCAAATTAACCACATTGGACTTTGCTCTTTATACTATGGAAAAAACCTTTTTCTCTGGTACAATTTTTCTGCTTCATATCTGATCTTGTAATTTAGTTTGCTTCACTGATGCATTATTATGATATAAGATGAATAGGTGATATGACAGCGGAAGTCTTTACTTTATTTATTACTGGTATTTTGACAGTCCTGGTCATTGAACGGTACTGTAGTTAATATTTCTACAAAACTTTGAGGTATGGATCAATATACAGTATTTCAATATTTGGTGTCAACAGGTACAGCAGTGTATGTCAGCATCATTTGATACTGATAACTATATTAGCTCAAAATTTATTTTGATTTTAACCTTTCTTTCCAGGAGTTCAAATCAACCAACCTTCACCTTGTAGTACAACAATATCCTGACCTCTTCTTTACCTTGGCTGTTCTTCCCTCTGAAAAGAATTTGTCAAGTAATTGGTTTAAGTTTGAATTTGTTAATTTTGGGATATACTTGTTATTCAATTTTTTGTTTTGCAGTAATGCCAATGACCTCACATATATTATATATATCTTCTTTTGTGAGGCTACCTACTATTTTTCCATTGAGAGTTAATTTAAATAACCCAGCTTATTCTTCAGCATTTAGGAAACCATATTTTTATTTTAAATGTTTATTAGAGATAACTAATCCACAAAAAAATAAGGAAATTATATATGGAAGAAGCAAAATTAGTGACCATTTAACCCTCTGGTAATCTTGGCTATGCTTGGAAATCTTAACCCTCACTGTCTTTTGACGCAAATAACGTCGTTTACAATGTCACCCCCTCGCAGTCATTCTACACAGGTTGCGTTGCTAACAGGAATGGTCTTTCCATTTTATTAAACATTGGTAAGAGCAATCCAGACCCAAATTGCACCCTTAGAGATGCATCTGCCAGCCCACGAGGCTAGTGGGAGGAACTTGGTGGTTGATATGGCCGGTTCATTGTTCCTGCATTGCTGCTTACGGGAAGGATGCTCTCAGTGTGCGATACAGCTGAGTGGGAGGGATTGTATCAGTACGGGAGCTCTTTGAGATGCAATTTGCATTGAAAGACCACGAGAGGGTTAACAGGAAGACTGTGATTGGATTCATCAGGTTTTAAGTACACGATAATTAGCACGTTGTTTACAAGTCACATTAAATTATTAATACTTGTACAGGTATACATTAGTTCTTGGTTACTAAGCCAACCAAATGTAGTTTTTCATATTCTGTATTAGTTTTGCCATCAGTTTATGCAGAAGCTACTTGGATGGTTTCAGATGATTTAACCCATAACTAGTTCTCCCCACGACTGATTTTTTAATTACTGTATTATGACGTCCAGGTCCTCAAATGAGATGATGCTTAGGATTTGGTATACTGTACTGTATTGCAATACAAAGTACAGTACTGTACTGAAAGTTTGCCGACAATACTCCACTGTGCCCAGGAAAATGAACGCATAATTCACGTTTTGGTAATATTGACAAGAAAACCAGTACTGCTTACATTTTCCATTCATTCAGCTGTGCTGTAACTAGAAAACTATGCTGTGAATTCATTAATGGTAAGCAAAGACCTAGAATCATACAAAAATGGTGATGAAAAACAAAAGTAATTGTAAAAAAAAAAACTTAGTTTAAGGATCACCTGAAGATTACATGCCCCAACTTATTTCACATAAAGGTTAATCACCCAAACGCTAACCTAACCTAACCCTCGTGGCGGTATTAGGGTGGTTAATCTTCCGATAAAATACTGAGGTATCTAATCTTCAGGTGACCAGTATAGTAAGAATTTGCATACAGTACTTAGATGCATTATAACTTCCAGATATGAGAAAATATGTTTTTATGATTGTACAGGTATGAATCATAGGTTTTAAATCAATGTTTGTACTTTCACATTTTTATGGAGAGTGTACAGTATTATTGCTTCCGTCCCACGTAATGCATTAGCTACTATAGTTGGATTACTACGCCATCCCCCCACTGCTGTTACCCACTTAATGTAATAAATGTGCTCTCTCTCTCCCCCACACACACAAAAAGAGAACCCACTGATCTCTTGCACTATTTCCAAATTTCATGATTCCTCCCCTTAACCCAGTGAATTTTATTTATTTTCCACCCTCAATCTACTGAATTTTCCCTTTTTTCCTCAACTCAGTTTTTCCCCATTTACCCCCAACTTACTGATTATTTCCTCCCCACAGCCAACAGTTCTCTCTTTTTTTTCCTTGCCGCCCACATTGTTTCCTCTTTTCCCCCACAACAGTGTCCCCTCACCTTAATACTATCATAAATACTGGAATTTATCTTTGGGTCTCAGATATACATTATATAGCCTTATCAGTGTTTGATGTTTCAAAGTATACAGTACCAAAAACCTCCTATAAACAGATTTACAGATGAAAATGTTTTAAATTTTTTATGGTATTGGTGTTTGTAGATCATAAAACATTTTAGAATGTCACAGAAGAATTCCATTAATCTATAGATGTATAATATATTTCATTTTTATACACCCATTGATTATATTTAGTATAGGATGTTTGCTGTAAAATTTTTTCTAGACATTATGGCTGCCAACTCACAGCCTCAAGGAGTATATGCTAAGCAACTCTTTAATATCATGAGTACATATATATGATTTATGACAACAATTTTATATTAAATCTTCTTGGTTCATTTTATAATATTCATTGATAAAATTATATTTTGTGTTATTGTATTATTACACTTACCTTGTTTTATGCCCCGGCTGTTTACATACTGTATAAAACATATTGTTGAGTCTGAATCCTTTTTCTGGTCAAGTCTGAAGTCAGGTGGCTCTCATAACTCTGTATACTGTACCAAAGTCCTGTAGACCTAATCACTGTTAGCTGGGGATTGATTTTGTAACCATTCATCCCCTCCAGTTGCAATTGTCACCGTTAAAATATATAAAGCAAAGGTGTCCTCTGGTGTCCTCTAGATGTAGAACACTGAAGAGAAGAGTGATTACCTAGCTTGTACGCTCTTTGTCCTACAACTAAAGGGCTGCTGCTCTCTGAATACTTGCCAACTAAAGGTAATCTGGGCTGCCTGGCTATGGACTTGACCAGAAAAGGGATTTGAGGGTCAATCCCTCATATATGAAAAGATGGCCTCAGCCAGGTGACTTGTAACTGCAGCCAACTAGAAAAGTGGAAGTTGATTGTGCTAAAAATATCTCAAGACTACAGAGACATGAATCCAACGGTCAGAGTCAACCTATAAATGGAAGACCATCCTCTTATGTCTTGAGAACATGCAGAACACCTGAGAAATACAAAAGTGCTTCAAAACTAAGTGCAAATCAAGGAAAAACTCCAATCCCTAAAACAAATAGGGGGATAGGGGTAATAGACCTAAATCTACATGACTAATAGCAGATGACAGTCAGTGTAAGTAAGTTCGGAGACACCGTTTCACCACAGGAGCCAACCTTTGTAAGTGACTGTACAATGTATTACAGAATAGAACTGGAAAGTTTTGATGCTAGTCGGAACACAACCCTGAAAATTTCACATTCGGGAAAAGACCTTGAAGAGCCTTATATTTTTATACAGTACAGTCAACTATGAAGTGTTGTCAAACGGAGAACAAAATTCTTCTCCCTATTGAGAGATTCTTTGTCTAAGGAAGAAGAGAAACTAACGGTTCCTATTAGTGGATGTGTTCAAGGATTAATAGCCACTCGTCCTTAACAATAATTGCTATACAGGCAGGTGGGACTCTTGCCTCCCTTCTGACACATAATGGTAAAAAGGTGTCAAAGGAACCACAGGGCATGTATTCTTTATTTTCTATTTAAGGTGAATCAAACCTTATTCCAGAATTTGGTTTCTAGATACCTAGTATTATATGTAGCAACACTAATTGCAGGAACCACTAGGGCTAATCTAACCGTTATCTTTGTAACACCAGTGAAAAACATGCCCTTAAGATCTAAGGAAGAAAGTTCCACAAATTTAATGATATTCTTAGGAGGCAAACCTTCGACTCATTCCTAGATTTCCACAGTAAGCTTAACCACTGAATTTTGTGGTTAGGAGAAGAAAGTAAAAAAGAATCCTTATTCACTAAGGAATCTGTGAGTACTTATGGGTGACTCAAAAGGCTACTGTCCAAGCCTCGAGACATATATGCCATTCCATTAAAGAATAGTTATGGACTATTGTATATATTTGGGAGAAAATTATAGTCAAACTTGCCTTAAATTGTTTCCCTGCAAGGATCACACTGGTATACGTGTGTGTGTGTGTAAGTACAGTATCCATGTGCCTGTCTGTCTGTCATCCACAGCAAACCTCATTGTTAATATTTTTTTATCCAGCTTGATGCAGACCAAAAAAAATATATATATATACTGTATATATATATACAGTGGGGTATGCTATAACGAATCTAATTGGTTCTAGAACCTTATTCGTTATAGGATTAATTCGTTCCAGGCCCCCAAATACAACCACTTGACACTGAAAAATATAATATAAAATTTTAAAAATTGTAAAAAAGTGCATAAATAAGCATCTAAACCCCTGAAATAAAGAACATCATTAATACTTGTAATAAAAAAACAATAAATTAGTAAAAGAAAAGAATTTTTTTTTTTTTTTTCTAAATAATGTTCGTTGTAGGAGTTTCGTTCGTTATAGCAATCTCAATTTTATAGGTAAAACCGTTCGTTATAGGAATATTCGTAGTAGGATCCGTTCGTTGTAGCATACCCCACTGTATATATATATATAATATATATATATATATATATATATATATATTGCTTAACATACTTGAAATGTTACAATATGTTTTGTATTTTCACCATTACTATTACTCAAGTTATCATTTGTATTTCACCAATTTGTAATAATGTACATGTACCTTTTTCCTTGCATAATACAGTGCTATATGAGGTTTTGCATTATAGTACGGTAAGTATTTCCACAAATATCAACTTGGTATAACACACAGACCATTGCCCTACTGTACTATGGTAGATAATGTACAGTAATGCCTCATATTTTCTTAAGTTAAAAGGACTTTCATTACCTATACAGTACAGTACTATGAATTTTATGCCTCCTGTACATTGTGCATTCATCACTAATTTTGTACAGTACAGTACCTGTACTACAGTATAACATTCCATGGTTATTAAAAAAAGACAGGCTCTGGAGAAACAAATGAAATTTTAATGTTACAAATATAATCTTTTTATTTGATAACTTTGTACAGTATACTGTAATATAAATCTATTTATTTTAATCAGTGCATTAATCAAAAATTTAAATAAATTTCACCAGTAATATTACAATACATTCTGAGGTGGGTACCAACACATTCAGCTCAGTTGTAGATAAACACTTACACAAACTATCATAAATCACCAAATTGTCTGGAAAGTTGTGGACCCTTTTTAAACTTCTTCACCTTTTTCCCTTTGTTGCTGGAGGCTTGATTAGTCCCAGGGGGGGAACCTCCTTTTCCCTGCTGGCTAGAACGTGAGTACGGGTTGGTGTAAGCGGGATCTTTTTCTGCTATCCCCAGTTCTTGTGAGACCTGTAGGATGGTCAATACATTACATTTATCTTACATAATTACCTCTCAAACATACATGTAGAGTAGAATGATGTTATTTAAGAAATGTATTACACTATAAAGCTGGTGGTAGAGGAAGCTTTAACACAAACACAATTAAGTTGGCAAAAGACATTACAGTACAGAATTTAATTCTGAAATGCCAAGGTTCTTTTCAGGATAAATATAGTAATGGTACTGTCTCCCCTTAGCTATCTTAGAATACAGCTGTCATCATTAACAACAACATTTCAGACCATTTTTCACAGATTTAATTTATATAGTAATGTGAATTCAAAATCTTGTTTGAGTGTGATTTCAAGAATGTACTGCATGTTACTGTTTTACCCTGATTATGGTGTTGCATTTATAATCTGTTGAATATTAAACATTACAAGAATAGCATACATGTACAAAGTGGGCCAATAAGATAACTACACTGAAGACTGAACCTTTGATAGATCAGGAAATATCTTGGTAGACACTGTACTCTGCTGCTTTTCACTTCCCCAGATGTTAAGTTGGGTCCTGTTCTGCAGTGGAGTTGGATTGAAGACGCCCCACTCAATGGCTGACGATAGGACTCTTAACTGGTGATCACTGGATGAGGCGAGTCTTAATATCCACACAGCTACCATACTTACTATACTAAATATGACTATGACTGCCCTCATTTTTACATTAAGGTGAGGATATCTATCATTTTAAGGTACAGTAGTCGAATAGTGTCCTTTTGTCTATGTTATCCTGTTTCTATGTTATGTGCCATCTTTTTATGTTCTGTCTAACTACCATGACTGCTCTTTTCTTCATTGTATCCTACCATTACCTTATTGTCTGCAAACACCTTAATCAATTTGCACAATTTCAAGATTTATATCTTAACACATCTCCCTAATTTAACACACCCAAAAAAATGTTTACATACCAAATACATAAATTTGTCCGAGTTTTTATCCAGTAACTTGGATTGTGTCGCGAAGAAAATACCCCATGTGAAAAGAAGCTGCCAAGGTTTGTTGTCTCGCAGAAGGGCGTGTGTTATATCTGGTAGATGCAGCAAAACCTCGCCCATGAAAGCAGTGTTTTCCAGTGTCTGAGACAATGCTGTCAAAACACATGTATATCTTTAAAAATTGACAAAAAATATATATATACCACTGTATATGTATACAAGTACAGTACAGTACTATATTTCCCTTGTTAAAATTAATAATATTTAGGAAATTCGTATAAGCGAATTTCCGTATCTCGAGGGATACCTGTACATCGTACAGTACAGTATATTGCTTTCTACAAGTGTTGATTGAAAAACATATACAGTAAACTGATGTTCTTTTTTCTTTATTAAGAAATTCTAAATAAAATTGTGTACATTTAATTTTTTCTTTCTTGGTACAGTACATAAATTATCTCAATCTTCCCCACGTGCACAAGACACTTAGACAAAATAATTATGAGTGAGTTGATCTTCAGCAGTAATATACGTACTGTAAATATGAGCACAAGGAGTAAAATTTATTGAAAGGTTATTAAATTGTTTTAAAAAAACCCAAAAGGGGCCTCATGTGAAATAGTTTGGGAACCACTGTTCTAACCCCTTCACTACTGGATGTCACTTTTAATATTATATTTGGCTGATACTGGACAATTTTATTCAGCACAAGTAATTAAGTTGCAGTAGTATGTAAACTTGTCTTTAACACTTATTTAATAATCTTTAAAGTACAGGGGTATATTACCTACTGTATATGTATGTATTTTACCCTTACTGTAGATACTGTAGTTCTGTTAAACTACAGTATTTTGAAGCAATAAATCCTTAAGTTAATACGGCATCTTAAGACATTGTTACTATGCCAGACGTACAGTACAGTACTATACAGTCAATCATATTCAACATTAGTTCAAGATGATACAGTATGTCTGTTCATGATAGTAGTTCCTCATTTAACTTGTGGTGGGAATGATGTATACAGTACATCCCTAGCTTAACTGTCTCATAAACTTGCAGTTATAAAAACCAGAGTAAACAAGCTCATTATTCCAGACGTACCATCTCGTACTTCTTCATCAGTGGGGAAGTCCATGCCAGGGATGTAGCCAGCCTCTCTTAATATCACCTGATTCTGCTCCAGTACCTGTAATGGCATGGAAGTACAGTACAGTACTTAACACTGAAAAATATAATATTGTAAAAATTGTAAAAAAGTGCATAAATATTCACCTAAACCCCTGAAATAAAGAATATCATTAATACTTGTAATAAATTAATAAATAAATAAAAAAAAAAAAAATGTTCGTTGTAGGAGTTTCGTTCGTTATAGCATTCTCAATTTCATAGGTAAAACCGTTCGTTATAGGAATATTCGTAGTAGAATCCATTCGTTATAGCATACCCCACTGTACTTTTACTTATGAGCGATAGTAAATCTTCCATAAATTCCTTCTTCTTAATTTTTCCTGAATTATGTAGTACAGTATTACAGAAAAATTATACGGAAAACTTTATTTTCCTCTTTTTTTTTAAGAGAAAAACTAAGGATAAAACCTGAAAAGGAAAAGTGCTGTTCCTGCATACAATTTGTTTTACTCTTGATGTAAGAAATAAAATTTATTCTGTACAGAAATTTCATTAAGCAGATGGTTAACCTCTTGACATAATACTGTAAGCAATCAATCAATAACATAAATGTGCATAGTCTACTGTATAATTACCTCAAATGATTTTCCAGCAATAATGGTCACCATCTTCTGCTGCTTCACATAATCCCTAAAGTTAAGTATCGTCTGAACTGCTTCTTTATGATCGGCCCGTCTCTGCTGGAACAAACGTTGATCTGGTTCTTGGTTAAGGATAACCCGAGCATTTTTTATTTTTGTATAAAGAACAGGGGCCAGCACCATATTCAAAAGCCTTCACTACTTGAACTGTAATGTTAGGTGCCCATTCACAGCTGGGTGGGCTGGGGGTACTTAAGCATGAACAGGCAATGTTTAGGATAGGAGCTGAGCACAATCCATTCACTAGCTACACCACTTTGAAATTACCTACACATAAAGACAAATTCACTTACTAAAAATTATGCAAATACTGTACTGTACTGAGACATGTATCTTTATCAGTCTATAAAGTTTACTCCATTTCCAAGTACTGTACAGTAGGGGACCAATGTTCACTGAGCCAAGGGAATTGGTATCCTCTCTTTCTTATGCTGATTGTACATGTAATGAACACATACACAAAGCCTCAACATATTAGATAAAAGTAAATATTTGTCACTACTTGATCCCCTTTGCCACTAATTGGTGCGTTAGGGCAGTCGGTCACCTCTCTTATGCACCGTGTTAGCAAGAACTAATATGTGCCAGGGGGCAATTTGTCAATCCAACTAGGCATTCCAATTACCACTCCCATACAAATTTAATTTCTAGTGAAAATTGTGCAAACCATCATTTGAACTAGGCATATTACCAAATAAGTAAACGAGAAATGGCTCATGCCAGGACAAATATTCAATGCCTAAAACTAATATACCAGAGATGATCCCATCGAAAAATTCCTGCATTCAAAATAGTTGCCATCTTCCCAGCTCTTACATCCATTATTACCCAAAGAATAATGCAAAAAAAAAGGATACAAATTTTCAGTTGATCCACGGCGGGTTTACCCTGGTGGTCCTGCCCATCGCTCATCACACACACACCAAAAACCATCAACACAAAGACAATTCTTCTTGAGTCCATCATATTACACTAAAAGTAAAGTTCCATAACTATATTCACGTGATTCCTGGAACTAAAATTATAATTACAGGCGTAGTGTTGGTTTTATTAGTCCCGCCCGTCAACACGTCAGCCTTGTTTACACCTCCACACTGTTACCAACTCAGTGGTTTTCTTTCCCTTCTCTTTATTTAAATAGATATTAATTTAAAATTATCAAATTCATATATTGACTTACTCATGGTGTTATTTCATCCTGTTACTGAGATTGGGTTGAGTGTAGCTGCATTTCTTTAATTTTTTACTCCTATTCTGTGAAACAAACAGGCCTTACGTCCATTATACAAACTAGGGTTCTTTTTTATTATTTTCTTGCTCTGCCCCTTACTTATCAAGTGTTTTAGAGTTGTAACCCAAACGGAGTAAGGTGTGTCCTGAGTGGGACTTAGGTTGAGCCAAGGTCATGGTTAGGTCACCCCTTGTTTGACACTCGTGTACGAGGCTGTCTGTGACTGAGACTTCGACCATATCAATATTTAGTTAGGATTTTCCTACCAGGCTTATGTAAATAGCTTCTATATTATAGGTACAAACGACAGCCATATCAATAGCTTTTTCCAGCACACACATGCATCGGTCCTGCCAAATGCCATTTAATGTTCTCAATACCGCACAAAATAAATTTGATAATGTGTGGATGTGGTATGAGTGTACCACAGCTGATGGTTGCATCGTCTGCTCCTGGCTCACACTGGCGCCAGCTGTTGAAACGCCTAACAATTGTACTAAATACATATTATGAATAGATATTTTAAATATATTAAACGTGGTTTTAAAAATATTTACGTATGACATGATTTCCGAGATGTAAATAATTGCTAAAATATGCCCTATATGTCCTTGAAGAGATCGCCATATATAGACGCTTAAACTCTGCTACTTAACAACATTGCGATTCTGTGAAGGAGATTAGAATCTTTTGTTAAGGTACAAACTAAACAAAACCTTTAAAGTAAGATGCTAACTTTATTGTGAATTTGACTTATATTCAACCCTTTATGTGTTATAGTTTCACAGCTGAGCATAACAGGAGAGGGTCAGCTGCTCATTAACCTTAACTATGAGGAGCAGGAGCAACTCTGGGGTGAGGCTCGACTACTACCACCGCATCGTCTACCGAACAATCCTTAGGCACCAGGTAAGGCAACTGCCATCTTTAGACTTATTTAATGTCATTTTTTCGGGTGATTAACCTCTCAATTAAATAGATATCTACAATGAGATAATATAGAATTTCAGAGTGTGAGAAAAAAGAAAACTCACTATAGCAAAAGTAATAATCCTTTAAGGGTTAGGGAGATGACCATGTGAAGTATCGCCGTCTTTAAATGAGATAGAAAGCCTTTATCTCCTAAGACTGGCAAACAGTACAACCCAACCAAACAGTCTAAACTAACTACAAAACAATCTTCAGTTGATAGGTTAATTTAGGTTTGGTTAGCCCTGTTTGCCTGTGCATTATTGGTCTACAATTTCTCAAGAGTGTGAAGTTACATACATAGGGACACTATACACATTACATACCGTATGTAAGTTTATGTACCGATGGTTGTTTTATAAGTGCATATTGACGCAATTCATGTCTTATTAATCTCTCGAGAAAAATACATAGAATATTTTGGAAGATCTTATGTGAAAGGAACAGTTAAGATTTAATTGGGTGGCTGCGTTTACATGTGGTGAAGGGGGTAAAGTACAGTGTTTATTAGTGTCACTGTCTTCCACCAATGGAAAGGTGAGAACAGAATGGAGTGTTACAGAGCGGTCCGACTAATTACCCAAATGTAGCCGCAATGAAGTCAAATAATGATCGTATAAGCGTAATTCGGGCTGTGAATCACTTCTCGATTATTATTTGGTGTCATAAAGTCACAAAAAATTGGTAAACTTAATTTAATCTCAGTTGTGTTGTGTTAGGTTAGGTTAGATTAGATTAGGTTAGGTACATGCACTTGATCTATTAACTCAGATTAAATTAAGTTTACCAATTTTTTGTGACTTTCTGACGCCAAATACTAGTCGAGAAGTGATTGACAGTCCGATTTATTCATCTAGGACCATTATTTGACTTCATTGCGACTACATTTGGCTACATTTGGGTAATTAGTCGGACCCTTACAGAGGGTTACAATTACACAAAATAAGTCAATCTATAAAAATATATATATCGGATCACCTGATGATTCTCAGTCCCAGCTTCTTTAACCTGAAGAATGACCACCCTAACCTAACCTGACCTCCAGGATTTAACCATCAAATTTCTTAAGAAGTTTAAAAATATTTCTATCACTGAATAACTATCATATCTGCTCATATGGTACATTACAGAACACTGATGGCAGATTTACATACAATAATGTCATGGGTTCAAATTAGTTTTTTCTTTGCACTCCTTTGGAATTGGATTCTTTGTACTGTACCATATACTGTACAGCACAGTACTGGGATGTAATTGGTGAATAGAGTGACAACCCTCTACTAGACCTTCAGTACAGGCTAGTTCTCTCTGGTCTGGAGCTCCTTGACCAGCAGCACCTGTGGGCCACCAAGAGTTTTTCTTGTCATGTCATTTATTTTTTTATGCTTCCTGTACATATGTGGTTCCTAGTGCCAATACAATACCTTAAAATTATGTAACAACACTAATGCATTATGTTATGATAGCATTTTTTGCCATGCAATATATACAGTACTTGGGTATAGTTAGAGTCTTTTGGATTAAATTGTTATTAAACTTGCAGGTGGCTGAACTATATACACATAATTTTTGAGGATTTAAATTTCATACATTTCTGTGGGTCATTTATGGCAGGGCTAACCTTACCAGTAAGCTCCTTTATTCTGGGGTAGTATACTGTATCCCCCAGATTTATGCTGCTATATGAAGAGCAGAGACATCATTCACTATACAGTACAGTATATGTTAATTAACATTTCAAATACCTGATACAAATTAAGATTTACAGACAATATTCTTTTTGTTTGCATCTCTTTACATTGTTGGTGGCATTGATGCCAAGTTAGACTCCCCAATGTAGCTACATTCCCCTCACCACCAAGCCAAGCTGTGAGCCATGTTACTATGGGGTAGGCAGAGACAGCATCCCAGCTGGTTTGTGTTGCTATGGGAAGCGTAGAGATGGCCCATGTTCTTGAGGCTGTATGTAATAATATGTTGATCACCCGTGGTTCAGACAATTCTCTGGTCTGGTCCCAAGAGTGCTGGATTGGAGAGGTTCAACCTGTACTGTATTTCTTAAGTCAGTTTTGATGAGTTTGTTTTGGTGTGCATGATTTAGATTGTTTTCCTCTAATATTCTTTAATGTTAGCTGTCAAAACATTTCCGCAATAATATATTTACTGTCATACTTTATACCACACAGCTCTGTTCACATGTTCAAGATTATTCAAGCATTTTGAAATTGTACATGTTGCAAGATTGCATTAATAATACAGTATCATATTAGAAATTAGGCTCTAGGAATTTACCAATACTGTATCTTGAAATAGTATTGTATATGTAATTGCATCCATATCAATGTTCCTAGGATGCAGTAACTGGATTACTGCCTGCAAGCCCAGATAACCATCATGCCTGGGTGCGTGATAACCTTTACTCCATATTGGCTGTGTGGGGGCTGTCCATGGCCTACAAGAAGAATGCAGACCTGGATGAGGACAGAGCTAAAACTTATGAACTTGAGCAGGTGAGTTTCAAGTTGACACGATCACACATGATAAGAAGGCATCTGGTGTATGAAACTTTAGATCTATATGTAGAGCATTAATATTACAGTATATGTGAAATTTGTACTGTACTGTATGTGTGCTGTAGGTAAAGTCTTCAGATACAATAAATCACTTCAGAAATGTTTAGTTGATAGAAAAGGGGCTATTGGAGGTTTGTAGTACTTTATAGTATATTTCTTGCTGTAGTAGACCTTTTCATTAACCCCTTCACTACAGGGATGCCGCTTATATATATATATATATATATATATATATATATATATATATATATATATATATATATATATATATATATATATATATATATATATATATATATATATATATATATATATATATATATATTGGTTAATGCCAGACAATTTTATTCAGTAGAGAGGGAACCCCATACACATGGGGTTAAACAAAATTTCTTTTATATCTTTTAGAGGATTAGTTTTCCTGAATAGAAAGTGTAAAGTTTGTACAGTAGGTAAAAATAAAAAGTACATTGCTTACTGATAAAAACTGATTTAAGAATTTCAACTTTATTTTCAAATAATATTGGTTATTTAATTGGATCGTTCCAGAGTTGCGTTAAGTTGATGCGTGGGCTGCTCACCTGTATGATGCAGCAAAAGGATAAAGTTGAGAAGTTCAAGCAAACTCAGGCACCAATTGATTCTCTTCATGCCAAGTATTCCTCTAAGACTGGCTTGCCTGTTGTGAGGGATGATGAGTGGGGTCACCTGCAGATTGATGCCACATCATTATTCCTCCTTGTTTTAGCACAAATGACAGCATCTGGTAAGTGCAACCTTGATATTTTTTATTTTGAACGGGAAAATTGTTTTGGAAAGTTTTCTCGGCTGGTTTTATAAATATTGAACATGAAATACTGTAGTGATTATTGTTTTTCTTGTAGCTAATTGTTTTTATTGTACTGTTTTCATATATATTGAATGATTAGGTTTTATGAACACTTCGCTTTATTCTACAGGGCTTCAGATCATATTCAACTTGGATGAAGTTTCCTTCATACAGAATTTAGTCTTCTATATTGAGTCAGCATATTGTGTTCCTGTAAGTACCAGTACAGGAGTCTTTTTTATTATTAATGGGAGGTGCAAGACTTGACTATTTCCCAGATACTTGGTGGAAAACCATAAAAAAATCAGTAAATGAATAATAATAACATGAAAATAAAGCTTTTTTTGAGTGTTGTGTGTACCTGCATAAATGTCCATTTTAATGAACAATTGACGTTTTACTGTACATACAAACACTTTAATGTGGTAATTAATGGGTAAAAGTTACAGTAATGGTTAATTTATGATGTTATTGATATACATTTTGTGCCAATATTGTGTTTGTTGATTAAATATTAGCTGCTGGATAACTTTTGTGGTAAAATCTTTTGCAATAATTATTTGAGGAAATGGGAGAGTCAGAGTTACTGTAATGTGGAATGATAAAATTTACGAGACATATAAACCTGCATCCTAAATACCTTCAGTTATTAGAACACAGTAATTTGTTCTTGTACATTGTTTAGTTCTGAAAATCCTCTACTCACTTAAGATACTGTATGCTGAATTTTAGGTTTTTCGTTTATTTCAGGATTATGGGATATGGGAACGAGGAGACAAGACCAACCATGGCCTGCCGGAGCTGAATGCCTCCAGTATTGGTCTTGCTAAAGCTGCACTGGAGGCCATGAATGAACTTGATCTGTTTGGTGCTCGAGGTGGTCCAGCCAGCGTCATCCATGTCTTAGCTGATGAGGCTCAGAAGTGCCAGGCTGTGTTACAGGTGAACCATGTGATGTGAACTGTCTTATAAAGAGGTTACTGGTAGGCCATTCTGGAACCTCTAAAGCAGAAATTGTCAAGCAAAGACAACATTTTAGGATTACAATATGTAAAAATATAAAACAAAGGAAATTAACCTGTAGTTTATTTGATTACAGTGTAGTCATAAGTACTGACATGAGAAAATAAGCACCATTTAACCACTAACTGTTATAGAATTTAATCATATCTTGAGCTAATTATTTCAATCTTACAGTCAATGCTGCCACGTGAGAGTAACAGTAAGGAGGTGGACAGCAGCCTCCTTGCCGTCGTCAGTTTCCCCGCCTTTGCCGTGGACGATCCCTTACTTATCAAGAAAACTAAGATGACGATACAGAATAAGTTACAAGGACGTTTTGGCTGTAAGAGATTCCTGAGGGATGGTTATAAGACAGCCAAGGAGGTAAGTTTGATCATATCATTGTAAAGAACGTAAATATTCTTTGCAATGCTTAGACTTTATTCTTATGGATTTATAGGTTCCTGTTTCTTGCACGTCCTAAATATGGTGATCATTTAGGGTTCTTGAATAAACAAAAGTTCCTCTATTATGACATTGATAAACTAGTTACAAATAAATTCTGTATTTTTTCTTATATTTCATGATTAATTAAGCTTAAACTCCTTCAGGATCCCAGTCGACTATACTACGAGCCGTGGGAACTAAAGGTATTTGAGAAGATCGAATGTGAGTGGCCTCTGTTCTTCTGTTATTTCATCCTAGACTACTGTTTCCAAGGTGACGAGGAAGCTGTCAAAGAATACTCAGAGACTCTTGAAGAGGTGTGTGTTTTGTTATGTTTAGTTAGTGTTTTGTTTTAGCCACCGCAAGTTAAATGTTCAAACCTGCAGGGTAAGGAAGACTCATGAAGATATTACTATGCATTTGATTGTTTTTACTTAATTTGTGTGAGTCATATTTAACTCCTTCATTATTGGGATGCCACTTTTACTGTTTTATTTCTTTAACGTTAGGTGACTTATATTCATAAATTTTAGATTTAGATTAAAGTTAGGGTAAAAATGAATGGGATTACCTGAAAATTACTCCCCAAGCATTTATCATCTTGTGAATAGAAGCCCTAATCATATTGCTACCTTGAAGGGTTATATTAGGTTTGGTTACATTAGATTTGGTTAGTATTAAGGTTGCTTATCATAAGGTGAAATAAGCGAGGGGCTAATCTTCAGCTGATCCAATTAATGTAACTTGTATTTAGAGAAGAATTAAAATAAACTGTCTGCCAGTGAACAAGGGAGGTGAAGTTGTAGTAAGAGGCTCATTTGATAATATATTTTACAGTTGCTGGTGACCACTGATGATGGGCTGAGGCTGGTACCAGAGATCTACTCAGTGCCAGCAGAGAAAGTAGAATTAGAGTACCAAGACCCCGGCTCACAGGATCGTGTAGCTGTGGGCAAGTTACCTTTCATGTGGGCACAAAGTCTCTACATCATGGGCAGACTCCTCCAAGATGTAAGAATGTTGTGAATGCATTTCTGTTGTGTTAGTGTGAAAGTATAATTAAACTAATACTCAATAAGGCTCTACCACAATATTAGAACAGTCTTCCCTTGATGATTCACATTTAAAAGACTTGCATTTCAGGTATTTACACTATTCCAAATCTATCCTCTTTTTTTTTTAACATGATTAATTGTGAGTACCCATGTGTTTCCCCTGCAAAGCGAGAAAGAGGATAATCTGGATTGATATGAATAAAAAAGAAAATTATATGTGTGTTATGGGTGAAGCAATGTTGGTGGTGGTTCTCATCCACAACTGCTACCATCAGCTAATTTGTCTTGTCTTCTTTCCTGTTTCACTTCATTTCTCCTCCACATATATTATACCTGTATATTGTGTTATTAGTATTTTGTATGGTCTTATGACTCTTATCTCCTGCAGAAATTCTTGGCCTGTGGTGAACTGGATCCTCTCAATCGCCGCCTGGGTTCTGAGAAGAAGCCAGATGTGGTTGTACAGGTTGTGGTGCTGGCAGAAGATGGCAGCATTCAATCTAAGCTCCAAGCTCTTGACATTCATGTACAGACCATTTCAGAAGTGGCACCCATTGAGGTTCAGCCAGCCAGGGTATTATCAAAGCTTTATGCACATCTGGGTAAGTGTCTTGTGTGTTGTTTTATCTCATTTGGGGTCGATGCTGCTTCAGTTTGGGAGGGAGCGAATTTTTTACCCCAACTGCAGGTATACTAGATTCCCTAGATTTGGTACAGTTTTGGGGATAACCAGAATGGTAAAGGAGTTAGTAAGAAGTGAAAAATTGTCTTAATATATTTTTGTTATTATTTGTGTTTTCTGTAGCTTAGCAACTTTCATTTGATATGCTGTATATATATTGTATATATTTTTTTTTTGTCCTATTCTCAGGCCGTAATCAAAAGCTTGGACTCTCTGGGCGTCAGAGTCGTGATGTTGGTATCCTCTCCACAAGTAAACTGTACGCTCTTCAAGACAGAATCTTTGCATTCACTCCTCAGGTAACTTAAAAAATTTTTATTTGTATCTTATAATAAATGTTTTATTTTGTAAAAGATTTAAATTACTTTGGGGATTAATGTTTCTTGTTATTTGTGTTTGTCAAGTTTTAATGGATTTAGATTCCTTTATACAGAACATCATTGAAACTTCATTTATTCTAATCCTTGATTTGTCTTCTGCCAGAAAGCAAATACTGTACCTATTATTTTTAATATGGTTTACTCATCTGTATAATAATCAGCCATTTTCACATGTCAGTAATATACAGGCATAATACTGAACATATTTTCAGGTATGCACATTTTCTCTCAACAGATGTAAACTGTTATATTATATTTTTATTTATTTTTTTACTCAATCTTCATTTTTTCTTTATGATAACAAATACTACAGCACTTGAGGATGACAGATTCCATTTATCATTTCTTCCTTAACATTATGACTTGCTTAACTGTGAAGTATGACATAGTTAATTCAGTTTTTATGATTATGTTTATATCCTTTTAAATTTCTCTTGTCCATCAGTTCTTTCCTAAACATTCTTAGTAGGATTACAAATAAAACATTCTGGGTTGAGCTATGAACTTTTTTTTAGGATTTTTTATATAAATCTTTTGATAACCTAATTTGATTTTTAAGCTTCATGAGTTTTGCATCTGTAGGGACATAAGTGATCAATAAACAGCTTTCTATCTATTTTATGCCTATTTGTTCAGGTTTTAGGGGAGTAGTGTATCATAATGTCTGTAATATGTGTTTTAAAGGATCCTGTTATGGTGCTTCAATATTTTACCTCAAAGGCTGTCATCATAAGTGAAAACCACATTTGTTAACATTTCCCAGCTTATATTATTACTATGTGTGTTTTATTCCACTATGTATTGGACATTCAGGGTGAAATAGTTCCCCATATTTAAGGGTGTACAGTCAAACATTATTCTTTATTTCTCTTCAAAATAGTTTAATAAAGTTTAATTCCTTCCATACAACCTATTTCAGTTTGTAGATCGACAGCGATTCTTCATAGCCTCCGACCTGGACCTTCTTTTAGATATTTTCAAAACTGAACTCAACTTCTTGCAATGTACCTGGAAGCACATGTTGGGTCGACCCATTGTTACTTTGGAGTTAAACCAGAGTTTCCTAGGTAACACAGATGTTTAACCCCTCCCCCCACCACTACCTTCCTCCCAAGCTTTCTGACTTCCCTCTACTGTACTGTACAGTATTAGCTGTCACCTGATACTGTACTTGTTAGATTGCTGAGACTGTTTTATATAATGGTGTGTGTTTGTTGTTTCCTTAAAGAAAATAAGTTTGATGGCTTATTTATAAATTTGTCATCTATCCCTTTTCATTTCTTCTCATAGAGACTTTTGCTTGTTGAGACGTGAGAAAATGTGGAACATTAGCAACATTATTGTGCCATCTTGTACAAAGTCCTGACCAGTTGCAGGCTCCTGTTGCAGCTTTACTTAAGATGTGTTTTAGCAATCTGATACTTGTATATTGTGTTTGACATTGTAGTTTTTCTTACTCAGATTTTGCACGTACATTAACATCCTCCAATAAACAACTTGTAATTTCAGTGATACATGAGTTTAGTGTTTTCTTCAGCATTATTGCAAGCTTTTAGAGGTAAGTATGATGGTATCGTGATGTTACCACATCAAATACTTGTTGTGGCTTGGAGTGTTAGTCTTGTTCGTCTGTGTGTCCATTCAACTCGCTCTTGTGTCTGTCTGTTGTACTCAGGCATAGTAGATGTACATAAAGTAAACCAAGTCCACAGGTTTTCCATTATTAAAAGGAACATCTGTGTAGGGTATTGAAGTCGCTTGGCTACAGTTCCTGGTCTCTGTTTTTGAAAGTGTCTTAACCCTGATGTAGCCTCATGCAGTGTCCTCAGGATTTTCAGAAATTTACTCCAGATAATCTTCTTTTCTCATAAAACTTCTGCTTTCTAAGTCTTGATTAATTTATGTTGTAAAAATCTGCACTGAAGAGTAGAATGTAGATGATGATTCTGTCCATCATTAAGTGTGCCTTAAAATGTATGCATGATTAAATAATAGTTATCCTCCACGTATAAAGCATGAGGTCTGCAGGGCGTTGCAAGCTCTTTGATCGCTACATTTTTTCCAGATATGTTCAGACTATATAAAAATGTTCAGTATATAGGATGTAGCTGGTATGCCAAGTACTTGTTCTCTCCTTATACTGTTCAGAACTTTTTGAACATATAGGTAAGGTCAGATTAGACATTTTCAGTACTGTAGGGATGACAGATTGGGACAGATCGAGTCATAGTTTAATGGTAATGGAATCTTAATTTCTTCATCTGTTCACACTATTCTTATCCACAGGAAGACTAATTAACCTAGCTGATGTAAAAGTGTCTCATAGGTTATCATTTGTTGTATTAAAAGATGAGTCCACCATTAATGGGAGGGAAAGGCTTTAGATAAAAATGAGATTAATTAATACGTGTACTTACATTTACTTCACCCTTGAGATTTAAATACTATACTTGCCATTTATTTTGCCCTTGAGCAGTTTGGTTTAGGAAGAAAAATATCCATAAAAAATAAGAAATAAAACATTAAAAGTAGCATCTCCATAGTGAAGGGGTTAAGCAGCAAGAAGGAACTAATGACAGTGAGTGAGGGAGAGTCTCTGTTGTGTTTGATTCAGTCTTTGAACTTGTTAATATTGAAGGAATGTAATATGGTACATCTGTTGCTCATGTAGAGTATTGTGCTCTAAAAGTTAATGTTCTTGTCGACTAAACGTATTTTGTAGTAGATTGGTATAGCTTAGGCTGGGTAGTCTTCTTGTCAGGTTGCCAAAGGTACAGTGAACATCTGAAGTGGTCTTGGTGTCTCTTATTACTTACGTGGTATTAGACTTTGTATGTTTTTCTTGGTTTTTGTTGTTATGTTCACGTCAATATCATTTGTCTAAGTTCTGTGGTGCCCCCCCCCCTCCCCTTGCCCCTACAGTTGAAATTGGAAAAGAATTACATTTTGATTCCCCCCATGTCTGTCTGTCTGTAAACATCATCGTTGTATTAAGTACAGTACTGTCCTGGGTACATTCTGATGTATATGTAGAACCAACTACATTAAGGCCAATTTTATCTCATGTCATTGTCATTAACGGTAAGAAAAGAGGCTCCATTTGTGAACAGGTGTTGGTTTGAAATGCCAATTTTTAAATTGTTGACGTGAATTATAAAAGGCAGGAGCCATTTCATTGTTTCCTAGTTCCAAAGACTTTGATTTAATTGTTTTATGGCCATTTTCCACACTTGTATGGGTTAGCTGCTATTACCTGATGACACCTCGCTCTCTTCCCCTTCACATTTAGGCTCGTGCACCTTTTGGCGCAATTGGTCTCATCCATTCTCTCCACATGCCCAAACAATCTCAGCTTGCCTCTTTGCAGAACTTTGCCATTACGTACTGTATTCTCAACACCCAGCTGCCCTCTTAGCTCTGAACAGGGCCTCCTGTCTTTCAGTGTCATATTACATATCCACCTTACTATTCTCATTTCAACTTGTTCAAACCTACATATGTTGTATTTCATCCTCTGTAACCACTCATGTTTCACTGCCATACAACTCCATACTTCTCACACCAGCCACATACATTCATCCCTTCACTTGGAGGGAAGGTCCTCTTGTCATCACTAAAGGCAGCTGCTCCCTAAACTTCTCCTCAACACATCAACACAGTCCAAGGACATATCCTCCAACCTTGCTGTGGACACATACAGAACACTTTAAGTCAGCAACAAACTGCAGTCTGCCATCTTCTCCACTTTACCTCTTTTCAGATTATTGAATTAGCTTCAATACCTATCTTACAGACACAAACAGTACAGATGATAGAATTTCAGTAAGTCACACTTGGTGACTGCATCTTTGTACAGTAATTAGGAATATCATAAAAGCATTTGATAAACGAAAAAAGATTTAAGAAGACTGCCACCAGTGTTTACTGGTACACATACAGTACACACTTGCATTTTCGGCTTTCTTTTTACACACCAAAAAAATATAAATGACACACTTATTTTTCATATACAGTGTGACCATTACATTAATTTAATATTATTTGGGTGTTTGTGATTGAGATGAAAACTTATTGTTCTTATATTTCAGACTATTAATTTCTTTATTTTTAAGTGTACATTTTTCTAACTTTTTCACTTACAGTTATTTACATCCTGGTGGTATTTTATTATTTTAAATTGAGAATGAATATTATTTTGTATTTTTGTATTCTATAATAAATTTTCTAGTACTTCGATGACGAGGAGAGTTACCTGTCCATTGATGCAGACCTTAGTGTGTACATCTTTAGTGTTGGACTGGATTATTTGGCATCAACATGGAAAGACCTTGGAAGACCCACCGTATGTTTTAGGATGCGGAAAAACTACCTTGATGGTATGTTTGCTCACACAGTTGTCAATAACTGTTGGTGAATATGTTGTCCACATAAGAGTCACAACTGTATGCCTCACAGTGCTGTACATGTGAATTGTGTGGATTTTGAGTTACTGAAGATGTTTTGGAGTGTTTTAGGGGTGAGGTCGGTAATAAGAAGGCCTGAGGGTGCTGATGAGAGGCTTTGTGCACTTGGAGAAACAAATAATACTATAGGTACATTAATCTTATAGTTGAAGGATTTAATGAGTTTTTGATCTCCATTACGACTTATAATTTCCACAAATTATAAAAGTAAACTTCCCATTATGAAACGTTAATCTTAGTTCATTGATGATTTATATACAGGGCGTACCACATTTACATTGATGGGTTGTTTACATGAATCCCAAGAAAAAAAAAGATATTACAAAGGTTATTACTGTTCATATAGTCACTGATGATAACGATAGGTAAATGTACAGGTCTCTTGTGTTGTAGAGGGTGATGGTGTAGTGAACAGCTTGGAATTCCTCACACACATGAACATCTTTTAATTTATTTTTGTTCTTTCTACGTTTTGTTTTCCAATAAGACCAGAAGCATTATTTACATTTCTGTCTTTACACTTAAGATGTTTTTAATGCACATAATCGGCAGTCATTCATGTGATAACTTCCACAAACAGTACTGAAAACTTTGATAGATTTTCCTTTTAATGTAGTTCTGGTAACTCTTATACAGTGGTCATCATCGGTGGAATTTAGCTGTAGGGATGGTGGCTATCATTAGTGGAAATTTCATGTCCCTTGCGTTCCATTTTCTGGGCATGTGGGGGTGGAGTAGGGAATCCTTTGCCACTGTTTAAAGTTTTAACTAATCTGGTTTGTAGCTGCAGCAATATGATTTTTTCCACAGCATTTTGTTTATCTTGTGTTTTCTCCTAAACATCTACAGTGTTATGCAGGATATTCATCTGTATTACTCTCAATGTGTAGCAGCTCGTACCAGAAAAAATACTGTACTGTACTAAAATTGCACGTCTTTACGGCAGAATTAGCAACAGCGCTTTTTGCACATGGCGTATCTAACTACTTAACATCTACCAAGTACAGAGAAACACCTCTATCTTGTACACTTGACTGAAGGATCACCATGACATCAACCTAGATAATACACTTTATTTTCCGCCCTGGTTTTCCAGTCACCAGCAACAAACATTAATCTCAATTTTCAGTTTATCATCACTTGAGAAGCTTTACACATAGACAACTACAGTACCATAAAATACACACACTTCATCACTATAGCAACTCTGTCCTGCACTGCTAACATTGCTATCAACTAATGCAACATCATTGTCAGCATCCAGTAAATGTGACTTTTTTTGGAAATTGTTTATTGTGTTTGTCACGACCACCAAATCTAGTAGTGGCCCGGTGAAGGAGGAATTCTTTGGGTTTTATAAGTATCCCTCCATTTTATTGGCCTCATAGTATTCCTTTATCTCCTGGGATATTAAATTATTTCCCACTTGCATCTATATAATTTTAAAAGCAGTTCTTGTTCTTTGTAGTAGTTAGGCCAGCAGAGTTAAAATGCAGTTTGTGAAAGAGTTAACTAATAGGTAAAGACTTGAGATAAGATGAAAGGTCAAACTGGGAAACCTGATGGAGCATAAGTTGTGGAATATATAAATACTTTGGCACCAGATATTTTACCGAATCAATCAATCAATCACTGTAAATTCTCTCTGGTGTTGCCTTGGGGAAGATTTTCCCCAGATTATACAACTCTTGGGGAAAATTCTGTACCAAACTCCATCTTAAGACATACTCTAATTTTATCAGCTTTCAGATATAAAGTTATATATAGTGTATAAAAATAGTGAGGGTCAGAAGAAGTTTTCAACATAAACCCAGAGGTATTTAGTGTATAATATGAATTACCGAACAGATGAATAATGGAAAATATAATAATTAATTATGAGAGAGATTTCCATTGAGAAATACTGTACGATATTCTGTATTTAAGTAGAAAAAAAATGGTAAGATATGTAACGGATGGAGTAAATATTGGTATTGGTGTTTGTCTCTGCGTAATATATTATAGACTGGGACACGTTAGCTGACTTGAGTGTTCGTCCTCGTTATTCTGTTATTATTAACATTTCTAATTCTTCGTTGGGTTCCCCTTAATTGCTTACTGCTTATCTGCTAGGGTTATATGTGTTCATGTATGTAGGGATGACTTGTCTATTGTTTGTGTGTATGTAAGGATAACTTCTATATCATTCTATACACTATGCGAAGATAATGTAACAACTGCAGGTGTTATAGTTGTACTTTTGTCATTTAAATATGCTGTTTGTGTTATTGTGCAGCAGCCGAACGTTATTACCAATTTTATGAAACACTCGTCATCTTTAATAGGGGACTTGTAATTATGGGGTCACCTGAAAAATCTCCACCCCAGATTACTTCACCTAAAGATAAACCATCCTAACACTTATGGGGATGAGGTTAGGTTAGGATATGTTTGGTTAGGTTAGGATATGTTTGGTTAGGATAGGATACAATTGTTAGGGTTAGGATACAATTGTTTAGGTTAGGATAAGATACATTTGGTTAGGTTAAAATACAATTGGTTAGGTTAGAATACATTTGGTTAGCGTTAGGATGGTTGATATAAGCTGGGGTGGAGATTCTTCGGATGATCCATATTTTGTTAACGCATCTGGTGCTTCTGTGTTGTTTGCTGCTATATTTCAGTCCGTGATTTAAATGTTTGCTTGTTCATGTGATTAAAAGATGACAGAATATTATAATTAGAGAAGGATTTTCATGTATGTAAAACTGATGATTCATTTATGTCTGAATGAGTCTTTATTGGGGGCTTAAACCAATCTTTCTGTGTATCTGACAAATGGTCTCATATTACAGTATTGATTTGTAATACCTGTATCTAGTGATTGTATTACATGGATTGTTATAATACTTAGCTACTAATCATACTTTTATTTGAAGTAGATTTTTTTTTTTTTTTTTTATTTGATTAATCTACAATATATACTACTGTACTGTGGTTACTTAACTGGGTGTATTCTGGATGAAGACACTATCTTTTGTTTAATGGCCAACACATGGTCATATATAGCCTTTATTTGCCAGACTTGAATTTATATTTCCTTTTAGAAATTTATTTAATTTTTTTTATCATTTCACCACTTATCAGCTTGCTAACAGTATGGTCGGTTGGTCTATCCAGTGTTAGTGCAGGAGGAAACTGGAATCCTGGAAATCTGTGATGTTTGGTAGTGTCACACTGGATAATAGCTTAGTTATATAGATTTCCTAGATAGAGTACTGTACTTACTAACTTGGCCACATCTTATTTATGTGTTCTCTTGTACCAGGACCTCCAGTGTAGATAATGTATACGAGAAATTCATTTAGTTGTGAATTATAAAGGAAGTGATGGTGATAATATAGGATAAAAAAAATGCTTGCTGGGGTGATTGGTGTTATGAGAGAGGTTTTAAAATGACTGTGGTAGGGTTAGTGTGAGGTTCAGTTCACCTCCCAGTGCAAAATGACAACTGTAAGAGTCTAATAGTGATGATACTACTGTTGATTAGTTAACGGGACTTGGAGTGAATTATCATAGAATGCGAGTACTCTTTGTGTGAATTTGTACTGTGTTGTATAAGTTTCCAGGATGCATATAAGTATGTTATTTAAATCAAGGATAAAGCCCAATAACCTTTGAAATATTAGGGATTTGAGATCAGATAAGATGGAATATATGAATGTTAGATATATGGATGATGCCACCATTAAGATGTCGTGTGGGTGAGAGCGTAGAGATGTGATGTGTTCATGTTGAGAGTTAGAAGATGATGTATGAAAGTATTGTTGTAGGCAGGAAGAGAGCAAGTGTACTGTGCTGTGATTGGAAGAACAAGATGTGGTACAGCATAGTGGTGTATCATTAGATGTTACCAGTAATGACAATGATAGATGATAAAGTAAGTTGGTGAACAGTGTAAGTTGATGTTGATTGTTCAAGTAATGTGAAGGTTCTGGGAAAGAGAAATTTTAATAGAGAAAGGTTGTTTGGCAGATGATTACTTAAGATGTACTGTACGTATATGGTCTTATTAACATGAAGCAAAAATAAGGTATATATGGTACTGTACTGTACAGTATATACAAATAGTATGTATATGGGAGTCACTGAAAACCATCATTACAATAATGTGATGAAGCACAGGTGTTCTGTACTGTATGCTCACTTGTAGTATTTTGTGATGGTAGAGTTTATTTTCTGCTGTTAGTGTAGATGATGATTAGTAAAGTAATTATCTTAACCAGTAAAATCCTAACCCCCTTCCCCTAGCCTGTCTCTAGGTCACTGGTGCATGTCTTAAATACGTTCACATTTGTAAAAGTGAGACCATTTGTTATTGTAGAGTGTGGACACAGAGGAGTGGTACGGCATGCATGATGCAAACCTGCTATGCTATTATTTGAAGTCGCATATGGCCTTCCTGAAGGAGACGTGGTTCAGCTCTATGCTTGGCAGACCCACCATTACTTTTCTTGTTCAGTCATTTATGTTAGGTAAGCTCAAAATTTATTAAGGGGTCATATCAGGATTTTCAAAGTTGGTCAGCTGTGAACCTCAGATATGACCCCTTAAAATGAACTCCTTCCTCGAGGAAAGTGATATACCTGTAGTTCCTTAACAGTTTTCTGGTGGTAATACAGGGTCATTATTTTATTAGAGAAACCTGAATGCTTACTGTACTATATCTGTAGGAATAAAGTCTTGCAGTGATCAGACTTTATTCCGGATGATTTTTAAGTCCCGGTTTATTGCACGTCCTAAGATATAGTAATAATTTAGGGTACTCGAATAAGAAAATAAGACCCTACATTTTATTGTGAAAATTCCACTATAGGAGATAATATGAGTAAGCTTCTTTGATTTTAATTATACTATACATGGTAATTATTAATTTTGTTACAGGGGGTTTAATCTGTCTTAACTGTGAACCTCTGACAGCATTTCATCTCTGGATACTGTTACTTTCTTGACTGTGAATTACCTGCATTGTATATTTCTCTTTAGGGTGTACTGAGCAATAGCTTGGGGAATTCTTGGTCTAACTTCTGATAGGTACCTGATCTTATAATATTACTTCTAAGGAAAGTATACATAAAGAAAAGTGTATTGTATGTTCAGATATATTTGATATTATAACTCGGTCAGTATCCCATAATGCTACTGTATTAATAGGCAAAAAAATCCAGCCAATAATTAAGTGATAACAAAATGTACAATACGAAGGGCCGTGACTTTACGGGTCATTTGGGGTGTTTTTTTTTCTTCACAAATATCTCTTCAAGAGGAGGAAGAGAATAATGTACTGAAAATACATGTAATTCAAATAATATATATAGGTAAAGAGTGAGGAAAAATGCTGATTGTGATGCCTTCCAACACATAGCTGAAAGCAATTTGAGATTATGTGGATATTTGGAGATGATACTGGATGATTATACTGTATATCTAGTAAAGCTGTGAATGAAGAAGGAAGTCTTATTAAAATTTTGGTAAAGCTGTGAATGAAGAACGAAGTCTCATTAAGATATCAGCATAGTGAGGGAAGGGAATTAAATGCAAAGTGGTCCGGGCGAATGAAAACCTAACCTCACGTTGTCTCACTAACCTCACATCGATGGTGAATGGGTTAATACTGTTGCTTCTGTATTTTTTCCAAGTTCAGTTAAATCTTAATTTTTATCTGAGGCTAAGTGCACCTGTTGGAGACCAATTAGTGGTGAATGTAGTGCTTCAGGTGGTGGGTATTGGGGTGATAGAAGGGGGAGAGAGTAAACTATGGCCCCAGGGATGAGAGTTATTATAATTTAATTGTAGTAAGTTTGGGTATTATAATTTACCAAGCAATAAGGTACATTATATAGTAAGGCATATTTGACAGTTTGGGTATTATAATCTACTAGCAAAGGGTAAAGTACAGGATATATACATTTTACAGACTTAACAATACCTCTCTATCATGGTTAAAACCCCTACTGTATATATACTTGTAATGCCTCTTGTGTTTTTCTTCATCTTGTGACTCCCTTAAACTGAGTTGCCATTCTTGTGTTGACTGTGCACGTATTCTTGCCATTATGCTGTTGCCTAATTCATGCCATTTAAACCCTCTATATGCCACCCTTGCTGCTAACTAAATTTCCTTTTTAAAAACTTGTCCAATATTTTGTAATTTGTATTTACAGTATAGTGAGATTCTTGATATGAGTTTTGATAAATTTTAAGTGATCAGTAAACAAATTCTAGTTTTGTAATACAGTATTGTAGTTTTTAATTAATACAATGAGGAGTTATTTAAATGTATAGTTGTGGTTATTGAAGTTATTTTTCACTTAAGGAGTTGTAAATGCAGTTGTGGTCGTTGATAGCTTGACTAGGTTGAGTCTGATCAGTAGTACAGTGCGTTGCCTCTTCATGTGTTTGCAGAAGATGGTAAAATTCCTCCTGCCATGATCTCTACTCTGAAGAAGCTCAAGAGCGGCTACATCAACGGTACAAGGTACAGTATGTTGTCTCTTGCTACCACTTCTCCTAATAATACCTGTAAAACCCAACCCAACCCAACCATATAACCATACCTGAATCTGATACCTGTATAATCTAACATAATCTAATGTAGTCTAACCTAACCTAACTTGTTATCCTTGGCAGGGTGTCACTGGGCAAGATGCAGGAGTTCCTCAACACGTCTTGCATCACCAGCCTCAACTTCCTCAACGATACCGAGGGTGGCTTTCCCGACAGTGAGTTCTATTGGTATTTTATTGTTTATTTTTTTACTGTACCAATTTTATAACTGAATTTGTTTAAGTAGCTCCTTTATCACTTTATACTTTTCATGCCTTCTTATGGGATTATTGATGTTTAGTAGTTGTGTTAGTACAGTATTGATGTTTATTAATTGTGTTTATTTGATGTTTGTTAATTGTGTTCTTTTAATGTTTGTTAATTATGTTGTTATTGATGTTTGAAGATGTTATTATTGTCTTTGGAGGCACATGTGTCTCAGAAACACCCACCAAGTTTCTTTTATTGTTGCAGGTCTTAAAGGAGAAGTAAAGGAGTACCTAGAGAAACAAATGAGAGGCTCTTTGACCTGGAGAAGAGCAGATCTAGTGCGCATGTCAAACAGGCAAGGCATTACTGTTGAGAAGTGAATAATGGAAATAAAATGTTATATATTAGAGGAAATGTGAAAACAGTTTAGCATTTGGAGCGTGTTAATATGCACCTTCATGAACAAGATATTTGTGAAGTCAGGAGTTTACCTGTAGGTCCCTTGATTCATGATATTAAAGTGGTCACCATCATTACTGTATATATTTTCTAATTCACACTTCTAGTGAGGTAGGTCATATCAGGTCAGAATCTAATCAAGTGATTTTTTGTGAAGATGTTCATGTGTTGCATCACCTCAGAGGAAGGTAACCATTTGATTAATTGCCATTTAATTGCAAGGCTAATTTTTCTTGACAAAAGGTTTGTGTATTTTAACTTAATGTGATAGAACTTCAACCTTGTTTTAAAGTGAAAACATCATGGACTCTGAATTTTGAAGTTAGATTTCTGGGATGTTTGAGGGTTCAGCTTAATGCATGGCAACTATTTACACTGAATAAGTTGTTGCCACATTGGTGACTCGTGGGGACACTTTACCGTCTTTTGAAGGAAGTACAGTGCCATGATACTTTGTAGGTGTTATTTACATCTTTGTGTTCCTTGATGAAACTGAGAGTGGAACATTGGAAGTGTATGTATTTTCTCACCTTTACAGGTTTAGTCAAAGAACGTCCCGGGATCCTACTCGACGCAAGATTTCGGTGGCAGTTAGAGGAACTATTCGTAAATCTCGTTCCCTGTTTGTTGACGAAGAAAAAGGTATGTTGGAGTACCCGTTGAAATTAATGACAATTTATTGGTTCCAGAATTATTGTAATGCAACAGTTAGAAGGATTCTGACATAGGGTATAGATGAAGCCTCAGTGTATTTAATAGTTTCAGAATAATTTACAGTATATATGATAGAAAATCCCAAGGTTATTAGTTTATTTCATATGTATAAATGTTATCCAGCAGAAGTTCCTATTTCACAAACTTGGATCTGTGATATGAACAAGATACTGAATTTTGATTAATATTTATCCCCCCCCTCAGTGATAAGGATCTTCTGTCATGATAACTTTTATAGATTATGTGTGTTAGTTATGCTCCACTCTTAGTTAACTCCCATGGCACGGTATAGAAAGATAAAGTATGAATAGAATGTGAAAAAGAAATCCCTTATAGAATTGTTGCACACAAGTCTGCTCTCCTAATTAACCTTCGTGCCGTAAGAATGAAAACACCAGAATATTTTTATACCCGGCTGATGAAATGTGGAACACTAATGAAGTTGAGGATGTAATGTGCTTTCTAAAGATTTTTAAGCCAGTCAGGACTTGGTTAATGTGTATGTGACCCAGCAGACGTCGCAAATTTCTTGGGTCGTCAGGGACTTCAGGCAAAACTTGCAGCTCGTCGCCTTTTGCAATTACAAGACAGAGGAGGTTTGTCATGTACTGCATTGGGCGATTTTTTTTTTCTGTGTTTGATTAGATGTACCGCCATTGGCTGTTGTGTTTATACTGTACTGTGACGAATTATATGGGGATTTTTGGCTTGGGCTTTTATCATTGCACAAGCCTTTGAGTATTGTACCAGTGAATTGTTGATATTGTATTGTCCAGCTTCCACCCGTTTATAATAGCCACCAATGTCAGTGTCACCAGTAACCTCCATTAAAGCCATATATTTTTAACATGGCAGACATTACACCCTCAAAACCCACGATTTTTGTTCAATGTTCATTTACACTATTTTCTGCATAGCTTCTAACCATTGCACTAACTACAGTACTTCTGTTCTCACATTCTCATATGAAATACTGTTTTACCAATCCCATAACCCCTTCAAGACTTGTAATCTCTCTCTTTACTTTTTTTGTCACAATTTGCCTGGTTACTACGGCAATGAAATGAAATCCATTGTCCCCTCCTTTCAGTCACAGTTGCGGCACACATCAGTGCCATCCTCACCTAGCATAATTTACTTCTGTATTAATCTCACTTCACTGCAATTTACCTCTCACATTTTTCCATCGACTTACAACCCCCAACTTTCCCTTACCACACAAAGGAATCATACATTTAAGTTTGTGTAGGAAATTTAGTACAGTGGTAGACTGATTATTGAAGTAGGAACGTTGTACCTTTCTTTCAATAGTGTGTAAGCTGTTACTTTACTGAATTTTCACATATAAAAAAAATACCATGCAGGATGTATGCTAGACAGACCAATGTACTGTACCACATAAATTTGGGAGGAAAAGTTGTTGTTTATATAGGACCGTCTTGTGTAACGGCAATGTTTAGATTTACGTAGTGTCTGGTGGTACAGGTTTGGTCCGTGCCAAATATAAAAGGAGGATATATTGTTAACTCTTGGAGGTGGCTGATCTTTAGGGGTTTGGCATATTGATTATATTGACGGTATATTCTTTATTGTTAAAGAAATAAAAATTGGATTTGCTCCAAGATTTTTGTCGATCTGTGTGTGAAGATGATGATCTGCATGAGCCAGTCTGCATATAGATAGGCGAAGGTAGTTAATAATGTATGCATTATTACGTTTCATATATCATACAATATATATTTGTATATATTTCGTTTGAGGTAAATGTCTTTTTAATTATATTTTTTTCTTTTCATAAGGGGTTGGATCTTCACTTGGATTTTCATATGGTATATCTCTACAGTAATTCATTTTGTATTTAATTCTAAGCATAAGATACCATAAGAGACTTGTAAGTGGGAGCTTGTGGGACCGAGGTTGGTATCGCAAACAGCCTGTGATAAGAGTATTGAATCTGTCCCTTGAATATATTAACAGAAGCATCAGGCAAAAGTTGTATCTGGTAGTTTCTTGGGGTATAATCTTAGGATATTAATATGATTACTATGGTTATTTATTAACTTGCTAAATAGGTAGATAGGTAAGATATGTGGATAGAGGGATGACTAAACTAACAACTGGGAAATATAAAAATGAGAGAGTTATCAGCATTTATTAATCTGAAAGAATCAGAGAAGAGTTTGGTGAAATGTCTTTGATGGTGTGAGGTCAGCTGATCAAGGAATTTATTGTTAGGAATTAGAAGTAATAATTCATTACCTGAGTAGATCCCCCCCCCCCAAAACAAAAATAAACAAATGCCATGAAGTAGTAAATGGTAAAACAGTGTGTAGATTCTTTGGCCATAGTTTATAGTTCTCTTTGAATGATTCTTTAGACTACAGGGATCAGTTTTCTTGGTAGTAATATTAGTTTAGTATTTACAGTAGTTGTAGTACAATGACTCCCACACATGTTTGAGGTTTGGTGTATCAAGGGGTTGTAACAGAGTGTAATAACATAATAGTGAATTAATCTTCCAATGGGTATAAGAGTGTTAGTTTCAGGCAACTTAATAACATGTAAAATCCAACTAAACTACACCACACCTCACCACACCTCACCACACCACACCACACCACACCACACCACACTATATGTATTATAAAGAAAGGTCATCACTCACATTCAATATGAAATACTTTACACGATAAGTAAATAAATTTGGCTGATCACTGCTATAGAGAGAATAATGGTGGTGGTGGCCAGGTGTGTTGTGTGATGGCTGGTGCAGCAGGTGGGTAACTTTGTGGGTTTCTAAATTAAAACTTTGTTAGGGAGAAGATGATTGGTAGAGTGTTAGTTAGGACACCCTGAAGAGACTCTGGGCAGGGGGGTCAATCAGAACTTAGTTATTAATGCACAAGTCAAATAGAGGAGTTTCTAAGCACTATTTTTTAAGCCAAGGTTACAATTACCAGTAATGTTTTTATTATCACGACGTTCAGTGAGTGATTTTTCGAGGTCTAAAGGCCTTCTAATGTGGTCTTGTTGCACAGAGTGGAGTAATCTCTTGACAAACTCGAAGGCATGACTTATAGAAACACCATACTTACAGCTGTGTGTTTATGATGGAATTTATAAGTAGGGGACAAAGTAATGGTTGGAGATGGTACTTATTCTTAATTAAATTTATGGTATGTGTTAAAATAAGATTATGCCACTAGCACGCATATATTGTACAAACTGGAGAGCACTGCCAGCTATATTGTTACATTGCACAGCTATAAACATTATATTAATGTGTGATATATTTTTAGCTTTGCAGTTACAAAGTGGATATTATTGGCAGGCATTTCCTATTATATTTCATGGTTTACGGACATGATGTAAGGTAATGGTAGGCTTTAACTATTTACATTTCTGGATCATAAGCAGGATATTATAAGCAGCAATTTCTTCTTATGTTTTAGTGTGACAAACAGGTTATTATTGGTGGCCATTTTGTGTTACATTTAATTTTACAAACAGGATCTTATTTTTTTCCATCTCTTACTCTGTGCTGTACCATCCCTCTGACTCGTTCACAAGACTCTGCACTACAAGTCTCATAACAAACCGTAGTCTGGGTAATTTCCTATCCAAGGTTAAATTTTTTCTTTCATTATGTTCACAAGTAATTCTTCATGATTTTCCTGGGTATTTATCATGCGTTATAGGAGTCTAGATATAATTAATGAAACTGGATGGAAATTTAGCCCATAGATTGACCACTTGAGAAGTGTCTTGCCTTTCCATTCAATAAGCAGTGCAAGCTTGTGCTAAATAATGCTTTCTTATCAGATTATACAGTGCTGTAGTTGTTCTCTTGTGTGTGGAGGCTCTTGTAGAACTTATGTTGTGTAGAGAGGCTGATGATGAGAGAGTTTGTCCAGATTGTATACTAACAAGTGAAGTTATGAGGACTTACCAGGTTAATGGCTGTGTGATTAATTTTTATTACAATTTGAATCTGTCTCATGAGAAACTGTAGAAAATGAATTTATATACAGTCTCCTTATACAGGTACCGGTACAGTGATTTATAGCGGAAAACATTTTAATAAGCGTAAATAGAAAATTAAATTGGATATCTTTATAGAGGATGAAATGCATTAGGAAGATGCTAAAAGGATATACTGTACATATTTTAAAATGGTGCAGCTTGTGTGAGAAGAATGGATTTACATTAAGGTGAATTTAGAATATAAAGTACCAGTAGATTTGGCATAACCTTGGCTACTGCATCTTTTTATTGTACTGTATGTCAAGAAGGATTAGGGATGTTGATATTCGTTGATGCCAATGTGTGTGTGGTGACTGGATAGGGTAGTGTGAGAATGCCTTGGTTATGAAGGAGAGTAGGAAGGTGCTCTGTCTGTCACTCTTGTATCAACATTTCATCTCGACTATATGGCTGGACTAAATGCACAAAGCCTCGCAAGTCGACTGAAAATTCACTTATTCTTAACAAAGTGAATTAGGACTTCCACTTTGTTTGATTGCTTTGTGGTTTAACTTTTTTCACTTAAGTATTTTGATATGTTACTGAGTATTCATTTCCATATATGTATAATTCTTCTCCATGTTAAGGGTTATGTTCACATCATTCACTTAAGTTGGTGCATTAGTGCATGTCTTGTCATGATTCACTTTAATGCATAGTTGTCTTCATACTAAAGGGCTGTCATGTTCACTGTTGTTGTTCACTTTCACATACATAGGTTTAAATAGGGTTGAGTCCCAAGAATTTAGACAGAAGATAGGTTTGAGTCTTGAGGAATTAGATGAATGCAATACTTAATACTGTTACCATGAGAGAAAGGTGGGAACAAGGTATGTAAAATGATAATGGACTAGTGGTTGAGTTAACTATGGGGGAACTAGTGTTTGAAATTAACTAGAGAGAATTAATATTTAGAATTAACGAGAGAAATATGTGTTTTGGTTTACCTATAGAGGAATAAGTTCTTATGTTTAACTGTACTGTATGGAAATTAATGTTTGCAATTAACTATTGTATAGGTGTACTGTATTAGTGTTTTGAATTTACTTCAGAGGAATTTGTGTTTTGTCTTTCACAGTAAAGTAGATGTTTAAGTTGGGACTAATTGACTAAACAGGTTAAGATCTTAAGTGAAACAATAAGATGTGTGTGTTCTTGTTTTGTTTTGAGAGAGAGAGAGAGAGAGAGAGAGAGAGGGAGGGGACAGAGTAAAAATATTCTTGAGAAATAGGTAAAGCAGATTGAGAACTGTTAATGTTACAGTATTTCATGAGGTTATAGAAGTGAGTTGAAAATACTGTCAGAGTATTAGAAAGGTAGATACTGTGCTGTATTATTATTACTGATTTAGGTAAAGCAGATTGTGAAAATTGAAAGTTGCACAGTTGACTTAAGATTGCAAAAGTGAGTGGAAGTTTACTAGGAATTGCAAAATTGTTTTTATAAATAGGACAAAACATATACGAGTATTAGAAGTAATGAAGAGCGTATGATTGGTAGGGGTTAAGAAGATGGGTGGTATAGCTCAATTGGCAAAACACTGGACTGCCAGGTAGGAGTGGTGGGGTGAAATTTGCTGTGGGGTGCATTGTGCTACCCATTCACAGTGTCAACACCCTGAGCTAAGTTAATCCTTCTTGCCCAGGTCACCCCATAAATTAAGTGAAACACTCCTGAGGATATTAGCTTTAACCTCATTGTTTTACCTTTAAATGTTTCCACAGAGTTTAATAAGAACTTTCCTGGTTACAAATAGCAAATAGTTGAGTGCTTTAATCAGGCTTTGTATTTTGAAGATTGTCATGAAAATTACTCTGTAAAATAAGGGTTTCTATAAGGTTTGTTTCTGGTGAGGTATAGATAATCATGTTACTGTACCTAGAAAATGTGGAGGTTAGCCATGAACAGGACACAACTTTTTCTCCACAGATAGGTGTTGCTCTCATGTTTGCTGCCAATATTGATTTTTACTCATGATGTGAATATACCTTGTAAATAGCTTTTGAAACTGCTTGTTATAGTTTTAAGTGATATTGTAAGTATATTCCTTGTAAATAGCACTGAAGGCTTTGGAAATGCTTATTTTATGTTTTGTGGTCGGTAGTATATTTTACACTGTAGCAGTTTTCGGTGATGACTTTTCATAGACAGACAGTATTTCTTGTGATGTTGTGAGTGACATTGCTGTAATAATGCTTACAGATTTAACATGGTTTGTTCTGTAATATTGTGGGTATGTATTGTACCTAATTATAATGGCTTTAACCAAATAATACACAGGTAAGCTTTGATATGCTACAGTGTTAAATGTGCATCACAGTAATTAATCTCTATCACTAAACACAGAAAATATTGGATTATAATAAATGTCATATTTAAACGGGTAACTATTGATAAATCTCTCCATTCATAACCATATTCAGTTGTTATATTTTGTCATTTAATAAATAATTAATAAGAATATCAAACTGCACTGATAAGGTAGTTAATGGAATTAGTTTTCTTACATTTCAAACCACCAGTACAGCTAGTGATGGGAGGACTCTATTGGTGTTTTATGTAATGATTCAATGAGAAGCTGCATATGTTACAAAGAGCATTAATGAATTTTGATTTGAGGAGCTATTCAGTTTTCCCTAGAACCTGTAACCTCTCCTTGATGTGGGTTCTGTAGCTGCAACACACTGTCATCTTTGAGGCTGATTTTGTTTGGATAAAAGAACCAAATACCCATCTACACCCCTTTGTTAAATCTTTTATATCAAAGCCTCTGCCAGAAATTTGATAAAGTCAGTAGCTGATGGCACCGCTAAAGGGAGAAAAATGTAATGAGATTCATTTTACTGTTTCTTCTCAAGAGATCAGTTGAGATACTGACTGAACATTACAGCAATATTTGGATGTTCCTAAAGTGGGTAAAAATAGTCATCTTAAGAGAGGGTAACATCTTTGCTCAGTTTCTGCTCAAAATAATTTATGGATGATAGAGGTGTATTTTCTCACATTAGACTGTCTCCTCATAAATTTAAATGGATTTTAACCAAAGGAAGGAATCTACATGATATGGACTTGTTTCTTTACTCTAATGGAGGAATTCCAATGCAGCCTGTTGAAATATTTAGACAACCCCAGCTGTTAATATAATAATTTCCTTGTGCAGTTTGATTAAAAATGGTTCTTGTTATTAAAGATATTGTTTTCAGAGCATTAATACAGTATTCATTTGAGAGAGTTCATTAGCAACAGTCTTACAGTGAAAAAATTGATCCAAGTTGCGTAAATGGTATCAAGCTACCCAGTAACTCAGAACTGTTATGAAATTATTGTTTATTCCTCAAATCTACAAAATTATAGAATTTATTGCTATATAGAACATGTGTGTGTGTAAACATATAAAGAGAATCCTAACTCCATCTTGCCTCGCCACAACAGACGCTCCACCATGCGTGTCTCGACGTGGATCGTGCGTCACTTCACCCACATCTGAGCTCGGTCCACCAATATTAGAAGTGTCGGTTCCAACTACACCGACACGTTCCACCCCTCCTTTATCATCACGGTCACGATCGCCGTCCCCAGATAAAGAAGACTTGTGGGAATCAATGGTCAGACACAGGTTAGTTGGTGCTGGACAGTATATACAGTACATATTGTGTAAATTTGCTTTGGTTGAATGACTTGTGTACACTTGTTCCAGAAAGTATCTTCATTGAAGGGTCCAATGAATTTCAAAATGAACACCTCGACTTATGTCATTTTCGTAGGGTCGTCAAAATCCTTCATCCGTTTTATCATATATTCTCACATAAGATCATAATGCTACTTTTTGGAGCAAGTGTACATTAGATATTCTCACAACCTACAACCTTTCTTCTGAAGAGATTTGCTGTGTCTTTGTGGTTTAAACTTCAAACAAGGAGAGAAGTTTTTCTGCATCTGGCTATATGAAAACAAATCCAGACTGACGAACTCATTCGCTTCATTCACTCACTCACCACAATCTAGGCACTCTTGTTCTGGTATGTGATCTTTCTTTTATGTTTGCCGATACTTTTAACACTTACGAACACCTTTTTCACTGTATTCGTCTTTTAAACATTATATGGTGCAGGTCACATACATTTTTGCCATTTGAGTCAAGGTCCCTAGAGCCATCACCTGTCCCAAATTTTCTCCTCTTGTGTTCATTCCTCTTTCTTGGTCATCATTCATTATTACCTCATATCTCGTAATGAAGCCCAGCTCGTCTTCCCAAATGTATCCCAGACATGGACCAAAAGCTTACTGAAATTGAACAACCTTGACCCATTTGTGGAGATAAGAGGGTCAGTTGATCTCATAGTACAGCTACACTTACAAGCTTTCAACTAGAAATTATATTCATCATTGATCAAAAGGTACTTGGAAGTGAGTAATTTTGACAGGCATACAGTATGTGTGATCCTGGGCCACAAACAAAGTAAATACTGTAAGTGACTTCTTGACCATTTTTCTAAGTTACCTTGTCTCTTTATTTTTGTAGGAAGAGTAACTTGACTGACACTTGTGCCATGGATGGCTCTACAATAGAACCTCATATTTCCAGAAATCATTTATCAATGTTGCTAAGAACATTTTCACTTTGGAAAAATATCAATAAATTAAAAACAACTTAGGTCTTGCGGAAGTTTCGTTAGATGTTGTATTTCTGATATACAGTACTGTACACGTTCTTCGGATGGATTTGTGTTTGGCAGTGTATGCTCTGTGATTTTGTGAGCTTGTATCATGTGAACATGTCCAGTAAGTGGCCCTGGATTAGAATTTAGAAGTGGAGAAATTTCCAAAATACAGTAGTGAAACATTAACCCTTAAACCCTGGGTTAGGGTGCTGCTGGCAGTACCCCTCCTGTGGGGATAAATCGAGAAAAAAATAAACTTTTCCAAAATGCTTAAAAAAAAAAAAAATGGCGGGAATAGGTGGATGTTCTGGAACATCACCCGGGCCTAAGAGTTAAATCTTCAAACTTTCTCAATTCATTTGCGTGTTTTAGTTATAGATTGCAGTACTGTGTAGTGATATGCACTAACCTCTCTTGGCCAATTGTGCAATTTGTTTGTCAAAATTTGGTACATGACATTACGAGCAGAAAATTGTCTTAAGAGTTTAAAATTTTTATTTGTTGTAGTATAGTGTAGATTATTAAAGAACTAACAAAATTTTATTATAAAGTCAAAAGTCGTTGGTACATTTAGTAATTAACGTAACAGTAAGTGTATTGTGGATAGGCGGCCAACAGTGCCTGCCAGTGAGGCTTCAGCCCACTAGGATTAACAAGTTCATCCTTTAGTTTTGGTAGGACAGCTGTTAACAGAATTTCATTTCAAGAATAATAGAGCATTACTTATTACTCACAAACAATAGATCACTGTTACAGAATAGAGAAGTGAATAGGTACAAAAATTAAGTGAAATACTGTATAGAGGAGTGACCTTGTTTAGAAAACCAGAAAATTCACAAGTCTTGACATGCTTTGGGTCCTGACAGTGCTGGTTTTCTGAGGCTATACTGTACTTTGTTGTAACACTGTACCTCTTTGACTTGTATTGCTTCTCCTGGTAACTTCTGTAACGGAGTTTATATTTTAGCTAATGTTGAAAGTCTTGTAGTTGATGTGAGAAGTGTATACAGTAGTAGCTGGTAATATTTCTGCCCTTCTATTGTATATTTTGTCTTGGAAAAATTGCATATTATTTTCAGTTTTCTTTTCACTTTATCTTTAAAAAAAGTTAATATTTCATCCAATTTTGTGTAAATATATTTGTCATTTTCACTTTGAATTAAGATTTTTTTCTTTCATTCATTTGCAGTAGGTAAGGCAGAACACCTGTTGGTGAGTTTTTTTATTATTGTTGGCTTTGCTACATAAGCATAAAATTCTGGTGGTTTTGCTTCATGTAGCCAATTTTCTATTTGTCTTTGCTTCCATAAACTTTTAAATCAACCCGGTGTATGGAACTGGCCGTCAGGGCTTTCAAAATGGACTGGTACCTGGTTACTGTCACCTGCTTACTTTTGTTAATAGCACCAGCTTAAATGCAAGAGCTGCCCCCCCCCCTCCCTTTAAAACGGTGATGTATTTTTTTTTTAATTACAAGGGCATTAAATTTTCCCATAGAACAAGAAATACAGTACAGTATTCTTTTACAAATATTGTCCTTATTGTCTGGAAGCCAAGGTAGCCTCCAGACCTCCAGCCATGCTTCAAAAGTACCCCCTGAATACTACCAAATACCTCCTTAATTAAATTACTTTGAAAGCCTTCGATTATACTTTAGTTCAGGAATAACACAAATATTTGATTTCTTGACAAGACAATTTGAGTTTTGCTAGTTGAGTGTTGAGGGATTGTTTGTCATTTCCATCCAGTGCTTTCATGATTAGTGCTTTTTATATCATGATTAAGCTAATTGTTGCTTTGTGGCACCCAAACTGTTCCCAAGCATTTACTTTAGTTACCAAAACATAACTGCCATATTGCTTTATTCCTGAATTGTCAAGTAAGTAGAAGAAAGCTTAAGTGTAAATAATAATGGAGATTAACTTGAGAGAAAGTTAAAACATATACTTTACCCCCACCTCTGAGTATGTTGTCTGCCTGCCACTTTCCAGCACACTTGGAACTGTGATCTGGGAACTCTGGTCAGTTTTGATATTTGTTAAAGATTGTTCTGGCTTTGCTGTTACAGTCAGTATTCCAGATTAGAATATTCCAGTTAGAAGAGGCTGTACTGTGTTGTATATAAACATGAATTACCTACAATGATTTAAATGAAAATTTGCTTTGGTGTTTGATTAATATATAAAGTTGAATTATTCCATGGATCACTGCAATGTAAGATACAATAGGGGGAGGGGCATGCAATGAAGTGTATAGTTGCAAACTCGTATGTAAACAAGACCATCTAATTACACAATCAATTCCATCTTTTTATTTGATGTTGTAACATGACCACCAACACCTGGCAAAACTGGTGCACCTTTAGCTGGAGAAATTGAATATTATTATCCATAAACCCCCACAATGCATGATGAAACACATAAAACTTAACTGTTTTTTATAAATATCTGATGTGTGGTGAATGAGTGAAGTTAAACACGGCTCTAAAATATAAAATATGATGGGATGGAAATTAATCATATGTAAGGAGCTCACATAGTACATTAAAACCCTTGGTGTGATCCCTATACTGTACAGTCGCCTGGTATAGTGGCTGGCACATTTTGTGATATATGGCAACTGTGGAATGCTACTTTTGCGAGAGTTTTAATGCAATACTGTATAAACAAACACACAGTTGCCACATCTCACAAAATGCACCAGTCACTGTACAAGGTATAAGTGCAGGAGACTGTACAATGTTGTGTAGGCCTGATAAAATTTTTTGTTGTGTTTAATGTACTACTGTACTGTGTGTATAAATTGGAATTGCCTGTACAGTATGTACTATACTTCACAATTACAGTATGTATATGTAAATTTAATAATGTTTTGGAAGTGCAAAATGTTGAGGTGAATGTTTTGGTAGAATTTAAACAGCTGGGGTGAATGTTTTGGAAGAGTTGATGTAGGAAAGGAAGGTTAATGTATGAAGAGAAGGATAATGTATGATTAAGTGAAGTAGATGATATACATAGATGAAATAGATTACCTCGGAGGTGAACAATATGTCTTGAGGTTGCGTTAGATACCATAAGTTCTTGTTTGCTTTTCTTGTGTTTATTGTTACGATTCTCACCTGTGAGTTTGAGTTTATGAAGGAATATACAGAAGAGGAATCACTGCTGCTACTTTGGTGAGTATAGAAGTATTTTCTTGTTTATTTGGTATTTAATTGATTAATAACAGGTAAGGAAGATGAGTTTTGAATTTTGTGATAGAGTTTCGAAGATCGAAGATAATTGAAGTGATTGGTTTTGTTGTTGTAGTGGTAGTAGTAGTAGTAGTAGGTAATAAAATAGCGGTAAAGGTGTGGCTATTAGGGGAGGATGGAGGCCACTTTTTTTTGTAGTGCTGGGAGTAGTAGTAGCTAGGATAGATACTTTTGTAGTGGGATAGTTAGGTAATGAAATGGTACTAAGTATTTATAAAATCAAATCCCAGTGAACTAAAACCAACTAGATACAAAAACTGAACCTTATCAACTTGAAAGAACCCCCTCCCCCTCTTGTGGTATTGGTAATTAACATGATATATATTGTATTCTGTAAAACAGCCATAGTATTTTGTTGTATGCGTATATGCTTGTATATATGTGTGTGGGTGAGATTTGATGTTGTTTTTAACCTTTCTGTCAAGCACTGGAGAGGGTAGTATATTCCCCAGGTAATCCTCTTTCATACAGGCACTGGGTGTACATAATTACTGTTGTGTGTGTAATGCATTGATCATGGTGTGTGTGTGTGTGTGTCTCACTCTCTCTCTCTCAGAAGGTCAGAGGTCAGGGTGGGATATCTTATTACTGGTGGGCAGGTGAGTGTCTGGTGGTGGTTGTTGATGTGGTTGTTTTGGTGGTGAGGGTGGTTGTGAGGATGGTGGTTGTCATAGATTTGATGGTGAGGGTGGTGGTGGTTGTTGTGAGGGTGGGGATGGTTATGGTAGTTGTTGTGAGGGTGGATATGGTGGTGGTGGTTGTTGTAGCCATGATAATTGTGGTTGTATGGTTGTAGTGGTTGTGCAAGTAGGGCAGCATTTTTTATAAGGTTTACTCATGAAAGACTTGGTTTAATTTTCCCGGAATTGGATATATTCTTATACTTCATTAGCGGTTGTGTTGTGAGGGTTAGTTATTAAATTACGATATGAATGAAGGGAGTACAATTCACCTTGCCTGTGGAGAATGCCTGGCTGTGAATTCTTTCCCCAAGTTTGGATGATTTGTCGTGTCTTCTGGGAAGGTAGAAATTTACACCAAACTTGATGATAATTTTTTACCCACTAACTCTGAATCTTAGGTTGATATTTGACCTGTGAATCTTGGTGTATCTGATTAATTTTTAGTAGTTACCCCTCAATGTTAGTGATAGAAAATTGTGATGCTCCTTTGTTTACTGTGGACAAATATAACCGTGCTGAAACTGTATAGAAATATATAATAATAGACCAGTAATGTGATTTGGCAGTTATTGATCATTGTGTTTGAATGTAGAGTAATAATTGAAAGTATGTGTTATGGCTGGTGTGTTTGTATAAATGAAGAGGGATCAATATACTCAATGTGTGTACTCTTGTCATAGTGTGTGTTGAGTGCTTTTGTTGGTCTAGACGTTAGCTGGGGTGAATGTTGATATAGTGTGTGTGTGTACAGGAAGACTTCTCAGGTGATGGATTTGTTGCTGGGTCAAGGTTACGTGTACATACAGCTTGATGAGGTAGGGAAGGGGAGGTACTAATGTCTATGAACACACGTAACATAAAAAAAAATAGCTGTGGTAATATTGTAGAAAAGTTATGATTATATTTTTTCATGTTAATAATACTGATTATATAACATGGCATAGTATAATATGACAACGTAAATAATAATTTATCATAGTGTCAACAATAATAATGGCAAATACACTTGTAGTGGTGGTGGTGGTATAAGTATTAAAACCAAATTATCAAACATCATTATTATTTTCATCGCTGTAAAATTTGTTATTGTGAGTGCTGGTTTAACTTGATACATATTTGAATTTCCCTGTAAATTAAATAACGAATGTCAAATCATGTTACCACTGAATAAATAACGAGATTGATATTGAGTATTCGCCTTGGTCAGATCATGAACTGTATTCTTGACTCCAGTAACATTTATAAAGGTCAGCTTACAGTAGCCAGCAGAGGTATGATGACTGTGAGTGTGATTGAGATTGTGGTTGTTGTTTCAGCTTAGTTATGGTGATTGTGGTTGTCAAAGGTATCATAATATTGGTTGTTGTTTCAGCTTAGTTATGGTGATTTTGTTGGTATAAATGATAATTGTAGATTATTTTTTGTAATTAATAGAGATAATCGAGACATAATAAACAGCTAAATAAAAAGAAAAACCCTTAATAGGATCGTCAAATTTTTAAATTACGTTAATCTTCAAATAATGTGAAACTAATTTTTTAGTCAGCAGGAGAGAGTAATTATTATAATGACTCAACACTTATTACTAGTAATTACCAGCTATTTAAGGTTCACCTCATCCCCCTTTGTTTGTTGTCCGAGTGTTTTAATAGTAATTTATGTTCTCGTGCTTTATTTGTTTATGATTGTTGAATGATGAAATTTTCTGTAGATTTTACTCTTTGTGAAGAATTTAAAGACACTGATATTTTTTTTATTTGCAGTATTTTTTTTATTTGCAGTATTTTTATTTTTGTTTTGTATTTCACTGTTAAACATTGTTCCCATGTTTTTTGCTATTAATGAATGATCTGTGGAAGTCTGTGTAACTTGGCAGCGAAACAAACACCTTCTGTGATTGGTTGAAACCAGTGTTGACATGCATACAACTTAACCATAGAACATATTTCTATTTACTGAAATTACCATGATTTCTGTGTGCTAATTTACTGACTGCTGGTGCATGTGGACAAAAATAGTCATTTGCAGTATGAAGGTGAATTAGCATAATAAAAATGTTTCAATACAGTTTTTAACGATGGCAGAGTATCTATGCTGTCATTGGTGTGTGCTTCGTGTTGGTTTATGTTTATGGCGGGTGAACGTAAATGATTCATGCCTGGCCCTTTGATACTGCGTGTGTGTGTGTGCGTGTAGATGTGTGTGTGTGTGTGTGTGTGTGTGTGTGTCTGTGTGTGTCCCATCCAAATTAAGGGAAACAAATTAATGTTTACATATTAAAAAATCTGGACGCATATCCACAAGTTGTATTTGTGAACCTGGCTGTGTTAGGCTGTTGGAATAACTACAGTAGGTCAGGTCAGGTTAGGGTAGGTTACTCTTGGTGCAATAATTAAGGTAAAGGGTTTGAATAGGGTTGGGCGGTTTGGTTAAATTGGTTGGTTTGGGTTAGTTTAGTTTGGCAGTAGGTAAGGTTGTATTTGGTCAGGTTAGGCTAAGTAAGTTGGTGTAGATTTCATGTAGCTGATGATGTTATTCTTGGGTTCTGATTTGGTCAAGTGTCAGCGATAATTATTCCTCATAACGAAATGTATAAAAAACACACCTAATTGATGCCTTAAACTAAAAGAACGAGTAAAAATGGCTTCAAACTTATACATAATAGATCAAGTAGAGTCTTGGTGTTACTTCTGTACTTCAGCTTAATATCATATTCATTTACGAGGAATGTTCCCAGCTACACGTTTCATTGATTCCCACGAAATATCGGAACACTTTACTACCTCGTAAATCTCTCGGCTGCACGACCCCCTCCAGATTACAACCCTCATTGAGCCTTAATTTTATTGACCATAATTTGTACACTGGTTGAAGATAATATTACCATGTTCATATCTTGATTTGTGTGCCAGTAAGTTGTGTTACATTGTTCTTACACTGTTATTATGTAATGCAAGGAGTTATTATGCTGTAGTTTAGTTATTAACTCTGATGATAGTAATAAAGATTTGAAGCAGTTTATTAAAAAAAAAATGATGGTTTATTGGCTACAGTATCCAGTATAGCCACAGCCACTGAGGTAAGTAATAAGTTATTGGTAATTGGCATCTGAGGGATAGCTGCAGTTGACCTTCCGGTGGTATTTATTTATTTATATTCCTATATTTGCATCATCACAGCCATATTGTTTATCGGTGACATTTGTTGTTTTCTGACGCCAGGAAGTATTATTTCAGACAAGCGGATTCCTTTTTTTATGGAGACGATGGTTGTTGGTGTTTTCATAAGATAATGTTTGTTTCCGTCCGGCGTGAAATAAAGAATTGGTTCCCTCCACCAGTCACTTGTTTAGCCTGTTAAGCCTTTTAGGTAGTCCTTGGTTAAATTGACTTTCTGTTTACCATTGTTTATATAACTACGTGCACTGAACCAAGGCGAAATAGAATGGTAATCTTAATAATGGATAAATATCTATATCTCTCTGTCTGTCTCTCTGTCAATCTCTGTATCTATCTGTCCATCTATGTCTGTCTCTGTCTATCTCTATATATATCTATATTTTCAATCAAAACTTTTCTAGTCGCTTGTCTTTCATGTAAACTCCTCACCGTTCATTTTGTCTGCAATATTGGAGTGACATTTGGTTGGTGTTTATAAATATGTTAAGAGCGTCTTTTATTGTATCAGGTTTATGCCTTTGTGAGGGTGAAGGGCACATTCTCCGGGGTAATTATATGTTCGTCTCGGAACAACATTTCACTTTATTGATTTTGTCTCGATTGTTTATAAAAATAATTGTACTTGGGTGTGCTCGAAAAAATGCGGTTATAGATTGGCATGGAGATACACATGCTGGCATACACACACATGCTGGCATACACACACATGCTGGCATACACACACATGCAGGTATATACACACACACAGATATACACATGCATTTTTACATGTAGGTATACTGTATATAAACACTCGGGTATATACAAGCATGTGCAAAGAGACTAGAATACTTATACTGTACATGTAAACCCTGCAAATTGGGTTATTCACACACACACACACACACACAATAATAATAATAATAACAACAATAACAACAACAACAACAACTAGATGGAACTCGAGCTAATGCCAATTTGTTTTATGCAAAATATAAGTTACGTGTATGAATACTGTATGTGTGCGTGACTGTTTACATATCGTGTGTGTGTGTGTGTGTGTGTGTGTGTGTGTGTGTGTGTGTGTGTGTGTGTGTGTGTGTGTGTGTCCCCTATTATCTGGTAAAAGATGGGCCTGTCACATCATGTTACTCACTGGCAGACAGAGGCATAGACAGGTTATATTTTGGGGAAGTTGTCAACACTGCAGCACTATAATTTTCCCTCAAGTTTTGTACAAAAGTTCTGATATTTTATGAGATTTATTTTTTATGTAAACAAGAGGAATGTACAGTAATTTCATGGTGTTTTATGATATTTTTGTTTTTTTATTGTTTGTTTTGTTGGAAGACCGAAATGAATATGTCAGTGTTGTTATTGTTGATGTGCGTACGTGACAGTAGTTGTGACAGTGATTGACAGGTCTATCTTGAGGTTTCTGGGAGCTGCATGTACATGAAAGTAGCGATGACAGTAATTGACAGGGATATCTTGAGTTTTTTTGGGGTGATGTACATGCCAGTAGTGACAGTAATTGACGAGGAGGAGGAGAGAAGGAAGATGAGGGGGAGTGGGAAGGCAGAGAATGAGGGGGGAGGAAAAGGTAGAGGAGAAGGGAGGAAAATGAGGAAGGGGAGAAGGAGGATGAGGAGGAGGAAGAAGGAAAGAGTAATAAGTACGAAACTATAAGAAATTCATGTCAGTGTATCGTATATTTAAGTCTATTACCAAATAACACGTCGGTCATGATCAGCTGATAAGACATATTGAGTCATGTAGGTGAGTAACGAGGAGACCTTATGAAGTATTTATGAGGGAATATATTTTGTATTTGACGGGGTATAATTATGAGAGGGTTAGCCTAGGGGGTGACCTAATGGAGTGTGTGTGTGTGTGAGTGTGTGTGTGTGTGTGTGTGTTTCATGGTGTATGTGTGTCTTTGTGTTTGTATGTGGCCTTGCAGTTCCAACCTCGGTTCTGGTATTGACCTATCGTAAATGTCAATACTTCCTCGACCTTCAGAGGCGGTGTCCTTTTAACTAATACATTAATTGGTCACCTCAGGGTTTTTAAAGCTAGCAGGTACTATTTATGGGGAAGTTATTTGTGATCACCTGATAATTTTGGTAACCTAGTATATTTTATCTGACCTTTTGAACACTCTAACTTAATCTAAACTAGCCTGACTTTACGTGATCCAAGTCTAACCCAACCTATTGTGACATACCTTCAACCCAACTTAAAGTAACTCAACTTAAACCTGACCTAAATATCATAGCTTCGTATCCCTGCGGCAACTCCCTTTGTTCCAATTTTTTTCTCCCCTCCTCTATCGTGTTGATAATTACTGTCTACACTACAAAGAACGACTGTGACCTTTCTCTCCCCCTCACCCAACCCCCAAGACCTTGACCCTGGTTGGTGATTTAACCCCCCCACGAGAGACCTGCCAGTCTAGCGCTCAAGGTGGCTCACGTCTGTCTGATGATATACCGTGCTAAAAGATGCTTATCTCTCTGAAATATTCAAATTACTCTGGTTGGATATGATAATTGCCTGATGGGGCCTGGACTGTGGCTTATCTGTGGGAATGTGCTTGGGTTAGTTTGGCTATCACGACGCTGTTTAATTTAGCGCGTTGTAAATTTGGTGGGTTTATGCGTGATCGTGTAAGTGTATTTATTCAAAGGCGTGTAATTACTCCAAGAATACACCCAGTTATTACGCATAATTGAGTAAGAATGTTAATGGTCAGTATTTTGAAATGTTTCGACGTCCATATGTTCGCTGGGAAATTAACACCAGTTTCGTGAAGATTATGTGCATTCTAATAACGTCAAAATACTACCACTCCGTTGATATTTGACGTCATTAGCGTGATAAACACTCATACAAGACACAAGATACAAGTAACAATTTTAAGTAGAGAGTACGTGGAGGGTTATTTCCGCCACGGGGGTGAAGGAGTAGTGTGTGGGGTCTCTGCTTAATACTAGTTAGTAGCCAGCGTAATGTACACCAAGGTAAAAACTCCTTAAGTATGAGGGTGCTTGAGGGAACCAGTGTTAAATATTCACAGGTTGAAATTTGTGGGTAAAATCCGTTAATGGTTTAAGTTAAATCGACAGTTTGTGACTAATTTTCGTTAAATTGAAATTACTTTGGTATGATGAAGTACAGTCTAGTAAATTTCTCATAAGATCCATATTCAGTAAATTAATGGGTGAAGTTAAATGTGGTGTGAATTTTAGAGCTTTGCGTGCTGGTCTGACAATATGGAGATGACAAAAGGTTACATTTGTGTATGTATTTGGGTGTATTATTGTGTGATTATGTAACATCGTAACGTAATATGTGTGTATGTGTAATATTTCTATGTGTTTGTTAATGGATATAGATTTGTATGTGTATTTGCATGTATGTGTACAGTATATATGTGTATTTATATATATGCTGATAACCACATATGTATTTGTATGTCCAATAATATAATGCCATATTGAAGGATATACAGACCAATTAATACACATAACCATTTTATTAATCAGTCAAGTATACACCATGATATAGTGTCCTAGGCTGATAATACACCGAGTCTTGTATACATATGAATCAGTATTCCTCACCCATATCACTATACCGAGAAGTACTTGGTGTTCATAAACTACAGTACTACAGGGTGTTGCTAAAGTATAAGTACATTCTATACCAAGGAGTCCATACATTAGTACATCTCCTTTGTTACGTTATCACAGTACAGTTCATTACAGTATGGTGTATAGTACTTCATGTATCACTTTGTAGCCATTACCTCCTGTATTGATGCGTGTTGACCTAATCAGATTGGAAGATTGATGTTTTTTTTGTAATGGTAATCTTTTGTTTTGAATTTGACTGGAAACTAATAATTTTTCGTGTGTGTGTATAGTGTAATTGAGTTCAACTTTGTTTATGTGTACGTGTGTCAGTGTGTGTGTTAAGTACAAATATTACACTACATCAGAACAGACGAGATGCTACATAGAATAACTTGTCCGGAACATTAACTTCTAACTAACATTATTCCTTCATTAGTATTTTGTGTATTAATTAATTCATTAAGCATGTAAACCTTGTACCTATCTGGATGCTCCCCATGAAGGACTTTACAAGACTGGTTTATCTGAATGGCACTGTGCTGTAGGTATATGTTTCAATAATATTTTCATTGGTATGATTTTATCTACTGGCTGTGAAGTTGTTGGTCGCTTTTATTCTGTATTATACTATTTCTTTATTTTTATTTACAACAATTTAGTGTTTTGAGTTATTCTTTCAGGGATTTTGTTCGGCTTGTACTGACGATCGCTTAAGCAGTGATATCCCAGTAGCTTGTAGTGTTAACACGTGTGTTTATCATTACCATCATTCCCTGCACTATGGAAACTTTCACCATACAACACTACATTATAACTTCATATTTTATATAAATATTTAAACTTAGAAGGAATATTTACACATATTTACTACAATATTTTAGGTTTTTGTTGGTAGTTATAACAGACAAGTATCACAGATATATATATATGTCATTTGTTTACACATCTGCATCACTGCCTCACACCTCATCTCTCACACTATCACTACACATTATGTCAGTAGCTTCTCTTATGAAGTTTCTGAAACATGTCTCACTCAGTATGGATCACTTTGAACACTGAAATAGTTCTTGGGTGGGTCTGATTAATTATGAAACCTTAGTACAGTCTTCTGGAACCGAGAAGATGTACTAGATTGTCTGTCTGGTTGTTATTTTGTTTTAAGGTGTTACGTGTTTACTGTAGCAGCCATAACTGTTACTTCTCTATGTGTTTGTTATGACCGTGTGAGGTAGTGAGCACTGGGGTGAGGGGGGGTAAACACTCGTCCTTATCACCAGTTTGCACGGCGCTTTATGGGAGATTTCTGTGGCTTAAAGTCGTCATTGGCGGTGAGGTTATTTTTGGTGATGGTGAAACTATTGTTATTGGTGGTGGTGAAAACGGGCGCAAGATCGGGTGTGCCTAAGGAGCGGCCATGTTTCCTGTCGAAGGATCTGTGTCTCCCGATGATGCCCAGTTCGGTAGGGCCCGTCTCCCCAGGTAGGCGTTCCAGGGAGCGGGCCCTCGTCGGCTTTGTCGCGTCAGGAGTTGGGGTGTCTTTGAGAGGTAAGGCTTTAGTCGTGTTGATGTTTTCCTTCTCGCCATCATCGTCGGAGAGAGAGGAGTTGTAGGGCCTGACGTGGATGATCCGGGAGAGCTTGGCACGACTCGTCATGATGGTCTTACTGAGGAAATCCATCATGACGCTGCTGTTGTTGTCTCCTCTGCTGTTGGTTGACCCACGTCTTCCCATGTCCCTCCTCTGTCACACAGCCACACCTCCCCTCCTGATGGTGATGATGCCCGTGTGTACCGCTGTCAACTGTGGACATAATGAATTCATCGTTATTTCCTGAACTATTATATCTCTCTCTCTCACATTTACCATACATATATACCCGTACATATTATGCTGTGTTATTACCCTGCCACTCAGCATTCTTGTTTTTTTTTAACTGGTGCTCTGTATGTGTGTGTGTGTGTGTGTGTGTGTGTGTGTGTGTGTGTGTGTGTGTGTGTGTGATGTTTTTTGTGTGGTGTTTTGTGTGTATATTTAACATGCATGCGTGTTTGTATGTACAGTAGTGTGTATTAGGGGGTGAGTAAGTTGTGTGTGTGTGCCCTTCCTTGGCTGGACCTAACTTACTCTATTCATGGGGAGTTAAACATAGCTTATTTATGAGCTATTATTGTTTAGTATGTGTATGTATGAGGGTTGAGTAGCGTGCACACACACACACACACACACACACATGACCTACAATTAACGTGACGGGTATTAATAGTTATATAATGGGAATAGGTAGCAGATGTGTGTTTTGGGTGACTGGTGTAGCAGGTGTAGGATGACAAGTGTAGGGTGTGTAGCAGGTGTGGGGGCGGGTGTGGGATGTGCAGCAGCTGTAGGGGCGGGTGTGTAGGGTGACAGGTGTGAGGTGTATAGCAGATGTAGGGTGACAGGTGTGGGTGGTGTAGCAGGTGTGGGGCGGGGCTCACCTCTTGCCTCTACTCGTCCAAGATGCTGACTGACTGACTAGTAGCTCTGTCACCCACCTGATGCAGCTTCCTCTCCCTCCTTCCCTCATTGGGTATCTCCCTCCCTCCCAACTTAATCCTCACAAGGTCACACCAATACGTCATTGCTTTCCGGAAGTGTGTGTATGTTGGGGGGGGGGGGTCGGGAGGTATTGACATTGTGATTAGTTGGTTAAGTGATAGTGTACTCGCGCGCGCGCGAGAGAGAGAGATAAATTTTGTTTGAACGTATTGAGACATGGACAAACATTCAGGATATCTCTCTCTCTCTTTCTCTCTCTCTCATTGTTTACTTCTCGGCTATAAAGACTCGGGAGTAACTGGCGTATCTTCACACACATACAGTACAGTATAATCAACCTTAATAACAGTAGATACAAGGGTGATCTATCCTGCAATTTATAACCGGAGGGAAGATAGTGATAAACCTCTAAAACCATATATTTAATGTTACTAGTGTAGTAACTATAATATAGTATAATTTATCATGTACAGCATGTAGATAGATTAGTTTCCCATATATGTCAGAATTTATTACCGTATTTTATTATTATTATTATTATTATTATTATCATCATCATCATCATCTTACTCTTATAATAATAGTAATAAAAACGGAGCAAATATACCGTATAGTATAGTCACCCATTTATAATAGCCCAATCAATACCAGTTTTCTATCAGCCGGAAAAGAGGGAAGACTACTGTAAATTCAAGAGGGTGATGTATGTAATGAAGATCAATGGTGTGAATGAGTTTCCAAGACATGGGTGATATTTCTTGCCCAGTCGAGCTATTTTTGAGGCATAAAAGACCAGACATTGAGGTGATTTATGTCTTTGTGTGTGTGTGTAGTTTTAAAGGTCCTTTACTCGGGTGTTTGTTATGTAAGGTAAATACATGAATAGCTGTTTGTTATAAGCGTAAAGGGACATTGAATAAGTTGACTCCTTGAGGAAGACTGCAACTCTACATTCATATATCCACACATCCACATCCATATCTTTATGCTTCAAATCACTTTACTTAATCAATATTGTTTCTTTCTCCAGGTAAGTCTGTATGAGTGGTGTGGGTGTTACCGGTGCAGCCAGGTAAGTGTGAGTCTGTTTATAAGTACTGTACAGGTCAGTTTATAAGTACAGGACGGTTTATAAGTACTGTACAGGTCAGTTTATAAGTACAGGTCGGTTTATAAGTACTGTACAGGACGGTTTATAAGTACTGTACAGGACGGTTTATAAGTACTGTACAGGACGGTTTATAAGTACTGTACAGGACGGTTTATAAGTACTGTACAGGTCAGTTTATAAGTACAGGACGGTTTATAAGTACTGTACAGGTCAGTTTATAAGTACAGGACGGTTTATAAGTACAGGTGGGTTTATAAGTACTGTACAGGTCGGTTTATAAGTACTGTACAGGTCGGTTTATAAGTACTGTACAGGACGGTTTATAAGTACTGTACAGGACGGTTTATAAGTAC